GATGGCTTAGACCCTCATTAGTTACAGCTAAAGCCCGTGTTAAGCCAGATGGGGGGATTTCGCCGGATGTGGCCATGTTCCAAAAATAGCCCGACCCGGAGCCGCGTTTAATTCTCAGCACTTCACCCCGCGTCTTGCGCGGTGCGACTCAATGACGTCGGTGCGCATTATTCAATATTGCTTTCTCCTGGTGGGGATCTGTTCGGAAATTTCCATTCAGCATTGAAAAACTCTCCGGCATAGAGACGCGCTGTTTAGCGAGGGACAGAACTGAAAGCAGATAGAGCTAGAGCAGAGCATGAATTGATTAAAATCCTAAATGAAAACTTTTTGTCTGAAGTTATTTTAATCTTAGGCATACTTTTCTCGTAAGCCCCCCACCCCCTCCCCAACCACATTTTTCTGAATCAGCGCTAAAGGACCAACCATTTTGGCGTAGTTGCTACCCCCCTTCCACACACACATCCACATACCTACACACCCACACATCCACCCACACTCCCACCGATCTACACACCTATCCACCCACCCTCCCACCACACTCACACACCTCATACTCTATTGAAGATAACACATGTTTTTACTTTGTATTGCCCAACTTGAGCCTAGCTACAGAAATGACTCACTTGTTGTTGTACTCACCTACACCCAGTTCTCCTTTACAGTCTTGTATGTACCTCCCTCCATACCCTCCCATGTACCTCCCTCCATACCCACCCCTCTACCTCCCTCCATACCCACCCCTCTACCTCCCTCCATACCCTCCCATGTACCTCCCTCCATACCCACCCCTCTACCTCCCTCCATACCCACCCCTCTACCTCCCTCCATACCCACCCCTGTACCTCCCTCCATACCCACCCCTGTACCTCCCTCCGTACCCACCCTGTACCTCACTCGACACCCACCCCTGTAGCCCATCATGTTCCCGCCTCAATGTCCGCTCATGTTTTGCTACATTTATTTTGACTTCAGTTTATTTATGAAAAATAAAATGTGTAAAACTATCATGAGTGAAGCCATGATTACAAACACCCCACACACTTAGCCTCAGAAAAACAAAATCTACAATGGTTCCAGTGTTTAAGAATCGATAGCGAAAGTTGATGAGTGGACGGATATTTCCGGAGTGTTAAAGATGTCTATATATAGCAGGTCTTTCGACCAATGGAACGTGTACACTAACATCTCTTATATTGTTATTTTTTGTTGCTTGTCTTATGACGTTGCCTTGTGACGTTTTTGCAACATGTGTCCATCAACATTCACGGACGACTGTCCTATTTTCACCGCCTCTAGCCAGCTCTGACTTAGTGAAACAAGTCACTTGTAAGCCATTCCTAACGCCAAGCATGTGGAAGGATACATTCATCAGTTATGGCATACCAACGTGTCCATTTATTTTCTTGTGTGATAACTGAGGTTGTCGAGTTATGGCATACCAACGTGTCCATTTATTTTTCTTGTGTGATAACTGAGGTTGTCGAGCAGACAAGTAGCAATTTTGTGGCCTGCCCGGGGAAAGGCCTGACATTCATTGTATGACTTCTTCTTATCTCCAACCCAACTTTTGTTTCAAGACGGATCTATTTATAGTCAAGTAATGTCTAATTTACGTGCAAAGTAATGCTTTAAATACGTCGTTAGCCTTTGGTCTTATAGAAGTACACATTAGTTTTATTTTTAGGGAACATGCGAAATGGTCAACGTTCTTCATGCCCCTTATCTAAGATTTTGTTTTTTAAAGCGAAAGTCAGTCGTCTTCGTATTGCAGATATGCTGGAACATCAACGTACTTATCCTAAAGAGCTGACTCCGACTTGACTAGTTAGAACAGGGAAAGGGGGGGGGGGTACAGGTATAGGCCGGTTTGGTCATTCGTTTAACTGACTCGCCAATGACTGGCCACTCCCCCCCCCCCCCCTCTGTATGATTAGAGAATAAATTGGCCTGACGTCCAGGTGACACAGTCTAAAATTGACGCCGGTGTTTTCCGACTCGTGTACACAGCGTGCTCCGGTCGGTGGCGAGGGCAGGCCCCAACTTCAGCCGCTATTTATCTTCAGCAGACGGGCCCATTTGTTGCTTGCAGACGGACTAAATAGTTCCGTTTCCCGCCTTCAGATATTTATTGCGTTCCAACTAATATAGGATGGGGTGAGAAATAGAAAGTAGATGGCTACAGTAAGTCACTGACTTAATTAGGGATATTATATATATACGAGCTGACCCGCTGCGTATCATACGCCGCTATTTAGTTGTTTTTTTTTCTACTTTTCAGTAATTTATAATTTGTGAATTCGACAGTACCAATGCTGCCACTGAAAATATTTGCTTTAGAGCACTAACCCCCCTCCTTTCCCCTAACCCCGACCCTACACCCCCCCCCCCCCGTGAAAGCAGCCTCCTCTTAGTTACCTCCTGTAAGTTTAAAGTCGGTTCAAACTTAATTATCTGCCCCTAATAGCCGTCACTAAACCTGGCTGTACGGTTTGTAAACATTAACGTGACCACAGCTCAGCAGACCATGTGGGGGTGGTAAACGGAAAAAAAGTCACAGGAAAAAAAAACACAGAAAAAAAGTCACAGTTTTTGCTAGGAAAAAAAGTCACAGAAAAAAAGTCACAGTGGAAAAATTTTTTCGGAAAAAAAGTCACAGAAATAAAGTCACAGAAAAAAAGTCACAAAAATCTTTTTAGAAATATTTTTATTAATTTGTTAAGAATTGTAAAATTGTGTATGTTTATTGTTGTGGGTTGTATTTTTTGATAGCATAAATTATTTATAGACGTTAAAAGCATTATGATTTATAACAATTGTAAGTAAAAATACTCTAAGATAATTAACACAACAATCTCAAGTTTTGTTACGTATTTAATTAAATACGCGGTAGAAAAGTTAATTATAAAAGAAATTTAGGCACATTTTGCCGTAGGCTATTCTCTGGTCGGCTTCTCCTCAGTAGGCATTGTCCGAACATATTTTGTGTTGTTGACGTTATGCGTCAATGACAGCCTTTGAACCTTGTCGGCTTTCTGTTTTGATCCTAAGTTTTGTTATGTAATGAGCGTGATACATGTGGGCAGTAAAGGTGGTTGAACTAAACATAACTATTGTTGCCATGAGTTGAGGGCAGCAAGTCAGATGAACTTACCATTTCACGGTAATTTAATGGTATTAAAAAAAACACGATGAAAACCGTGGACTTTGGAGCATTCTATTAAATGCTACTAATCTTAAGTTTAAAATAATTACAATCTACATACTTCATAATAAATATTTTAAGATGAATTATAAAAATTCCTATGCGTATACAGCCTACACACATTACATTACATTTAATTAATCCTAAGTTAATTTGCACTCTCTAAATATTTAATACATAAAAGTATTAACAAGTATCATGCAAATATATATTTGTGACTTTTTTTCCTGTGACTTTTTTTCCTGTGACTTTTTTTCCTGTGACTTTTTTTCTGTGTTTTTTTTTCCTGTGTTTTTTTTCCTGTGACTTTTTTTCCTACAATCGTGGGGGTGGGGTAGGGTGGTAGTGATAGTGATAGTGATAGAGAGAAAGAGAGGGGACTGTAAGGAGGCGCTTGCAGCTTGTTTTCTAACGGCTCACAGAGGAGAATTATATATACGAGCCGACCCGCAGCGTATCATACGCCGCTATTTAGTTGTTTTATTTTCTACTTTTCAGTAATTCATAATTTGTGAATTCGACAGTACCAATGCTGCCACTGAAAATATTTGCTTTCAAACACTACCCCCCCCCCCCCCCCTTTCCCCTAACCCCGACCCTACACCCCCCCCCCCCCCGTGAAAGCTGCCTCCTCTTAGTTATTTCATAGTTACCTCCTGTAAGTTTAAAATCGAACTAAATTATCTGCCCCTAATAGAAACCCGGCTCTACGATTTGTAAACATTTAGCTTTGTAAACATTTAGCGTGTCCACAGCTCACCAGACAATGTGGGGGGTGGGGTGGGGGTGGTAGTGATAGTGATAGAGAGAAAGAGAGGGGACTGCAAGGAGGCGCTTGCAGCTTGTTTTCTAACGGCTCCCAGAAGAGAATTATATATATATATATATATATATATATATATATATATATATATATATATATATATATATACAGAGAAATACATATTATATAAGCACAATGCTATCAGAAAGATAAGGCAGCAGTAGACAGGTAAATATCTGAGGCTGATCTCTGGAAGACGGCATTGTTTTGTTACTGGAGCCGTAGTTTAACGACTCGTCTTTATCCTCGGCTCTGGTCGATTAGGGTTCTGACGAGAGGAGGGTGAGACATACAGTAAACCTGTCTGAACGATGGCTAATCACATCATAGTGGGACATATTTCAACATATTGTGGCACATCACAGTGGCGTAGGCCTATATCACATCATAATGGAACAAACCACATCACAATGGGGTACATCACCGTGGCGCACATCAAATCATAGTGGAACACATCACAATGGCTTACTGTGTACCGCGGGTTATATGCAGGCTTATATTGCTCGTTCTTGGTAGTGTCAACCAACAGTTCTGGCACACTGACTTTCCTTGGTACTTTCCTGACTTGTCTTGGTACTTTCCTCATTTGTCTTGGTACTTTCCTCATTTGTCTTGGTACTTTCCTCATTTGTCTTGGTACTTTCCTCATTTGTCTTGGTACTTTCCTGACTTAGTACTTACAGTTTACTGACTTTCCTTAGCACTGTCAATTGTGGCTCAAGATAACCCACTTTTACTGTAACAAGCCGAAACAGTCTACTTACACAATATGTTTGTGTAGGCTTATTCTGTAATCGTTCTGTTTGTAACTTATTCACCTTCTTAAAACTTATCTTAAAGTAGATTGCACAAAATATTGGGTTTCATTACTAACAGTCTTTTAAGAAATATGTTACTCATGTATATGCAGCTTGTAATGGCCAGTGGCTATTTAACTATGTGCTGATGTCTGTTATGTTTTGCTATTTCCAGAGGCATTGAACGGCGTGGCTGCCCGTCTTGAGGGACCTTTTAACATCGAGATCGTGGTGGACCCAATCAACGTCAAGATATCTGAGGCTATCATGAACTTTCAGGAGAACAGCGAAGTTATAACACAGAAGGTGGGTGCTTGTCTTGTGTGGTTGGCTTGTGGGTGGTTGTCTTGTGGGTGGTTGTCTTGTTTGGTCATGTCATAGTTGTCTGCCCATTGACTGTCTTGTCTTACCATTGACTGACTTGTCTGTCCATTGACTAACTTGTCTGCCCATTGACTAACTTGTCTGCCCATTGACTAACATGGCTGTCCATTGACTAACTTGTCTGTCCATTGACTAACTTGTCTGCCCTTTGACTAACTTGTCTGTCCATTGACTAACTTGTCTGCCCATTGACTAACTTGTCTGCCCATTGACTAACTTGTCCTACCATTGACTGACTTGTCCTACCATTGACTGACTTGTCTGTTCATTGACTAACTTGTCTGCCCATTGACTAACTTGTCTGCCCATTGACTAACTTGTCCTACCATTGACTGACTTGTCCTACCATTGACTGACTTGTCCTACCATTGACTGACTTGTCCTACCATTGACTAACTTGTCTGTCCATTGACTAACTTGTCTTACCATTGACTAACTTGTCTGCCCATTGACTAACTTGTCTGCCCATTGACTAACTTGTCTTTCCATTGACTAACTTGTCTTACCATTCACTGTCTTGTCTTACCATTCACTGTCTTGTCTTACCATTCACTGTCTAACCATTGACTGACTTGTCTTACTATTGACTAACTTGTCTGTCCATTGACTGACTTGTCTGCCCATTGACTAACTTGTCTGTCCATTGACTAACTTGTCTGTCCATTGACTAACTTGTCTTACCATTGACTGACTTGTCTAACCATTGACAACTAAAATAAACGAGTTACTCTGACTGGTGTTTAAAGATCCTGAGGTGGTAAACTGGAGGTGCAAAGATGGGGGGGGGGGTGCGCTTCATACACGCGTTACAATTAAGAATGTGAGGTGGTTGTGTGCATACCAGGTCCTTCAGTCCTTTGCCGACCAGTTCTTTAAAAAGGGTCACTACACTGAGAGCACCATAATTCTTCACAATGGGGGTCACTACACTGGGAGCACCATAATTCTTCACAATGGGGGTCACTACACTGGGAGCACCATAATTCTTCTCAATGGGGGTCACTACACTGGGAGCACCATAATTCTTCACAATGGGGGTCACTACACTGGGAGCACCATAATTCTTCACAATAGGGGTCATTACAAAGTGAGTATGGACAGCAGATACATCAGCAGTTAAAATAGTCGAGATTTAGACATTAGAGGCTGAGTCAAGATGGATGGGGGATGGTTATCGTGCTACAAGAGGAGATCGGGGGTGGGGGTTTAAAGTAAAGATGGAGTGGTGGGGGGGGGGTGTTTAAAGCTGACCGCATCTAGTAAAGATGGAGACGGGGGGAGGGGGAGAGGACGTGAGAAGTTGACCGCCTCTAGTAAAGATGGAGGGGGGGGGGACGTGTAAAGCTGACCGCCTCTAGTAAATTGAGCCGACCAGAAACATCAATTACAGGGCTTTTAATTTCTCCCGTATCTACTACAAAAACCGACCCCCCCCCTCCCCGGGCGTTGAGAGCTGGCACCAAGCCGCGGACAATGGCGAGGGGTTAAACACAGAAACACTGGCCCCCACAGGGGATGGGGTCCATTTAAGAAACAAAGAAACACCAATCGATAAGTAACTGCCGATCCTTTTTTCTTCTTTGCTTGCTGTAAAAGAATATCGATACGCCCGCTTGTCAAAAAGTATCGATACATCCGCCCCCCCCCCCCCCCCCCAATTTTCTCCCCGCTTCTTCTGTTGGTTTTTGTTTTCCCTTGCAAACCGCCGACCCCCATCTGCAACAAGGACTGCCGTCACGAGGCGAGTGTAATTAACCTCTCACTTTTAATGCACCGGCTTGCAAAAGGGATTATACATTTTTTTTTTACTGTTGTCGAGGGGGGGGGGGGGGGGAATGTATCGAGGGTTGGGTGAATGGACTCAAGGCCAGGGTGACCGTTAAATGAAATTTAGCCTTGCGCTTGTCTCGACGTCAGCGATCCTACACCCCGGCCTGGGGCGCTGGTTTAGAAGTTTATCGGCTCAACGTGTTATATTTATAGCGTGGTTAGGGCGCGAAAACTTCAAACCTGTCCGCGATGTTTATGCGATTGTAATAGAAAAATTCTTGAACTGACGGAAAATAAAGGGTATCCTTCCATATGTGGGTCAAAGGTTATGGTGCTGTAAGTATCCAGTTTAGATCATTCATGAAGATTTTGATAAACCTTATGATAAACCGTTTAGTCAAAAAAAGCGTGACGTCATTTATGGATGACCCCTTAACTCCTCATAAAATAGTTTCCAACAACCACAATCTACATGACCCTTTTCGGTCATATATATATATATATATATATATATATATATATATATATATATATATATATATATATATATATATATATATATATATATATATATATATATGACCGAAAAGGGTCATATATATATATATATATATATATATATATATATATATATATATATATATATATATATATATATATATATATATATATATATATATATATATATATATATATATATATATATATATATATATACCCCATTTTCAATTCTATTAGCAGAACCCTCCCCCCCCCCCCCAGGGATGATCGTGGTATACAAGTGCTATGTAGCTAAACAGTTTAGTTTTCATGGCATGCTGGGCATGTTGACCAACGCTATCTATGTGTCGGACGTTTGGTGTAATTCATTAGACTGGCCTAATCGAATCCCATCCATCGATCCCTCTATCTGTCGGCCCTCGACGTTCCTGTAGTGTTGGCTCGAAGGTGACGTCAGACGTGTAACGTTACAGTGTACACACGCTCACGAGTAGGATAACACGCGAGATTCTACACGAGACTTTGGTGTAGATATGATACACTTGGGTAGAGATTTAGATCTGAGAGCATTTGGATTCGTTGGGCATACAGAGAACATATGGTTGTTTTGGGCATTTAGCGAACATTTTTATTTACAGGGTAGAAATTTAGAGGGCATTCTTATTTTTAAGGCATAGACTTAACGGCAATTTCTATTTACAAAGCAAGGATTTAACCGGAAATTCTATTTCTATGGTATGGATTTGGCGGGCATTAACGTTGAGATGGATCAAATTTAACTTGAATTATGTTAAAATTGATTTTTTTTGTGTGTCTCTGAATGTTTTGTGTTGTGGTAACCCCTCCCCCCCCCCACCCCCGGACCACTATGGCTAATTTTGTTTAGCTATGCCAGAAAGTGACGTGGCACTCTCCTAAATACACGAGACAGGCCTGTCCCGCCAAATTTCATTAAGAGCGATGGCGTTTTTTAGTTTTAAATCCCAAATCATTGGTCTCATCCCCTGTCTTTCACGATTTTATTTTTAAACTTTATTTAAAAAAAAAACTGGAATGAAAAAAAAAAACGGCTGGATGTGTCTGTCACTCTAACGTCCTCTTTGTCCCCCTCCCCAAATTATGCGTCACGCAATTTTTCTAATTACTCCCGCGAGATGCCGGAGGAAGAAAGAGGCAGAGATGTCTCGCTATCTTCGTCAACCATCTCCTCGCCCTCCTCCCCCTCCCTCCTCCCCCCTCCCTCACCTAAATAGATTGAACAGAGCAAGATGGAGCACTTTGATCTCCGATAGGGGTTCTTATATCTTTATCTTCCCTCCCATCGACCGGTACGCCCCTGTCTGTTGACCGCCCTATCCGTCCATTTATTTCTGCTATTAATAATTCCGTCCGTTCTAAATCCAATATTCGACCCGTTAAAATAATCCGGCTGTGGTGATTTTATAATGGCTCGTGTGCTAGGGTAATTTCATATAAATGATGGGGTCAGTTATAAAAGACGGGGTCAGTTATAAAAGATAGGGTCAACTGAACAGCCGAGGTCATCTAAACAGCCGAGGTCAGCTATAATAGCTGGGGTCAACCAAGCTACAACAGCCGGTACCAGCTACAACAGCCGGGAACAGCTACAACAACATGCTACAACAGCCGGGAACAGCTACAACAACATGCTACAACAGCCGGGAACAGCTACAACAGCCGGGAACAACTACAACAGCCGGGAACAGCTACAACAGCCGGTAACAGCTACAACAGCCGGGAACAGCTACATCAGCCGGGAACAGCTACAACAACAAGCTACAATAGCCGGGACCAGCTTCAACAGCCAGGAACAGCTACAACAGCAGGGAACAGCTACAACAACAAGCTACAATAGCCGGGACCAGCTTCAACAGCCAGGAACAGCTACAACAGCCGGGAACAGCTACAACAGCCGGGAACAGCTACATCAGCCGGGAACAGCTGCAACAGTCCAGCTACACCTCGGGGACCAGCTACAAGAACCCGTGAAATAAGGAAGAAGCCGCTGATGAGAGACCCAGTTCAAAATGTCGAAGCGCTGAGACGAGCCGTCTTTCTGTTTCACAGTTGACTACATAAAATCACATTCTTCCCGAGAATTTAAGTGACATTTGACATTAATGTCACTCTCCGCCACGCCACTGTTCCCCCCTACCCTTATTCTGGAACTGGAAGAGTGGGGCAGTAGGAATACGTTGATGACTCATAGCTTGACCTTAATGGGAATGTGTGGACGTTTGATTCTTCTCAAGACAGTCTAGCCTCAAGATGCTGGTGGCGTAACCTTGGTGTGTTGTGTGTGATTTGGAGTGTGGTTCTGTGTGATTTGGTAGTGTGTTGTTGTGTGATTTGGTTGTGTGATTTGGTTGTGTGTTGCTGTGTGATTTGGTGGGGTGTGGTTGTGTGTGATTTGGTTGTGTGTTGTTGTGTGATTTGGTTGTGTGTTGTTGTGTGATTTGGTTGTGTGTTGTTGTGTGATTTGGTAGTGTGTTGCTGTGTGATTTGGTAGTGTGCTGTTGTGTGATTTGGTAGTGTGTTGTTGTGTGATTTGGTTGTGTGTTGTTGTGTGATTTGGTTGTGTGTTGCTGTGTGATTTGGTTGTGCGTTCTTGTGTGATTTGGTAGTGTGTTGCTGTGTGATTTGGTAGTGTGTTGTTGTGTGATTTGATAGTGTGTTGTTGTGTGATTTGGTAGTGTATTTTGTGATTGATTTGGTTGTGTTGTGTGATTTGGTTGTGTGTTGTTGTGTGATTTGGTTGTGTGTTGTTGTGTGATTTGGTTGTGTGTTGTTGTGTGATTTGGTAGTGTGTTGCTGTGTGATTTGGTAGTGTGCTGTTGTGTGATTTGGTAGTGTGTTGTTGTGTGATTTGGTTGTGTGTTGTTGTGTGATTTGGTTGTGTGTTGCTGTGTGATTTGGTTGTGCGTTCTTGTGTGATTTGGTAGTGTGTTGCTGTGTGATTTGGTAGTGTGTTGTTGTGTGATTTGATAGTGTGTTGTTGTGTGATTTGGTAGTGTATTTTGTGATTTGATTGTGTTGTGTGATTTGGTTGTGTGTTGTTGTGTGATTTGGTAGTGTGTTGTTGTGTGATTTGGTTGTGTGTTGTTGTGTGATTTGGTTGTGCGTTGTTGTGTGATTTGGTTGTGCGTTGCTGTGTGATTTGGTTGTGCGTTCTTGTGTGATTTGGTAGTGTGTTGCTGTGTGATTTGGTAATGTGTTGTTGTGTGATTTGGTAATGTGTTGTTGTGTGATTTGCACTGTATTGCTGTGTGATTTGGTGTTCTGAAGCTTTGTGACGATATGGTCATGTTCTTTTAAATGTGACGCGGTGGTCAAGTAGATGTAGCCTACGTAGTAGTGAGATTCGAACTCTGGTTCATTAAGTGTCAGAACAGAATTCGTTTCATCGAGTCCGGTGTTCAAATTGATTCCCCAAGCAAATAGTATTCATTTGATCCAACGGAAGTATTGTATGTGTAATGTAGGCAACAATGATTTGTAGAATGTTTTTTTTTTAAAGCTTGCTATTTAAAGCTTCAAAACCATCTTTTTCCAAACTAAAATAATTAAAAAAAACTTGATTAAAAACAAAAATGGCAAGGCTTATATTAACGAACACAAGAAAACCTCTATCCACCAACCTCTCCCCAGCTCTCTAGAGTGACGTCCCCTTGGCCCCGGCTTTATAAATTACCCGCCCTTGTTTAGCTGAGAGACGTCGTCTCCCTCTGACGTCTCATAATCTGTTTCATTAGCTGATTTATCATCGCCGTCTTCAAAAGTCACTTTTTAGTTTTTTTTTTAAAAAAAATCTGGGACATTCCTGACAACCTGTACATACCGGTGGGGAGGGGGGGGGGGTGGCTGGTTGTCATGGAGATATTCGTTAGGTTCTATTGAAAGTGTTGTAGTTGGTGTAGGGCTAGCGTGAAATGTTTGGCTGGTCGATGTCTGGGTCGCTAGTTACAGTAGTGGTAGGGGTAACATTTAGCTTGACCTTTGAACTGGCATGGCTGAAACAATTGGTGACGGTAATGGGGAAAACAAACATGTACACAGATACAATAACAGGTCCAGACAAATGGTGACCTATTGATGTGTCTTGTCACGAAAGATGACCTTATGTGTCCTTTAGTGATGTGTCTTGGCTCAGGAGATGACCCTGTGTGTCCTTCATTGATGTATCTTGACACAGATGACCTTGTGTGTCCGTCAGTTATCTACAGGACACGCAACCTCCTGACACTGGGAGCCTACCAGCGCAACAGTTCGCGACCCCGCGACATTAGGCGCGCCCCGTCCCACCAATTTTGGCTCATTACTCCATCCGGCGCGGGGCCGCCTCTGTGGGGCCCACAAACCCCCCTGGCAATCATGGCGGTGTTAAGTTCACAAGTCGCCAGCATATGTGACAACAGAGGGACCATAAATATCTAACCCCTGCTACACTCAGCGCTCTCGAAAATTGCCCTCACGTCAATTGGTGGATTTTCCTGTAATTTAAAACCCTCGCCTCCCCTCGTCCAATCCCCAGAATCAACTTGGTGCTACTTTAATTAAAGTAAGAAATGCATTTCACTGTGATCTAAATTGACATTTGTACTATTGTACTAGGGTTACATTGAGTAGAAACTGTAAGCTCAAAACAAAATCCTTTTAACAGAGAACACGGTCAGAAAGTCTGATTACCTAATTCGTTCAGTAACTCATGCGGCCAAATATAATTCTTCAACGTACTTTTATTTCGGCAATCACCTTTGCTCTTAATTTGATAGTAAATCACGAATTCCTATTTGCAATAGACGCACACACAAAAAAACAACTGATCCTAAATTTAGCTCCTATATTCTACTTAGTTATTCTCAAAACAAGATCAGTTTATTTAAATCGAAATTTTACTTACTTACAAATATACCGGATAAGTTTAAAAAAAAATGTGTGTGAATGATTTATGTTAGGGATTTGTACAGTTAGGTATTGCTTGGAGTTACGACAGGGGGAACATTTTGGGGGAGCGCTGTTGTCACTGATTGATGACCTTCACCTTTGGCTTGCTGGGATCTTCCAGTCTGGGATTATCCTAGCCATCCCATGCATGTGTGTTTATGTAATCTACCTGAAGACACGCTCCTGTCTAATCTACCTGAATGCTTGTCTCAGTTCTCCAGCTTGTTAGCAATCATTCTTCTAACCGTTATTTCATCCTTACCTTCTGTCTTGCTTTTTTTAAATTCCTGCTCGCAGTTTTTAAAATTTTTGTTACTACAGTTGTTCTAATATTTTTTTTTTACATGACATGAAAAATCTTGTCAGCTCTTGTACGTCCGCATAAAATTATTTGTGTTCTAATAACTATTTGTGTTCCATTTTTACCTTATAACTTAGCAACCTTGACATTATTTTTCTACCTGTACAAGAACCACCCACGCTATCTCTGACCTAGGTACCAAATCTCGTGTTTTATGTTTTTATGGCCGTACCCCACAGGACCTGGTCTAAAGTTACAACTGGACAATCCACAAAGACGTGCATACATCCTGGTCATATAGATATGTTTTTGTCCGTGTTAGCTATCCAAGTGTCCACTTATCCCATGTTGTCTATCCCTGTGTCCACTTATCCCATCTCTGTGTCCACTTATCCCATGTTGACTATCCCTGTGTCCACTTATCCCACATTGGCTATCATAATCCCTGTGTCCATCTTTAACCCCGACAAGATAATCCTCTATTATCCCTTTCTAGTTCCCTGACCACACCCCCTAAGATAAATGTTTACTCATTTCTCCATGCACAAAAGACGCGCCATGCATGTGGGGCAATATTCTTAGATCGATGGACGGCTGAATGCGGCATTAATAACTGGACGGTCACCTCGACCTAGGGTGGCCACGGGTAGCAATCAATAACAATAACGCCAGATTTTAGAGGGGGCTTTAGGACCGCTGGTGTAGGACATTAGAACCGCTGGTGTAGGACATTTTTTTTAGAACCGTTGGGGTAGAACATTACAACCTTTGGGTGCGGGGGGGGGGGGGGGATTAGAACCACTGGGGTAGGACAAAAGAACCGCTGGCAGAGGGTAGGGACATCAGAACCGTTAGGGGGGGGGGCATTAGTATCGTTGGAGTAGGACATTAGAACCGTTGTGGGGGGGGGGGCATTAGAACCGTTGGAGTGGGGCATTAGAACCACTGGGTTTAGGGACATTAGAACTTCTGAAGAGACACTAGAACCGCTGGGGGCGGGGGCATTGTTTGAAGAGATACATCATCTGGTAAATTCCTTTAAACTGATGACTAAATGTTATAAGTCACCAGTGCGACTAAAATTAACTTTGTTACTAACCCAGCACTTGACATGTGTCACCGTGTGAAAGTGTTTGAAAAAACCCAATGACTCTGTTCATCACTAGACATGAGAAAACCCAATAATTCTCTTCAACAAGAGACACGACACCTCATGAAATAAGACCACCAGCGCCATTTGTTTTGCTGTAACCCCCTTATCACGTGGTGCCTTTAATCATGTCTGTCCGAGCTAAGCGTGGACGCCGTGGCTGATTGTTGGCCGTGGCTGTTGTCGGCCGTGGCTGTAGTCGGCCCCGTGTTTGAGGGCCAGCAAGATGCAGCGGTCTGATGATTGCATGGGACCTGTAGGGCTCATCCGTCAGGGGTTAATGGGTGCCCGAGACAGGGGGTTTGTTGTACACGGGGTTAATCTGTGCGGCGTGACATACGCTGGTGGGGGGGATTAGCTCCCGTCATTGGAGGGGTTAACGTTATGGGAGGTGTGATGTCAGTGGGAGGGGTGACGTCAGTGGGTGGGGTGACGTCATTAGAAGGTAAACTTAATGGGAGGGGTGATGTCAGTGAAGGTTTAACGTTATGGGTGGAGGGGGGGGGGGACATCATTGAAACCGGCGGGTGGCGAGCTGTTGTTGGGTTAACATCAGTGAGGATGTGACTTTTAAGTTCTCATCAATATAGCATTTTGACAATGTAGGACTGACTTTGAGGCACAGAACTGTGACTTTATAACGATTTGACTGAGATGTTTCAATTACATGACTGCTACATAACCAGTGTTTCTTCCAGACTTTTTTCTCCGGGGGTGCACTTGAAATTTTCGGGGGGGGGGGGGGGAGGGCGGACACTGTCAAAAAAATATATTTTTCTATATAAATTCCATTTATGCCTGAATGAAACTCTGTACATGACTGATACATGACTGCTACATGACTGAGATGTTACAACTACATGACTGCTACATGACTTCTAAATGACTGCTACATGACTGAGACGCTACAGCTACCCAGCCATTGCATCTAGCTTTTGTACAAACCCCTCAGTGTAAGACCAGTCTCTCTACCGTTTATTTCCTTGCAAACATCTTCTCCCTTGTGAAGCCTATCTAGACTAGCGTAACTCTCCCACATCTCTAGCTTGACGCCATTCCCCTTAAGCTTATCTAGACTAGCGTAACTCTCCCATGTCTCTAGCTTGTTCCCCTTGTTAAGCCTATCTAGACTAGCGTAACACATCTCTAACCTGTCCCCCCTTGTTCCCCCAGATCTTTGCCGGCTGTGGGGACCCCCCAACATCAAGTCCAGAAAACGTCGCCAGGCTCAGGACACGACCGAGACCCAGAAGCAAACTTTCGAGTTCCCCACCAGCAAGAACACCGTCAAGCCCGCCCCCGGGGACAAGACGGGCAAGAGGAGGTTCCCTGCGTCCGGCAACAAGCTGGAGCGGCTGGTCAGTAACATCAAGGACAAGGTCAACCAGACCAAAGACTTCTGGATCAATCTGGCACACAGCATCTGTAACAAACGAGCAGGTGGCGGACACGTCCACAGTGGAGGACTGTTGGAATGGTCAGGATAGGGGCAGGTGAGATACGGCAGGGCACAGGGGGGGGGGGGGGCAGGTGAGATATGGCAGGGGTACAGGGGGGGGGGGGCAGGTGAGGCAGGGTACGGGGGGGGGGCAGGTGAGATATGGCAGGGTACAGGGGGGGGAGGTGAGATGGCAGGCAGGGTACAGGGGCGGGGGGGGGGGGGGGGCAGGTTAGATGGCAGGGTACAGGGTGAAGTAAAACTTATTGCATGCTTAAGTTCACACATACAACAAATTGTTTTTTTCTAAAGAAAAAAAAATCTATAATCAAAACAACTTTTAACTAAGTCAAAATTCTGTATAATGTCCCTTATTTGATTTATCCAAGTTCATTTTTAATTAAATTACGACTTACTATTGTTTACGTTTTTAAGGTTAGTTGGATAAGGAACATATAGGTATTATCTCGACCATCATAATACTAGCACGCATCTATCAGTATTGCTGCACCTCCATTAGATGATCCTGGTGGCGCCCCTGATCTCACACAACACCCCCGCTCCCATACAACACCCCCCCCCCCCCCCCCCCCCCCCCCCCCACCATCTTACAAACTGGACCAATTTAACATTGTTTAAAATAGCCATCAGAGTTATGAGTATTTAAACGAATATTTGAACTGTGTTTGGTAAAATAAATATTTGCCTGTAAGTTATAACCGTGCACAAACGTGAGCTGTGAATTGTTTAAACGCCGTCTGCGAAAGTTATAAAAGTTGCTGAGTGCTTGTCTCCCCTCGGCCAAAACCAAGGGAAGTTAAAAAAAAAATTGTAGATTTTTTTTTTAAAAAGAAAAACAGGAACATGAATCATTCTTTCTGTCTTAGCCTGCTTGTTTACACGTAACGCGAGAGACTGCGAGATCGAAGAAATGGGTTTCTGCATGCTAGACTAGGCTTTTGGGCAGGGGGGATGTTGGAGAGGGAAGGGGGGGGGTGTTGGAGAGGGAAGGGGGGAATGTTGGAGGGGGAAGGGGGGAATGTTGGAGAGGGAAGGGGCGAGAAAGGAAGAAAAAAAATGTTTTGGCCCTGAGGGGATGTAACTCGACTGAATTGTCTTCTCTTGTTGCTTGAGAAATGTTCTCATACGTAAACGCCGGGTGGAAGGTTTTAGGATTTCGCTCAATTAGAATCGCTCACACAGGGGTAGCTTCCCCTTGCCTAGACGACTAGTCTCCCCTTACCTTCGTAGTCTGGGCAAGCATTGGTTGTCTTGCTGTCCATAATTTGACCCGCTGTCTCTGTGTACTGATTACGTTCACATTGTTTTAGTTTAAACTTTTCAATTAAATAAATAAACCTGCACGATATGACTTTAATACGACAGAACCAAAATAGCCATCATAGGATGTGTTTTTATGTGCTAGACGATTTAAAAAAAAAACTTCACACACCTAATGCGAGCGATGAAAGGTCGCCTGAAAGAAATTGTTTGTTGCGCCTAACCTCCGACCTTGATACGTCAACGAGTGTAAAAATAATTTACATTTTCAAGATTAAAATATGCAGCAGCGAGAATGGGGAGATAACTCCGGCCTTCTCGGGACGTAACAGGGGGGAGAACTGCGTGGTGGTAGTCGTGAATGAGATGCGTGGGTGTGAAGTTTTTTTTTTTTTTTAAACTGGGGCATATTTATTAAATCAAGATTAGGAGACTTTTATCCCCATACTAACAATACTGTACTGTATGGCGTAACATTTGTCCTGTAGTGGCCAAGTAGCCGTAGCTATTTCCCTGCAGAATAGGGCTGGTAAGTAGGTCACCATCCAGTTCTATGGCTCATGCAGGTTTTATTGAGCCGTAGAACTGGTTGGTGACCTACTTACCAGCCCTATTGTTATATTGTTGAGACGTTACATTTTAGTATCGGTCACCAACTCGGCTAGTGTTGCTAGTTAATCCTCTGTGTTGTGAACGCATCGTGTTCTTTGTTTTTAACAAAACTGATGCTATTACATTCTCCCCCCTCCCCCATCCTCAACCTCCCCCCACCCCCTTCTCGTCAAGCAGGTTCTTTGTGTAGATGTAGCTTTAGTCTGACCTAGTTTGTGGTTTTGAAATTATCACCTGGTCAGATATGACGTCACTATCTTAGGTACCTTGACATTCCTGGGGTCGGGCACAAAAATCAAAATGTCGGGTAGCAAACGTTGATCTAACCTTACACCCGGGGATAACGTGCCCGGGCTAAAAATAGATTTCACTCACTCCCTCCCAGGACACTCGCACCTGTTGTGATTTCCTCAAGGGTGGGGGGGAGAGGGGCGTATCGGGGAGATGGGAGGGGCGTATCTCTTGTGTAATGAATAAAGTAACTGCATATTTTTAGCACATTACTTTCACATTTGTAGCGCAGCTTAACTGTGTTACTTCACCAATTTTAGTGTACTACTTAACAATTTACACCACCGTGTACTTAACTAACAAATTTACAGAACTTTCAAGTGACGTTTAGGTAGATTTACCACAGTACAGTCTTTTATCAGGCGCGCTAAGGGGAGGGTACTCTGAAGTTATCTATCTTTAGCCACATTGGTTGAAAAGTACATAAAAACATCATATTAACCCAAAGCTTTTATATCACTTAGCTTAGTATTGATTTTAAAATATCGGATAGCCGTACAGGAACTAAGTTTCCATAAGACTGGCCTAGAGTAGTGTCCACAATGTAGCTATAATCTCATTATGGAACCAATACATTTTTTAACTTTTATGTTTATTTTTCTTTCTTTTATTTATTAAACCAAACTGCTCAAATAACTGTCAGGTTAATTGGACTAATTTCTGCTGTCACATGCCTTGACCACCTGTGTTGTGTATCCCAGGTATTTGCCTGAAGTCCAGAAAGACGGCATCCTCAACCAGATCAGCAACCCTGAGGTAGAGGTGGACGTGACCAAGGTCAACACGGTGGTCAGCAGACAGAAGGTGCAGCTTCAGCTCATCACCCACAGGCTCAACATTGCTGGGAAAGGGGAGGATGTGGATTGGATAGACACTGGTCAGTCAAAACACGCTGTGGTCAGCTTTTAGTTTAGTCTTAGTTTTATACCAGCCCATCTACAAAGGTATATATATATATATATATATATATATATATATATATATATATATATATATATATATATATATATATATATATATATATATATTTATATATAAGTAGGTACTACACGTTTTGACTGAAAAGAAATGCGTTTTGACTGAAAATAAATGCGGAGTGAATTTGTTTTTTCCAGAAATTGAGGGAGTGTTGAGTGGCAGTGGGAGTGGGGACCTGGAACTGGGCAGTGGCTCAGGTGATAGACCTCCAGTCACAGACGTGAACCCTGATATAGACATCGACAACCAGCCAAACAAGGAGACCAAGAAGCCAACCCCCGCTCGCCCCCCACCAGAAAGGAACAACCCCCGCAAGCCAGAGGTGCCACCTAAAGCTGATGACAGAGAGAACCGCCAACGCCCGGAGTCGTCACCCAAACCCAACAAGCCAGGCGGAAGAAATTCAGCGTCTCTTCTATCCATCTCATTAGGTGTAGTTGTACTCGTGCTTTCATTACATCATGGACTAGCGGAGATCATGTGTTGATATTAATTATACAGAATGGCAGAAATTTTTTCTCAAATACCAAGAGGAATTCATTTAAACCTAAAAGTTTTTTTAATAAGTTTAAACATATTTTTTATAAAGAAATTGAACTTACTTTAACTAGGAAGAAAGTGAATGTCAAAGATTTCTGTTCCACTGCTTGAGTTTTACCTGGGCTATCAGCCCTCCCTACAGAGTTTTATTTTTAATATTTGAATACCAAAGACTTTATTATTATCTTCAGTACCACATACTTTTATTTACTTAATTTTTAATCTTGAAAAGAAATTTGTTGAAGTTTTTTTTTACGTAAAGAATGTTTTCAAATTCTTTTATGAATGACCAAGATTGAATATAGTTCAGCATAGAAAAAATGCGTACATTAAGTAAGAAAAGACACGACAGTGCCTTTCATTAGCTGTTAGATCTAGCTGCTACTTATTTATAGACCATATATTCCTACCATGTGACATACATCAACCAATCAGAATCTGCTGCTGAGGACTATACAATTTATTTTCTCATACAGTGGTGGATGTATACATTTCTACGGACTTTATTTTTTCATTTTCCTAATGGATGTGTATGGCAATGAAGACCTAGAGAAATGGAAGCTTTAACTGTAAGCTAACGAACTTGGAAGCTTTAACTGTAAGCTAACGAACTTGTTCCAGGATGGAACCTGGTCTTGTTCATAGAACTTCATCGACATTTACCTTGTGCATGGAGTAAGGAGATGATGAGATATCTCTCTAACACCAGTGGGACATGATGAGATATCTCTGTATCACCAGTGGACCTCAAATCAAATTTGTACCGAGCCATCATATGATTCAACATAAATGTATATAAGCTATTTATGTAGAGGACAGATTGATCATATGTTGGGAGGGACAAGCGTGGTCGCTGGCCACAGATTTGTTTGGTTTTCAGACTCTTCAAGCGGATTGTAACTCATTTGTGTACGATTGTGTAATTGAGTGATAGTCTGTGGTGTGTCAGAGATGGTCAGTGATTGAAGTGGTTGTGATGTGTGACAGAGTGGTCAGTGATTTGTCATGTTTGTTTGAATGGTCAGTAAATGCTATTTGTGTGATCGAGAGTTAACGAGTTGCATAACATTTTTTATTTGTAAGCATTAAGTAAGGAACATGTAAATATAAAGTTTTAAAACGGGGGTACGAGCTGGACATGAGATATTCAACATGTCCGCAGCATTAAACTAAGGTTTGGATTTTTTTTCTCTCAAATCTAATTTCTTGGGTGAAACCTTTTCTTTAAGAAAATTTTACATGAAAATTTTCACAGAAAATTTCCCTTGTTAAGTCAATTCAACTGGACCTAAGCTCTACACATCTTAAGTCAGGGTTATCAAAGAAAAATATCCAGCATAATAGTTCAATTTTTATTTAGTGTGGATGACTTAATTGTTTTTTAAAGTATATGAAAAGCACATTTTTGAAGTTCAGTCCACATGCTAAATTTTAGTATTAGGACTTTTTAAATAACATTTGAAAACATATTTATAAAAAAAAAATGTTTTTATTCTATGTATAGAATTGTGTGACACAAGTAGATATTGTATTTTTTTAAAGTTCTCAAATCTACAATCTTGGCATTGCTGTCTTTGGCTACTGCCTCCACCATAGACACATCATGTTCTATAGCAACATTGCTGGATTGGTCCTGGCTAATGATAGCAAGAAACAACTCACGTCCATATCTTGTAGAGCAAACTGTTGTCCACACCACTGCCCCACATCTACCCAGTACTGCCCCACCATTTCTTAATACTGCCTGACCATAACACAGTACTGCCCCACATTGACCCAGCCCCCTCCCTACCCCAGTAGTCCACCCTATCTCACTGTATTCACATTTCAAAAGCCACAGCAGTGCCCTGTCCAACAGTACTCCATCAGCACCCCACCCCACCATTGCCCCCAGCAGTACCCCATCCCACCATTGCCCCCAGCAGTACCCCATCCCACCATTGCCCCCAGCAGTACCCCATCCCACCATTGCCCCCAGCAGTACCCCATCCCACCATTGCCCCCAGCAGTACCCCATCCCACCATTGACCCCAGCAAAACCCCATCCCACCATTGACCCTAGCAGAACCCCATCCCACCCTTGCCCCCAGCAGTACTGCTTGCCCCTACCCAGCAGTACCCCACCGTGCCTGTCAAGGCTGAAGTCCCAGCCACAAAGGCAGCTCTACCATCATGTACATTTGACCAAAGAAATGAGCTAAAAATAGATTTATCACTCAGCATAAAATTATTTTTTTTACCTAACAACAAATTTACTGGTATTTTTATTTAGTGCACTTAAAGCATTGTTTTTTAAAATCACATTTTTACTCAGGACAAGTCACATACATGTATTAATGAGCTAAATCATCTACAGTTTTTATTCATCTTTTTAAACATTTTGTGTGTTTTTTTAACTACCTCAACGATGAAGCAACCTACCGAATTGACATTTCATTCATGCAATGAGTCAATCCCTCACTCTTTCTTTGCTCCTGAGTTTATGACAATCACCACATTATTAGGTCCTTAGTTTAATTAAAAAAACTAATTAAACCAATTATATTTATTTGTATGGATGGATGTGCAGCTAATGAATGAGTAATCTTAAATCTTTTTACAAAAAAGAAAATGATGGCCATATTTTATTCAGTATAATGTAAACTGTCAAAAATTCTTTGTTTTTCCCCTACCCTAAATGTAAATTGTTAGACTTTTTTTTCTCTCCTTTGTTCCATTGTGTTATGTGTGTGCCTTTTAGCTGATCAACAATTTGTTTCAAACTAACTACAAAATCACATGTAGGTGTTTTAATAATTTTAATTTCGCCCACCACAAAAATCATTTTTTTGACTTGTCTATTTAATCAGTTCTACAGTCGCAAATCTCTGCTACAAGCTTTGAGTCTATAAACAATTTTTTTTGGCTTCAATCAGAGTTATGATCACATGTCTTTTATAAGTTTTATGTTTTACAGAAGTATAACAATTCACTTTTTAATGAAACTTTTATTAGTTGTTATACATTTCAAGCAGCAAAGGTATATTATATTTTGACTTTTATACTTTTAAGGTAAAGTTTTAACCTCGTATAAAATTTCTTTAAGAAATTGTGGTCAGTCGATTATATCAAGCTGGCTCAGCTTATTTCTAGATCACAAAAAATAATGTTAAAGAGTGAAAGCTAGTTTTTCCCACATGTAAGTTGAAACATGCCCACAGCCCAAGATGGGCGACATGCCAGAATAAGATGATGTTGACGAAAGGCTGCTTTTCCTTGCCTCTGTAGATCTCTGTCCACCCAGCTCTGATAGGCTCCGAGGAGTGGCTGGGCAACTCTACTTCCCCTACCCCACAAACCACCAGTTCCTGATATTGTTGAACACGTGAGCCTCTGTGCCACTGAAGTGTTATAAAACCCTTTGTGTTTATGCATAATAAATACAAAGACGTAAACAGAAGGTTGAAATTTTTTTTTCCAATGAGGAAGGTGAGTAGATTGTATAGAGTTATGTGTTACTTACTGTGTATAAATATCATTGAGAAATATTTACAATAAGAAAGTGTACACTTGTTACTGTATTCATGATTACTTTCATGTCCTGGACTGTAAACCCACTTGTAAAGTCCAGGCTATTCTTTATAGTAATGTTGGTATGTGCATAAAATATTTGTATGATTTTGTAAAATATTATATGACAGCTGGGTTAGGTTTGGGGAGGGGGGTGGGTGTCATTGGGGTGGTATAAACTTTTGTCAGTCATGATTTAAACTGTATTTACCTGTCTGTGTATTTGTCACTTTATTGGAACTTTGTACTTGTCATTTTACCAGAACTTTGTACTTAGAATTTTTTTGGAACCAGTTGTCAGTTTATAAACAAACATTGGGAAAATGCTTTTTTTTTTTAAATTTTCTCAGAAATTTTTAATTTTACTTTATGGTGATTGAAAATTGTTAAAACTACAAAAAAAGTATGTTGAAAGAATCATCATGGTACAATTTGTTTTTTTGTAATGTTTACAATATACATAACATATACATACAACTAAAGCATATGCCATGCTGATCGAAGTTTTATATTTTTATTAAATATTGATACAACTAAATTAATTGTGAAATGATATGTGTGTTTTGTACCTATTGTCCAAGTTGTTAGACACATAATTTATTCTTTTAGTATTGATTGATATATTTGAACTATGTATTTATTTTGTCTTCTGTCAAACATTCAGTTAAAAAAAACAACTTTGGCTTGAAGCAGTATAGACCCCCATAGGGCATCTTTATTTTTTTAAAGTCACAGAATTTTAAGAAAAACTTGTTAAGTTCAAGTGAATTAATTAACTGTTTTGTATTACCATGTGCTTTTGTTTTTGTAATTTAATTAGTGGACATCAAAGTTTTAATAAATAACAATAAAATCATTTTTGAAATCAAATTTAGTTTTATGTATGGTTCAAGTAATTTTTTTTATTGCATGAAAAAAAATTGAGAGGTAGCTCTTTTCACATATTTGGGTTGTGATTCATCTATGTATTTTGTTTATCTTTAAATTTAAAAAAGAATTTCTGACTATGCAATAGTGAGATACATAGGAACTTGTAACATTATAGTGAAATATTTCATCTCTGTATAGCCCTAACAATACATGCATTTATTTTTTTAAATTAACATTTTAATAGTCATATTGGAGTGTTTTCATCTTGAATGTCAAACCATCAGTTTTTAGAATCAACATTTATATCTTGAAGTATTTGCCGGCATAATTTTAGTCATTTAAATAAATAAACAGCCAAAAACATTTTCTGGCCAAATCCTTGTTTTAACAGCTGTTACCATTGCTAATACATCTTTTGTTTTAAAAGACAGCCTTCAAAATAGTTTAGAAAAAAAAAGTTTTAACATCTTTTGTTTTAAAAGATAGCCTTAAAAATAGTTTAGAAAAAAAAAGTTTTAAAATAACCGCAGCGTTAGTTTTGCAATTGACCAAGCACAAATGATTGCTGTCAAATTGAATCTTCTCATTTGTTGGTGTGTGCAAGAGATGACACAGATGTGATCACAGCCAAACTGGCAAGCTGGCAGCAAGTCTTAGACTGTTCTTCCATTCACAAATTAAATTCTTCTAGACCCACCAGCTGTTTTTGTTAGCATTATATAAACAAGTTAATTGCCTAATTAGTGGATTAAAAGAGGATTTTGTATATAGAAGACTGAAATAAATTAGACTTTTTTTTTCTCAAAAGGTTGGTTGTATCCTGCCACTGTAGGCTTTTATTTTGTTTTTAACTTGTGTGTTTATAGACTTGTCAAGCTGTGGTCCTAGATCAGTTTGTGTTGGTTCTCATGCATTCACGATGTAAAGAAATGGAAATTAAAAAATATTTGTTAGTAACAAAACCGTTGTGTTTTTGAAAGTTCATTTTAACTTACTTTATGTAAATTTTTATTCCATCTTCATGTTCACTGACCTCTGTCCATCTGCCTAAAAGTAAAATGGTAAACTTCATATCTTTTGTTTTTACAAATAAATTTATTGATCATAATGAGTAACATACATTTATTTATAGACAAGCTAAAAAAATCTGATATAAAACAAAATGCGTTACACAAATTTTGATCATAACAAAAAAAAATACATGTATGAACAACTCTTTTAAAAAAAAAGCCAAATAAATATTAAGTCATCTTGTGTTAATATCAAACAGTGGATGAAATCTACGTGTGAAAAATATGGGGTGTTCGTTACATTATGACAGAACAGAGGCCAACACTAGCGCTAGCTGGCAACATGGTAGAGGTGCACTAATCAGCAGGTTGGGTGGTGAAGATCTGGTTTGGTCAGAAGAAGAATAAAACACTGGGTTATAAAAGGCACACATTGAAAACAATAATATGCCTGTATGACATTGCATAGCAGTGCTAATGTTATGTTAGTCAATGATTCTGTATGTAGTAATTTAAGTGGGAAAAATTGTAGTTAGCTTCACCATGCCTTGTATTGGCTAGATTAATTCTTAATATTGTACGAGTGAATAGATCATCTTGCTTTACTTTTAAACACAATTAATAGTAATATTTTAATAGGATTATCTTATATATAAAGATGAATACATAGTTCAATTAATATTTTTAAAAAATTTGTTATGTATAACGTTGATAATAATGGAGGGGTTTTATTTGAATGACTGAGCTAAGGTATACTGCATGCTAGGTAAAGGCTTTAATGTTAGGTGTGAGCAGTTCAAACAACCAATACATGTGTGCTGGTGAGCAAAATAAAAAACTGTTTCTCTCTGGACTTAGACATAATTTTTCAGCACCCTGTACAACAACATTCAATTTAAAAAATTTGTGAGCACAATTTAAAAATTGTGAGCCGAAAAATAGGCAAAAAAAAAAAAATAATTTGACTTCAAATGTTAATATAATGAGTTATTATCATCTTTTCTAACTAGATTTATTTAGGTAAAGTTGTAAATAGGTTAGTCATGAATATAACCAAGAACACAACTACACACATTTTTCATTAGGACCCTGACCAAGAAAATAAATGTAGGTGTTAGAAGTAAAAACTCAAACTGCAGTTAAAAAAAAAAGGAAATTCACACTTGACAAAATTAATTAAAAAATAAAAATATTTGGTGTATATTTCAGTCGGTTGATATGGAAGCCACAATACAACTGGTTCATCTGAAGCTTCCAGTGCAGATAGTTCATGCATTCCCAGATGAAACAAAGTTAAAACCATAAAAATAAATTAATTAAATATTGACCAGAGGATGAAGGGAGAGCACAAGCTGGATATGGGAAAGGGAGATAACTAGCCAATGCTGGTTTTTGTCACTACCAATTTAAAAATATCAAATATATCTGGGTAATAAATCAATCATATGGTGGTGATTGTTATGGAAGTCGTCCAGGTACACAGACAGGTGTTTACTTTTAAAGAGAGATTGTTCTATTCTAAGTTATAAAAAAACCTTATACAAGTTGTTCCAAAAATTTTTGTTTGTTCCTGTGATAAAAGTTATACTCAAGTATCAAATAATAAACAGGAAGAGGGCAGCACAAAGAACAAACCAAAGAAATCGTGTGCATATGTAACGGCTGATTGACTTGTCCTGACATATCACAGCAGCAAGGGAAAAAAACAAGCACACTGAACACAAGGCAACATTTTTTATCTTTTTAGCACTTTTTTTTTATCTTTTGAAAATTAACACATTTTTTATCTTTTGAAAATTAACACATTTTTCATCTTTTGAAAATTAACAAATTAGACCAAGAACATTTGAACGTTTATGAGAAATTTTCCTTTTTCATGGTCTCAAAAATGGTCTAAAATTAGAATTTTAAACATCTGAATCTCAAGATTTGTCTTTTTTTTTAACTGCACTTTTCCACATTTCAACAAGTACCACAACAGTTGTAGCAAACAAACATCTGAAAACATTTAGTACACATGTACAACATTAAACAGATTGTTAACACAAAAAATGTGTAATTTCATAAAAAATCTTAGATATTTAACAAGATGAGGACAGAGATGAAAAGTGTTTTGTTGAGAGAAAAAAAGAAACTACTGGGGCAGTTGGGAGGTTATATTAAATAATTTACTAAGCCAAACCAAATGTAAATTTTTTTTATTTTTTTTTTTAATTTTAAACTAAGGGAGACAACTGAAATAAAACGGTTTTTTGATAGTGTGTAGAGCAAAATTGGTAGAAAATTACAGACTTTAATTCTTTCTTCACACTTGTAAAGATCTTTTTAAAATTATATTTTTTTTAGTAATTTCATCTTTATTGGGTTTAAGTAAACTTAAAAAATTACTTGCTTTTAGCAGAAAGCCCAGAAGTTCTATTTTCTTCTGCGGCAAATGTGAAATTTTGTAGGGTTCATGAATTATCTTTCCTTTTCTTAAAAATGTGTCCAAGTGTTTATTGAAATGGTTATATCACAGATACAAGATGAGAAGATGAGTGTTAAATTACAATGAGGGTGTTCAGTCTCACCAGCTAGTTCACAAGGTCAGGAGATTGTCAGGGAAATGTATAATGTCACAGATTGGTCTACAATGTCAGGGTATTATGATATCAAGAGAAGGAACATTAAATATTATTAAAGCTTAAACAAAGGAAACAATGATGCAATCTTTTGGCTGAATGAAAACAAAAAGATGAAGGCAGGCAGTGAAAGTAAACAATTCTCAGTCAAAATATAAAATAAATTTGATTCCTTGCAGCAGCTGGATAGATAAAACGTATTTAAAATATTTTGGCTGGAAAAATACATAATGTACGTAATTTACATTTCTAGACCATCAACTAATTAGTTATACACATGAGGCAATATATGTTAACATTTGTCAATATTTACAACAAACTAAAACCTTTTACCAGATTATGAACAAAATAAAACAAAGCCATGGTGGTACAAATAACAAAATTAGTTCTGGTAAACAAATGGCAAAAAATCTGGCAACACGTCTATCACACCAGCAGCCATACTATATACAACATTTGTTAAGAAATTATTTCAATAATGAATTATTCAGACTTTTAAAAACATGGGATATCAACTTGAAAGTTGTTTGAAACAAAAATGTCTTGACAGAATTGACACTGGCAAGATTTAAAACAACCTTTAAAACCAATGTGGCACATTAACAAACTGGGGTAGGGGAAGGAGTGGAAGGGGGGGGGGGATAACTTATTACAACTATCAGATCTAATATCTGTGCTATTCAAAATGTTTTAACTGCTATTAAATATAAGGTAAAATGATTAGGGGTCATCCATTTATGACGTTCACATGGTGGGGGTTCCAAAAAAGATTGACTTAAATGGTCTTTTGAAAGGGAATTAAGTGGATTTTTGTAGACGGGGGAGGGGGGGGGGGGGAGAAAGAGGAGGGGGTTCCACAATCCAAAAAATTTGTGGACGTCATAAATAGATGACCCCTTATTTAGTATGTTTGACAAAAGCTTAACACATCAGTTAGCTACAAAAAAAATCCGAACAATTAAGCTCCCTTTTGAAAGTCACAAAAAAGTGTTTTGATTCATGGGTAGATTATAAGTGCACTTTAAGAGAGCCAAAAAAAAAACCAATGTACTTAAAGGCTATGTCTCACGTTAATGCTATTATTAATGTCCCTGCTTACATCAAACATTAAGTAGCTTAGGCCTACACGTAGAATATGTTCCTGAAATCAGGATGAGTTTTAAGTGAGTACATAGGAAGGATCAACTGGCTCACATCAAACTGTTATCCCTCTTGTCCAGAAGTTTAGATAGTTCAACAGAATATCCCAGTAGAAGAACAGGTCAACCACCTTGTCTAGAATGACCCTCTTGAAGGATGGTTCAACCGCCACTGTGTCCAGAATGACCCCCCCTAGAAGGATGGTTCAACCATCACCTAGTCCAGAATAACCACACAAACCACACAACCACAGATGACTATGCTGAGCTGGTGCCAACAGAGAGGCCTCCTATAAATGTCATTGACTGTCTTTGATGACTGCCCAGCCAATCATGCGGAACTATCTGGGAACAGAACAAATAAAAAAGGTTATCACTTGCTGGTGTAAAACAGAACCAACCAATCAAAACAACGCAACTTGCAACTGTTTAGGAAATGTTGGACCGGCACATTATTAAACACTTATATTTAATCTTCACAATCTTATTGACTAAAATAATTTTACCATTAACCTCCTCCCCCAATATGAATTATGTTAACTAAAATTAAAAGGTTCTTCATATATTTAAAAGACAAAATAAACATTATGAGACAAGTATTGAAAAATAATTCAGAAATGAAGGATTTTAAAACAAAATTATTATATTTGCAATTTGAGAATAATTTATGCAGGTTTTGAGAGTTTTGTTGCAGTAAAGAAAAACTGGAAAAAATTCAACATTTTATTTTTGAAATTACACTTTTTTTTTCCAATTAATATTAAATTCTTGAAATTAATATCACCATTAATTATTTAAATTAAATCTAAGTAAAAATGCAATTATTTTACAAACTAACATTTAAGCCACTACTAATACAAGAATCAACTAGCAAAAGATTTTGGCAGTGACAAAATTAGTTGGAGTTTTATCGTTACAGACATTAGAAGAGATTGAAAGAAATTCTTCAAGAGAAATTTAAACAGAAATATACACGAAACATTGTCTTACAAGGGAGAAGAGGAAAACTAAATTTTTAAGTCCCCTAAATATCTGCTAGACTTGGTTTTATCAATACACTGATTACATGGCTGAGTAGATGACATGACATTAACATTTGGGTAGATGACATGACATTTGGGTAGATGACATGACCTGGGGGTAGATATCATGACACATGGGTAAATGAGATGACATAAGTAAATGAGAAGACATGAGTGGATGTCAAAGCAGAGTAGATGACATGACATTTGGGTGGAGGTGATATTTGGGTAGATGACATGACATTTGGGTAGATGGAAGTCACAGAAATGGGGCAGACAACTCTAGCCAACACCACATGCTAAAAATAGTTCCTACAACAGATTCTAGCCATGCATGAAGTCATTCTCTAGTTGGGAAGTGCTTATAGCGGTCAAAGGTAGACTAAATAAGCAACTTGCTTTTTCTGTCAATGGTCAAAGGTAGACTAAATAAGCAACTTGCTTTTTCTGTCAATGGTCAAAGGTAGACTAAATAAGCAACTTGCTTTTTCTGTCAATGGGCTGGCAAGGAAAAAAACCCACTGCTTATATCCTCTGATATATGCTACAAAAGATGCTTATTTCATTAACTAGTTAAAATTCTTAACATTTGCTCTCATTAAAAATCATTAATGTCATTTTTTTAATAATCTTAACCTAACTGTAAACCCTAACCCTAGCCTTAACCCTAATTTAACTACAATGCTGTAAAATTTATATTACCTATGCCATTTACACTACAAACAAAATAAAAACACCAGTGCTCTACTCAGTTCAGATCCCAAAACCTTCTTGATAACCAACATTCTCTCAATCCTGCCATATAGATACTAGAAACAAACTTCAAAACATTTTATAAAATTAATAAAAATTGCGTTAAAATTATTCTAAAAATGTGTATGCCTATAAATAGAAACTATTATTGCAATTGCCAGAAATAAGCAGCTTATTTATTTAGCCTTCCATTTACAGATTGAGAGCACTTCCCTCTATTTGTTGAAGCTTCTAACACATTTAAATCTGTTTTAAAAAGGTCAGCGTCAGTAGTGTCGTAGTGTCAGTAATTAAACGGTTTTGATTAGACAAGTCACCTGAAACCTGTCCTGTAGGATCTTGTTAACAAAAACACTAATTGCTTTAGAGATATTAAGTAAAAAACACTAATTGCTTTAGAGATATTAAGTAAAAAACACTAATTGCTTTAGAGATATTAAGTAAAAAACACTCATTACTTTAGAGATATTCAGTAAAAAATACTAATTACTTTAGAGATATTAAGAAAAAACACTAATTGCTTTAGAGATATGAGGGGGAGAAACACTAATGGCTTTAGAGATATTAAGTAAAAAACACTAATTGCTTTAGAGTAATTAAGAAAAAAAACCACTAATTACTTTAGAGATATTAAGAAAAAAACACTAATTAATTTAGAGATATTAAGTAAAAAACACTAATTGCTTTAGAGATACTAAGTAAAAAAACACTAATTAATTTAGAGATATAAAGTAAAAAACACTAATTGCTTTAGAGATATTAAGAAAAAAACACTAATTGCTTTAGAGATATTAAGTAAAAAACACTAATTGCTTTAGAGATATTAAGTAAAAAACACTAACTGCTTTAGAGATATTAAGATAAAAACACTAATTAATTTAGAGATATTAAGATAAAAACACAAATTGCTTTATAGATATTTAGAAAAAAAAACACTAATTGCTTTAGAGATGTTAAGAAAATAAACAGCTAATAAAATGACAGCAGGATACATTTTTAAAAATCAGAATGCATATGATATAGAAATAAACATCTACTAAAATATAATGTGCAACACATATAAAAGTTTATCAATTCTAATTAATGACAAAGATATGTAAACTAAGCTGACCAAAAAGTATGTGCCCACTGGATTGTTAGAACTAATCTAGTTAAGTAAATGTGTTAAGTCATTTAAAACCAAAGCAAATTGTAAACGTCAATGTTTTTTTTAATGAAATGTACTATTGAAAAGATAATAAAGGAAGCATCAAATATGCTTTCAACAAAAATGCTTGTACTGAGTGCCAGTATGTCCCACTAACTTGGCTCTGACCATGATGGACAAACTGACCACAAGCAGTTTAAAATTTGGCTCTAGCTGTCCTTACCTGGCCGGCTATTTCTCTGATCTCCTAGGATGACCTAGAATTTGTGGGAGCTAAAATTAGTTTCCTTTCATTAAGGACATGATTTCCCTTAAACTTTTAAAACAGAATGATGACGGATGTTGAATGGGATATGACTCTAATACAGTAATAACTTGTGATGAAAGGGAGATAAGTTTTGGTAACAAGAATGGCTATTGCCTGAATAATTTTAGAAGCAACAATTTTACTTAAATTCATGACAAGAAAACTTCCATTGATAGAAACCTTATGACATACACCTTAAAATAATTTGTTACTAGCCATGGCTAATGATTTTTTTTCTTCTAAGCCATGGCTTATCTTAGCTGAGGTTGGTGTTTAAAGATCTTAAATAAAAGTTAATTTTTAACTAAAATGTAACTTTAAACCAAGTTGTTTTTATTTCCAGTTGGTTCAGCTTCATCTCCACACACAAAGACAAACAAAAACAACAAATGAAAATAATGCAAGACTTGAATTAAAATTTTCAACTCAACACAGTAAATTGGTGAAAATGTACAAAATGTTATCTCACTCTATACATGTGAACGATACCCCATCAATGCTGAAGCCCCATATCCAGATAGACTAGAATTTGTATAGAGCCGAAACAAGCATGAGATTGAATGATATACAGCATGAAATTATTATTATTTCCTCAGAACTTGTGTAAATATTAGTTGCAGTTTAGAATAATTAGAAAAAAAACTACTTCTTTCAAAACTACACTGTATGCAAAAAAAAAAAAGTAGTTTATTCAGATTTACCAATTAATGTTGTGTTCCTTGTTGAAAATCAAGAAAACTGATCTAAAGAGAAAACATGCTTGAGTCAAACAGGAGGAAAAACAAACAAAAATAAAATGGAGCTCTCGGGTGTAAAAAGTTAAAAAGTATTTGAAAATATGGAGCAGGGTAAGAGAAAAACAATCACATGCTTTAACAAAGAAACAATTAAAAAATTAAAACTTTGCAAACTTAAAAATAAAGGCTTGATAAACAATTTAACTATTCCACTTTTGGTATAAAAACTCAGCATGCCTAAATGTTTGTTGAAATTTGATGTTGAAAGATATGGAGAAACAAAGCCAGATAGCTTTGGAAACATTTAAATAACCAATGTTACTATTGTTAGACCCTAAAAACTGTAATCGCAGTCTAGTGGTCAGAAAATTATGATAAGCTAAGAACCATAACTGGTTTTAAATTATAAATGGAGAATTTTAACTAGTTGAATCAAGAACCATAACTGATGTTAAATAATAGGTGAAGAATGATAACTAGTTAGATCAAGAACCATAACTGGTGTTAAATTATAGATGAAGAACTTTAATTGATTGGATCAAGAACCATAACTGATGTTTACCTTCTCCCCTAACAGGATAGACAACCTCTCTGCTATCTCCTGGAAACCTGCCTTCAAGGATTCGTGGTATTCTTTCTGCTCCGTGGCTATAAGCTTGGCATTAAGGTCAAGGGCATCTTTACATGTTGTCACAAACTCTCTAAAAATAGAAAACATAAATTATATGTCAGTGGCATATATGATTATATAAATATATTTGTATGCTTAAATTTAGAGATCGTTCTAAAAATAAAATAAAAAATATTTCACTATACCATTATAAGTTTGGTATGTAAAGGGTATTTTTACTTTACTTTTTATAAAGAGAATCTGCCTTTTATTTCTAGTCATGTTTCAATTTGTTGGTGAATCTATAACTGATTGTAATTAAAAGATGTTTTTATATTTACTACTTTAAGTAAAGATTAGCATGTGACCTCAAATCCACCAGTAGCTAACTTGGCAGTGAGTACAACCTATGCCAGGTAAAGCAGACATCTTTAAGCCAAACTGAGCTTGAGGTAAAAAATGGGAACACACCTAAAAATAGCTTTCAACCTATCACTCTTATCCACCGGATACTGGGCAATTTTCTCTGGATTCAGGAAAGCTTCAGCATAAGCCAATGGACCTGCATTCACCTAGAATAAAAAGTTCATTCAGGCGTCTCAATCAGAGTATGTTATAGAGGTGGGCTAGGTGGATGGAAAAGTTGATGCATGAACTTACCTGAGTGCTTACACATCTAACATCTTACCTGAGTGCTTACACCTCTATCATCTTACCTGAGTGCTTACACAATCACTTGAGTGCTTACACCTGTGACATCTTACCTGAGTGCTTACACCTGTGACATCTTACCTGAGTGCTTACACAATCACTTGAGTGCTTACACCTGTGACATCTTACCTGAGTGCTTACACCTGTGACATCTTACCTGAGTGCTTACACCTGTGACATCTTACCTGAGTGCTTACACCTGTGACATCTTACCTGAGTGCTTACACCTGTGACATCTTACCTGAGTGCTTACACCTGTGACATCTTACCTGAGTACTTACACCTGTAACATCTTACCTGAGTGCTTACACCTGTGACATCTTACCTGTGTGCTTACACCTGTGACATCTTACCTGAGTGCTTACACCTATGACATCTTACCTGAGTGCTTACGCCTATGACATCTTACAAAATCTGCTTACACCTGCGACGTCTTACCTGAGTGCTTACACCTGCGACATCTTACCTGAGTGCTTACACCTGTGACATCTTACCTGAGTGCTTACACCTGTGACATCTTACCTGAGTGCTTACACCTGTGACATCTTACCTGAGTGCTTACACCTGTGACATCTTACCTGAGTGCTTACACCTGTGACATCTTACCTGAGTGCTTACACCTGTGACATCTTACCTGAGTGTTTACACCTGTGAAATCTTACAAAATGTGCTTACACCTGTAGCATCTTACCTGAGTACTTACACCTGTGACATCTTACCTGAGTGCTTACACCTATTACATCTTACCTGAGTGCTTACACCTGTGACATCTTACCTGAGTGCTTACACCTATTACATCTTACCTGAGTGCTTACACCTACGACATCTTACCTGAGTGCTTACACCTGTAACATCTTACCTGAGTGCTTACACCTGTGACATCTTACCTGAGTGCTTACACCTATGACATCTTACCTGAGTGCTTACACCTGTGACATCTTACACAATTTGCTTACACCTATGACATCTTACCTGAGTGCTTACACCTGTAGCATCTTACCTGAGTACTTACACCTGTGACATCTTACCTGAGTGCTTACACCTGTGACATCTTACCTGAGTGCTTACACCTATGACATCTTACCTGAGTGCTTACACCTGTGACATCTTACACAATTTGCTTACACCTATGACATCTTACCTGAGTGCTTACACCTGTAGCATCTTACCTGAGTACTTACACCTGTGACATCTTACCCGAGTGCTTACACCTGTGACATCTTACCTGAGTGCTTACACCTGTGACATCTTACCCGAGTGCTTACACCTGTGACATCTTACCCGAGTGCTTACACCTGTGACATCTTACCTGAGTGCTTACACCTGTGACATCTTACCCAAGTGCTTACACCTGTGACATCTTACCTGAGTGCTTACACCTGTGACATCTTACCTGAGTGCTTACACCTGTGACATCTTACCTGAGTGCTTACACCTCCCTGCAGCTTGAGCTGAAGTCTGATCATGTCTGGGACTGGACTGTTGATGGCCTCCCTGAGGTCAGCGACCTTTGTCCTCATCTCATCAATGGCCACCTCAATTGGGGTCAAGATTATCTCCTTCCTACCCCCCTCCTTCACCTCAATCCTCTTCTTCACATATGGGAATGAATGAGTTGCTAAAAACATAATATGCGAATGAATGAGTTGCTGAAAACATAATATGCGAATGAATGAGTTGCTAAAAACATAATATGGGAATGAATGAGTTGCTAAAAACATAATATGGGAATGAATGAGTTGCTAAAACATAAATTGAGAAGAAAATACATCTATTTTATTCCTACTATATCTAAATTGGACAAGCTCATCTAATCAAAAAGTAGGCCCTAGTTATATAAAACATCTTGAGTGTTTTTTCTCCTTTTAATTCTTGAAACTATTAAGCATCTTTTGAAAATGCTTTAAAAAAAATGCAAGTCTCAAAACAGATTAATTTAGAAAACCAGACAACTCTGATTAGAATTATTAGATGGATGTACAGAGTTGCCACATTGTAAAATCAGACCAAATTAATTATTTTCTCTAAAACAGTGAAAAAGTGTAGAGTGATCTTACTTGTGATGATGAACCTGCGTTTATGTTGCTCCTCTATACTGCCTTGCTCCTTGCCTGACCTGGTAAAGGGCAGCTCGTACATGAAGTTGCGAACATTGTTGTTACGCTCAAATTCTGTGACCCGGTTGGCCAGATCATTTTCTTCAAAGTAAGGTGTGACATAGACGATTTGAATGTAGGCATACTTAGGGTCAAGGTCACCTGGAGATATCTGTGAATATATTGCACATATTTCAAAATTATTAGATGTAAAAATAGTAAGAACCAAAAAGACCTAGTACTATCCCTGTTAAATCTGCCATGTTAAACCTGCCCACATCCCAGTTAAACCTTCTCCCAACCCAGCTAAACCTCATAGCCCAGTTAAACCTGCCCCCAGCCCAGTTAAACCTACCCCAGCCCAGTTAAACCTACCCCAGCCCAGTTAAACCTACCCCAGCCCAGTTAAACCTTCCCCAGCCCAGTTAAACCTTCCCCAGCCCAGTTAAACCTACCCCAGCCCAGTTAAACCAACCCCCAATACCAGTTAAACCTTCCCGAGCCCAGTTAAACCTTCCCCAGTCGAGTTAAACCTATCCCAGCCCAGTTAAACCTACCCCAGCCCAGTTAAACCTTTCCCCCAGCCCAGTTAAACCTGCCCCCAGCCCAGTTAAACCTGCCCCCAGCCCAGTTAAACCTGCCCCCAGCCGAGTTAAACCTTCTCCCAGCCCAGTTAAACCTACCCCAGCCCAGTTAAACCTTTCCCCAGCCCAGTTAAACCTGCCCCCAGCCCAGTTAAACCTTCCCCAAGCCCAGTTAAACCTACCCCAGCCCAGTTAAACCTTTCCCCAGCCCAGTTAAACCTGCCCCCAGCCCAGTTAAACCTTCTCCCAGCCCAGTTAAACCTGCCCCCAGCCCAGTTAAACCTGCCCCCAGCCCAGTTAAACCTTCCCCAGCCAAGTTAAACCTTCTCCCAGCCCAGTTAAACCTACCCCAGCCCAGTTAAACCTTTCCCCAGCCCAGTTAAACCTGCCCCCAGCCCAGTTAAACCTGCCCCCAGCCCAGTTAAACCTTCTCCCAGCCCAGTTAAACCTGCCCCCAGCCCAGTTAAACCAACCCCCTATACCAGTTAAACCTTTCCCCAGCCCAGTTAAACCTACCCCAGCCCAGTTAAACTTTTCCCCAGCCCAGTTAAACCTGCCCCCAGCCCAGTTAAACCTTCTCCCAGTTAAACCTCCAAGCCCAGTTAAACCTTCCCCAGCCAAGTTAAACCTTCTCCCAGCCCAGTTAAACCTTCCCCCAGCCCAGTTAAACCTGCCCCCAGCCGAGTTAAACCTACCCCAGCCCAGTTAAACCAACCCCCTATACCAGTTAAACCTTCCCCAGCCCAGTTAAACCTTCCCCAGGCCAGTTAAACCTTCCCCAGCCCAGTTAAACCTCCCAGTTAAACCTCCAAGCCCAGTTAAACCTTCCCCAGCCCAGTTAAACCTTCAACAGCCCAGTTAAACCTACCCCAGCCCAGTTAAACCTACCTCAGCCCAGTTAAACCTTCTCCCAGCCCAGTTAAACCTGCCCCCAGCCGAGTTAAACCTGCACCCAGTCGAGTTAAACCTACCCCAGCCCAGTTAAACCAACCCCCTATACCAGTTAAACCTTCCCCAGCCCAGTTAAACCTGCCCCCAGCCCAGTTAAACATGCCCCCAGCCGAGTTAAACCTGCACCCAGTCGAGTTAAACCTTCTCCCAGCCCAGTTAAACCTGCCCCCAGCCCAGTTAAACCTACCCCAGCCCAGTTAAACCAACCCCCTATACCAGTTAAACCTGCCCCCAGCCCAGTTAAACCTGCCCCCAGCCCAGTTAAACCTGCCCCCAGCCCAGTTAAACCTTCTCTCACCTTTTTGGAATCATTAATCATCTGTACATTCTCCCGACCAAATTTCTCACAAAATAATTTATGCAACCTTTCTCTGATCTCTGTCAAGGTTGTGACCTTGGGCTCCTTGTAAATATATTCTTTTTTGTCATCATCTTCAAAGTACGTCTGTAAATAATAAAAAAAAATTACGAAAAAATTCTTTGGTGCAGATTACAAAATCAAACATTGATTAAAATTAAAACTTTATTTTAAAAGGATTTCATAAACTTATTGAAATAGTTTTTAACTTCTTTGTTATTAATTTTAATGGTGAAGGCTTTCCCTCCAACACAGTTAAGTATACATGTCAACTTGTTTTGCGCCATTGAGGCCATCGACTCCGATTTCAGCCTGCTTTTCTTTTTGGATTTGCTTCCATAGCCTTTGTCCAACCAAGAACAAACTACAAGGCAGCAGTTGTTTGATTTTGGAGTTGTCTCTCCTAGAAGAGTGGCTGTCCCCAGCTATCGAGCCTTATCTGCCCGAGGGTTCAAACTCAAGAATTTTCAATTCAGCAACCATGAGCTTTACCGAGCCGACCTCATCAAGTTTTTTTAAGTGATTTAAAAGGAATTATTATTATTAAGCACAGCTTCACAACTAAAAAATAATCTAGCTACTGAGCTTTTTTTAACATTTCAAAAACAAAGTAAATAAATAAAGCTGGCTTTAAAACATTTATTAACATTTATTACTTCTCCATGCTTTAATTAAACAATTCGTTAATTAAATTGACTTACGACATGTTAATGGGGAGGTAAAAAGTGTAATGTCATTTACAGAAGATCCCCTTTAGTGTTTTACTAAACTTAAGCAACTTGACACCCCTCACCTGCCCATATAAAGTCACCATGTAATATTTCCCCAGCAGCCTCTTGCCTGTTTTCATTACATCTAGAACACTAGCATAGGCTCGGGATAAATAAAGGTAGCTGCTCTCTAGTTTCTGAAACAACAAAATGTACACAATCCAAGATTTTGTTTTCAGATGTTTTAATATATTTTTTATTTTACTTCATCTTATTTCTAACCAACTTTTATTTTTTGGTTACCTTGAAATTTCTGAGTTTCTCATAGATTGGAATAACAAGCTTATAGATTTCTCCCAGTATTTCATATCTCTGAGCCTTCTCTAAGAACTCCGCACCTTTCTCCAGATACTCCACCAGGGTTTCCTAAAACAGAATCAATTAATAATTAATTAGCACTCCTTATATAATAATGATTGTTTTTCTGGAAAATAATTTTATTTATAATTCAGTTTGTTCATAAAGTATTTATTCTTAGATTGGTATAAATTATGATAGTGAGTGAGTTAGTACTATACTTGATAATCTTGTTCAATGATTTTATCTCACAACAAAATGTCCAAAACAAAAAGGAAACATTTGACAGACCTCTGAATACTGGACATCTTGCATACCACTGTCATCTTTGATCCCAGTCTCCTCTACAACAATATTGGGGGAGATGTACCCAAAGGATGCGCAACCCTGGGGGTAGCTTCCTGCAAGAGGGAGACAACTTGAATCATGTGAAGGGAAGAGGGAGACAACTTGAATCAAGTGAAGACAAGAGGGAGACAACTTGAATCAAGTGAAGACAAGAGGGAGACAACTTGAATCATGTGAAGGTAAGAGGGAGACAACTTGAATTATGTGAAGGTAAGAGGGAGACAACTTGAATCATGTGAAGGGAAGAGGGAGACAACTTGAATCATGTGAACACAAGAGGGAGACAACTTGAATTATGTGAAGGTAAGAGGGAGACAACTTGAATCATGTGAAGACAAGAGGGAGACAACTTGAATCATGTGAAGACAAGAGGGAGACAACTTGAATCATGTGAAGGTAAGAGGGAGACAACTTGAATCAAGTGAAGACAAGAGGGAGACAACTTGAATCATGTGAAGGTAAGAGGGAGACAACTTGAATCATGTGAACACAAGAGGGAGACAACTTGAATCATGTGAAGGTAAGAGGGAGACAACTTGAATCATGTGAAGACAAGAGGGAGACAACTTGAATCATGTGAAGGTAAGAGGGAGACAACTTGAATCATGTGAACACAAGAGGGAGACAACTTGAATCATGTGAAGGTAAGAGGGAGACAACTTGAATCATGTGAACACAAGAGGGAGACAACTTGAATCATGTGAAGGTAAGAGGGAGACAACTTGAATCATGTGAAGGGAAGAGGGAGATAACTTGAATCATGTGAACACAAGAGGGAGACAACTTGAATCATGTGAAGGTAAGAGGGAGACAACTTGAATCATGTGAAGGGAAGAGGGAGACAACTTGAATCATGTGAAGACAAGAGGGAGACAACTTGAATCATGTGAAGGTAAGAGGGAGACAACTTGAATCATGTGAACACAAGAGGGAGACAACTTGAATCATGTGAAGGTAAGAGGGAGACAACTTGAATCATGTGAACACAAGAGGGAGACAACTTGAATCAAGTGAAGACAAGAGGGAGACAACTTGAATCATGTGAAGGTAAGAGGGAGACAACTTGAATTATGTGAAGGTAAGAGGGAGACAACTTGAATCATGTGAAGGTAAGAGGGAGACAACTTGAATTATGTGAAGGTAAGAGGGAGACAACTTGAATCATGTGAAGGTAAGAGGGAGACAACTTGAATCATGTGAACACAAGAGGGAGACAACTTGAATCATGTGAAGGTAAGAGGGAGACAACTTGAATCATGTGAAGACAAGAGGGAGACAACTTGAATCATGTGAACACAAGAGGGAGACAACTTGAATCATGTGAAGGTAAGAGGGAGACAACTTGAATCATGTGAAGGGAAGAGGGAGATAACTTGAATCATGTGAACACAAGAGGGAGACAACTTGAATCATGTGAAGGAAAGAGGGAGACAACTTGAATCATGTGAAGGAAAGAGGGAGACAACTTGAATCATGTGAACACAAGAGGGAGACAACTTGAATCATGTGAAGGTAAGAGGGAGACAACTTGAATCATGTGAACACAAGAGGGAGACAACTTGAATCATGTGAAGGTAAGAGGGAGACAACTTGAATCATGTGAAGACAAGAGGGAGACAACTTGAATCATGTGAAGGTAAGAGGGAGACAACTTGAATCATGTGAAAGTAAGAGGGAGACAACTTGAATCATGTGAAGGGAAGAGGGAGATAACTTGAATCATGTGAAGGGAAGAGGGAGATAACTTGAATCATGTGAACACAAGAGGGAGACAACTTGAATCATGTGAAGGGAAGAGGGAGACAACTTGAATCATGTGAAGGGAAGAGGGAGACAACTTGAATCATGTGAAGGGAAGAGGGAGACAACTTGAATCATGTGAAGGGAAGAGGGAGATAACTTGAATCATGTGAACACAAGAGGGAGACAACTTGAATCATGTGAAGGTAAGAGGGAGACAACTTGAATCATGTGAACACAAGAGGGAGACAACTTGAATCATGTGAAGGTAAGAGGGAGACAACTTGAATCATGTGAAGGTAAGAGGGAGACAACTTGAATTATGTGAACACAAGAGGGAGACAACTTGAATCATGTGAAGGTAAGAGGGAGACAACTTGAATCATGTGAACACAAGAGGGAGACAACTTGAATCATGTGAAGGTAAGAGGGAGACAACTTGAATCATATGAAGGTAAGAGGGAGACAACTTGAATCATGTGAAGGGAAGAGGGAGATAACTTGAATCATGTGAAGGGAAGAGGGAGATAACTTGAATCATGTGAAGGGAAGAGGGAGACAACTTGAATCATGTGAAGACAAGAGGGAGACAACTTGAATCATGTGAAGGTAAGAGGGAGACAACTTGAATCATGTGAAGGTAAGAGGGAGACAACTTGAATCATGTGAACACAAGAGGGAGACAACTTGAATCATGTGAAGGTAAGAGGGAGACAACTTGAATCATGTGAAGGGAAGAGGGAGACAACTTGAATCAAGTGAAGACAAGAGGGAGACAACTTGAATCATGTGAAGGTAAGAGGGAGACAACTTGAATCATGTGAAGGTAAGAGGGAGACAACTTGAATCATGTGAAGACAAGAGGGAGACAACTTGAATCATGTGAAGGTAAGAGGGAGACAACTTGAATCATGTGAAGGTAAGAGGGAGACAACTTGAATCATGTGAAGGTAAGAGGGAGGCAACTTGAATCATGTGAAGTAGAGCAATGTGATCTACACACTTCATATAAGTGTGGAACATTTGACGCTAAAAAACTAGAGCTGCCAATACAAAACATGTTTGTCAAGTTTGTATTCAGCAACTGGGTCATGTTTATCAACCAGTTTAGGAAAGACATGAAACAAATGTAATAGAACATCCAGATTAAAAATCTCCCATACACAACAAAGAAAACAAATTTGATTGAAGAAAACATATGTTACTGTTTAGTTAATGGAAAAAAAACTACTGTAAAACAGCACATTGTGTAGCGACAAAAAATTTAACAAAATAAATAGCTAATTATAAAAATGTATTTAATCAGTTACTTATTGACTATAGTCCAGAGGTTGGCTACGAAATTTTAAAAAAGCTTGGTTTCTATCAAGATCTATGTATTAGTTTTGTGCCTTGATGCAGTAAACTGCAAAATTTTTTGACACTGAAGGGATGTTTCTTTCTGTTACTCCAAGATGCTGCAACATTCCCCAACAACACAAGACTGATTTAAAATTATTCATTTAAATATACACATAAGCTAGCAATTTTTAAAAGTTTTAAGTTGAGCGAGTTAAAGAAACAAGCCTGAACTAGGCCAGCCAGAACTAGGCCAGTCTGAAGTAGGCCAGCATGAAGTAGGCCAGCCAGAACTAGGCCAGCCAGAACTAGGCTAGCCAGAACTGGGTCAGCCTGAACTAGGTCAGTCAGAACTGGGCCAGCTAGAACTAGGCCGGTCTAAACTAGGCCATGCTGAACTAGGTCAACCAGAACTAGGTCAGCCAGAACTAGGCCAGTCTGAACTAGGCCAGCCAGAACTGGAACAGCCAGAACTAGGCCAGCCAGAACTGGGCCAGCTAGAACTAGGCCGGTCTAAACTAGGCCATGCTGAACTAGGTCAACCAGAACTAGGTCAGCCAGAACTAGGCCAGTCTGAACTAGGCCAGCCAGAACTGGAACAGCCAGAACTGGGCCAGCCTGAACTAGGCCAGCCAGAATTGGGTCAGCCAGAACTGGAACAGCCAGAACTGGGTCTATCTGAACTAGGCCAGCCAGAACTAGGAGAGGTCTGTTAGGTTAGAGTTCCAATGTTGAGCATTGGTATACAACAGAAATCAGCCAACAGAAAATAAATATTTCTAAAGAAAGTAACAAACATCCAAGTGATCTCTACTATCATTTGCCTATAGATCAATATTTTACTTCTAAATTAGTTCAGAGTGAATATTTTACTTCCAAAAATTAAATACACAGATCATGCACAAAAGAAAACCAAAAGTAAAAAAAGCAAAAAAAAACCAACAACATCATTTAGTAAATATCTTTTCTAAGCGAGTTCACCAATTGAGTCATTTTTTGTTTGTTTTATACTTATTAAAAAAAAAAGTTTTTCTTGCATTATTTTTTTTAATTTACAAACAAAGTCTGATCATGTCTATAAGAAAACCTGGTAAAACAAGTTGTTATATAATGATAACTGTGGGGGGAGGGGGGATGACAAACAATTTAAAAAAAAACTAATTGGAAATAAAATTAAAACTCGAACATGAACTAACAAATTTAAAAAACTTTTTTAACATTCTAAACCGAAAACAAGATAACAGAATGGGAAACCTTAAATATAAAATCATTTGGATTAAGTGAAGTTTGCCTGTATCACAACAGCTGGTCAAGATTTACTACTAAAGCAAAAGTTTGTATTTACTATTTCAGTACCTCATGCTACAAAACAAAATATGCAAATGGCAGAATCTAGTAGCATGGACGATTCAAACTTTAACCAACCAAATAAAACACAGCTATTGAAGTCAAACCAAATTGTTTTAAAAACAAAGAGGTAAGTATGAGATTGTACAGAGAGGTAAGTATGAGATGGTACAGAGGTAAGTATGAGATGGTACAGAGAGGTAAGTATGAGATGGTACAGAGAGGTGAGCATGAGATGGTACAGAGAGATAAGTATGAGATGGTACAGAGGTAAGTATGAGATGGTACAGAGGTAAGTATGAGATGGTACAGAGGTAAGTATGAGATGGTACAGAGGTAAGTATGAGATGGTACAGAGAGGTAAGTATGAGATGGTAGAGAGGTAAGTATGAGATGGTACAGAGGTAAGTATGAGATGGTACAGAGAGGTAAGTATGAGATGGTAGAGTGGTAAGTATGAGATGGTAGAGAGGTAAGTATGTGATGGTAGAGAGGTAAGTATGTGATGGTAGAGAGATAAGTATGAGATGGTAGAGAAGTATGAGATGGTACAGAGGTAAGTATAAGATTGAGTGGTTAGAAATTTGACACTGAATCTTCTCCAAAATGCAAATATTTGACAAAAATGTCTTGACTTACTAGATTTTAACCTCCCTGTAAAGTAGAAGTTGGCAGGGTTTTAAGTTAGGATCAAAGTTAGGACCAAAGTCTAAAACTTACTCTTAAAATAACTGTAGGCTTATGTCTACACGTTTTATGTCTTTTCTGTAGTCAGCTGAATGGGTTAAGCACTCTTTTTTAACTAAATACTTTTTACATAAAAAAATATTTATTCTTCCTGACTGACCAATGTCAAGAGAAACATGATGGACACAACAACAACACCACCAACAGCAACAGCAGGTAATAAACTGCTGAGTCAGCATTTAAGCCATGTCAAAACTGTCTTGCTAGAGAGGTAAAAAAATGTCATCCACCATCACCAGCCTCTACTGGAAAACTTTATCTCTCAGTTTTTAACTGATGACATTTATAATCTCAGAATCACACAGAAATGAAAGTTGAGATTTTTTTTCTAAAATGAATTCAATCTAAACGTAAGGTAAAAACTAGTTAAATTATTTTCCTAATAGGCCTACACAATGGTGAGAAACAAGAAAAGGGTCTTTAATAATAAGTTTTATGTGAACAGAATTAATAAAATATAGTCAATAAAGATCTGAAAATAGAACAGTGAACTATAAATAACACCTTTATAGCCTAACAATAAACATGCATGAACAGTTCATGAAATGAACAACATTTTTTTTCTAGGTTTTGGGTATTAAAATAATTGATTTGTTTTTAACACTAGGCAGAAAAAATGTGATTTTAAATGAAAAAAAAAATAACCCTGATATCGGCAGATGTAATGCAAACAGCAAAGGTACACCACTCACCTTTTCTTTTCAGATATTCAGCAACCAAGGCTGCTATGTGGATGTAACAGAGGCCAGCCTGAGCATGGGATAAACAAGAATTCAAGCCAGGTTTAAAGAAAATACAACTAGTCATTGAAACATGTATTGGATTGATATTGTAGCAGCATAGCTAAATGGGTAAACAGGTAGCAATATTTATTTGGCGGATTGAAAAAATGCAATGGCTAATTAAAAATAGCACCAGAACTACACAGCTAACTTAAATAAGTTGAGGTTACTTTAATGGTGAGACCAAATGTGACTAATGGTGAGACCAAATGTAAATGGTGAGACCAAATGTTACTCTAGTGGTGAGACCAAATGTTACTCTAGTGGTGAGACCAAATGTTACTCTAATGGTGAGACCAAATGTTACTCTAGTGGTGAGACAAAATGTTACTCTAATGGTGAGACCAAATGTTACTTTAATGGTGAGACCAAATGTTACTCTAATGGTGAGACCAAATGTAAATGGTGAGACCTACCTCTGAGAAGTCTCCTCTCCGTATGTGCAGGACGGCCATGGCCTGAAGCCATGTCTTCCTGAGTTCAGGCGTACTAGCATAAGATTTGGCCAAGCTGTACTGGAGGTCAACTAGCAGCTCCGGGTCATTTTCATTCTCCCTCATCTGGGCCGTGGCCATCAGAACAGTTCGGATTCTTTTGGTCAGGTCCCTCACCTCCCCAGGGAAGGGAGTTTTCTGTTATTCACAATACAATTTTTGTCACTCAACATAATAGTAATAGTAGTGTCACTCAAAATAATAGTTTTGTCATTCATAATCATAGTTTTGTCATTCAAAACAAAATAAAAACAACAAACCTTGTTAAAAAATTTAAGAACCAGAAAAATAAAGTAGGAAATAATTAACAAAAAATAAAATTAAAGCAAGTAAAGCCAAATAATCTTTAAAAAATATAAATGTTTCACATATTTTATCAGTAGTGTACACAGTTGTTGAAAATTTACTTTTTTCAAATAGAATAAATTTTGGTAGGCAATGTAAAAAATATATAATAAATACAAGTTGCAAAGTTTATTAAAATAAAATTCAAATTCAAAACATGAAGACCGGCTAATCAATTAACTAGTTTAGTTTTTTCTACACATTGGACAATTCAAAACGTTATTACATGAATAAGGATAATAATCTCTATCATTAATTAGTGTAGATAACAAGGTGACTATAAATCAATTAACTCATAGTCTAAAACTATCATCTAATACCCAAATTACAACATCAAGATGACTTTCAATCAAACTGATACAAATCTGCTGACAAAATTAAATAGAGTGAAAATAATGAATGGACTGACATCAACAAATAGCCACTGTAGAGCAATGTGTGAAGACTAACTCAACAGTAAACCCTGACAGTGTCAGTTAAACACAAAAGCCTGACTGTGAACATGCTGATTTTAACATCAGCTGTAGCCTGGCCTAATCTAACACAACTGTTGATGCTACACTACTGGCTGGGTGTGTTATTTCAACATTCATCAACCACATCTAACTTACACAGCAGGTGACAACTCACATCACAAGAATCAACAACTACAACACCACCAGATCTCCACATAAGAATCAAACGTGTGTGAAGATGTTTGTGTTAGTAGCACCTGCATTACCTGACATAGTCAATGCATCAAGAGAAAATGTCAAAGTTAGAAGTCATCCATCAATCATTGGACCAGCCCCAAAGTGGGACACGGTATAGCTAACACCAGTGTTTCACATAGGTCACGCTCCAGTGAACACACAATTATCTGATTAACTCTGCATCAGGTCATGCCTCAGCGAACACAGTGTTAGTGGGTTAAATCAGTTCCTCTAGCAGTCAACACAATATCAAATCAGTTCCTCTAACAGTCAACACACTATCAAATCAGTTCCCTTAACAGACAACACATCATCGAATCAGTTCCCTTAACAGTCAACACACTATTAAATCAGTTACCCTAAAAGTCAACACACTATCAAGTCAGTTCCCCTAACAGTCAACACACTATCAAATCAGTTCCCCTAACAGTCAACACACTATCAAATCAGTTCCCCTAACAGCCAACACACTATCAAATCAGTTCCCCTAACAGTCAACACACTATCAAATCAGTTCCCCTAACAGTCAACACACTATCAAGTCAGTTCCCCTAACAGGCCACAGATGACAAAATATGTTCCTTTTAAGCATTTGATTGATGGGAACACAACTATCTAATGAAACCAGTTCCAGTTACAGTGAAACACACTAAGAAATCAGTTCCCCAAAAACTGAGCCCATGATAAAATTAGTCCACAGAGAAACACACTATTAAATAAGTTTGAAAAAAGTTAACTCCCTATTAACTCAGTCCATAGTTAAACACTATAAAATGAGTTCCTGTTTAATAAAATCCAGCAGTCCAACAGCATGAACTGAACAAGGTCACACAGCTGACAAACCAAGCTACATGACAGCACTAACAGTCACACCTATCCACCAACAATGAATAAAACACCAATAGGACTTCTACTTCTCCCACAGACAACTTGAATCAAACAATTCCACACTTCATCAAACAGTACAGAGTAAACTGAATTTTTTCTTCCACTGAACAGTTTTTACAAAAACCCAGAAAATTCGAGAGTAGCCTCCCCTGTAGTTTTTCAAGAAAAAAATCAGAGAGTAATGGGTAGGAAAAAAAATGTGTTCAGTCAAGCTTGACATAAGGCCCACTAACAGATCAGTTTATTACAGGAAATTTGGGGCTGACAAGGAAATCCAAGGGGAAAAGGAAATTCGTTTTTTTATTTTTTATTTTCAAATAAAACCTGCTAATACACATGAACTTGACCTACAACTAACAGCCTCAGGTATGTTATGCTACTATATCTTTATCTATAGTTAACTCTATTAAATTGTATAACATAGTATCACTGGGTGAACTATGGGCCAGATTTGTGTCTATATGTTTACTACGTGTTGCCGCAACATGTCTATAATTATACAAATACTCCATGCTGTGTATTTGTTATACCTAACTGTAATCATTTATATATTCTGTGGACACATTATAATTTTTGTCTAACAACCAAAGTGTTATAAGAGTATTTTGTCAACATCAGTTTTATTTTTTGTACAAAACGTTCGTAAGAATAATCAAGATATTTTTAAAAAAGACCATTGAACTACAAATGTTTAAAATCCTAACCAAATCCCAAAAAATAGAAAATAATTGAGTATACATAGTACAGTAGGAAACCAATTCAGTTAAGTTTTTTATTTAAAAAAAAGATGAAAATAAAAGATAAGAAGTAAAACTGAAGCATCCCATTAAAAAAAAAAAAAAATTAAAATAAAAAAAAAGGTTGACACTTATATTAACCTAATTTTGATCAATTTCTAATACAGTAATTTCTTCCAAGCTTTTCAGGAAAATTAATTTCACATGATATGCAAGGATATCTCATTTTCATTTATAATAAGATCAACATAAAGCTTGGTATATTCAACAACAAAAGGGAGATAACAAAATCAAGTAGTAACAACAACTCTTGAAAGTTTAGAAAGTTGTATCCCTGGATATTTTGAAACCTAATTGTCCACCACAGATTTTAACAAGCGGGATAAGTGTAATTTACAGGAGGGTTTTGTAGCAAATATTTGTCGTTTTGGGATGTCGACTGAATTAAGAATGAACTAAATGAAAAGATTAAATATAGCTCTCACTAATTGTTTCAAAACTTAAATATTGACATTCTTAAATTTTTACACTATCTGAATTTAAAAAAAAAAAAAAAAGAGTATAAAACAAGTATAAATAACCATTAACAAACTTTAAGTGCATTAAAAAGAAAATATTTATACTATTTCATATTCTATAATAATGTAAATAGAGCATTGGTGCCAAAATTTAGTTGAAAGATTTCTGGAGCAACCAGCGCTTTCCTTGTTATTATAGCAGAAGAAAATGTAATGATTGTTTTCTTACATTTAATGCATTTGAAAGTGTGTGATTTTAAAAGTTTTTACACTTGTTTTATTTTGTTGTAGCACTGATGAAAATTTGTCAAACATTAAAGGAGGGTTACTCTTGACTCATTTGTATGGAAGAAGTTTTGAAAAGTTAAGATAAAATAAAATTTCATGGTCAACAATGCAACTGAACACCTACAACCCACTGTGACTTCAAGGAATAAAGGGTCAAACTGTATCTTACAGCTTGGTAAGTTGTTTTTAAATAATATATTCATGTTACATATTGAAAAAAATTGTGTTAATGTACTTAAATTTAAAAAAAAAAGAAAAAAACCTATACAGCTATTGAAGCAGATTTGAAAAAAATAATTATTAACTTAATGATAAGGTTTTTAAAAGCCTTTGGAAATTTAAAGCATGAAGCAAACCAATTCAAATTTGTTAATTAATTTCAATAAAATATACAGGGGAGACTAGCAATGTTAGAATTATTTCCCTTAGCTGCAACAATGCTGTTTGCTGCAGTCATTGAATGGATTCAGTCCATTCAGTAATATGGGTAAATTATCAAAGATTAAGTGAAATAAGAATCTCTAAACCATTGCTACATGAACCAGAGAAATTAGGCCAATTATTTTTACCAGTAAGCTAAACACTGAAGTGTGATAACAGCAAGAATGAAATTAATGAAACAAAATATATATAAAACAAAACAAAAATTGAATTTTTTAAAAGTTGACCAAAATATTCTATCTACTGTAATAAAAGCAGTAAAAAGCTGAAAACTTGAAACAAACTCACTACAATCTCCTTCTGATCTAAGAACTGTACAAATAAAATTTTTAACTAAATAATAGAGAAAATGATTAAAGACAGATTTCTAATTCAGAGGAGGAACAAGTTATCTGCAGGAATTTTCAGAATAGAGGTGTAAAACTTACAGAACTATTTCTTTGTCATCATAGTTATAACAATATATTTCTATTTATCACAATTGCTTTAACTATTTAAGATTTAAAATAACTTTTCAAAATTAAAATGTTTTTTTTTAACCATTATAGCTTTCTTCTGCAACAATTAAGGATAAAACTTAAGTTCTGTAAATTGCAATTATGATAAAAAATATCAATTATCATAAATAAAAAAGCCTACAGCTATAAATAGTTAATTAGAAAATGTTTATTTTTTAAAATGCTAAAAAATGGTTTTGTAAAAAAGTATTATAAAAAATTCGCAACAAAAATATATTGGGTACACAATATAATAGAAAAAATATAACAATATTTTTAGTTTAGAAGACCTAAAATTACAGATCTTTGTAGTTTATACATGCATCACATCTGTTGACGTCATGTTATAAGAGAAGAGAGTAACTGACCTGAATGCTCTTGTCACTGTTGGCGTAGTTGTTGACTATAGCCAGACTCTCCTGGAACCTGGTTGTGCTCAGTCCCACCACGGCACCTATCAGCTTAGACACAGATATGATCACCTGGACAGGAGATAAACACAGATAGAATCACCTGGACAAAACACAGATATGATCACCTGGACAGGAGATAAACACAGATAGAATCACCTGGACAAAACACAGATATGATCACCTGGACAGGAGATAAACACAGATAGAATCACCTGGACAGGAGAAAAATTTGGGAGTGATTTGTTGTTCCCTTGAATGTTTTAAATCAATGATGCTGATTAAAACAAGCCATATATCTGAGTCTACTACAACAAAAATTGTGACAGTACAATCATTCTAGGTCTAATAATGCTAACTGTGGCAATAAAGTTGTAAGATGGCTATGGCAAAATGGTAAATAAGCTAGTTAACCTGCATTACAAAGAGACAAATATTAATATAAACCATTGCTAACTTTTTAAAAAGAAGAGTTCCAAGATTTTTACCTGCAGATGGACTCTTGTAAAGCTCTTCCGGTTTGAGAATTCAAAATTACTCCTCATCAATAAATACAGCAGGGCACAAGCCTCACGTCTGGTGGAGTTCAGCTTAGAGTTGCAGCACCTTAGGATCTGTAACAAGACACCAGTTATAGAACTTTGGCACTGGCTATACACAGACTAATGTGAACAAGATTCTAGATTCATAATGAAACAAAAACCTACCTGGATTTATTTAAAACTTCAACTTTTTTTAAAAACTAAGTTAACCAGAAAACAAATCTGTCCCTACCTCAAAGCAGAGCTCCCCACACATGTCTGCACTTCCTTTAAACAAAACAGCTTGAAACTGTGGACAGAACGTAGGTGTTGGGAGTTGAATAACATAAGGACAGTTTGACAAAGTTGGATTATTTACTAGTGTCTAATACTAGAAACAATGGTTAAGTTTGTGTTAGAATAGTTAGAGCAATGAACAAGTCACCTTTTTAATGGCATAGGAAACAATGATTAAACATGAGTTAGAATAGCTAGAACAACGTAATGAATAACAAGTGACCTTTTTAATGAAAGCCCTCCAGGCACCAAAGACGTGTTTCTGTAAAGTTTCTGATTGGCTGGAGCGCAGGAAGCCCAGGTACAGCTGGAACACGGTATGCATCATGTTGTTGTCCCCCCCTCTGGCTTCTAGATCTTTCTGTTGATATGTGTACAAACACAACATCAGCAAACCATGACACAACATTTAAAACTGACACTACATTATCAAAATATGTGTAAGCCATTTTAAATAATCGAGAATCTAATTACATTTTATCTAACCAAGTTCAAATAGAAAACATTTTCCTTAAGTAATTAAAATAGAACTAAAGAATGTTTCAGCTAGAAAAAAAAAACAACTTAAAATGCAGTACAGAAGAAACTAAGAATTAGAAATATAGAACTGAAGAATGATGCATTTACAAAATATTTACCTCAAATGTGGTGCAGAAGAGACTAAGAATGACTATAATTAAAATTGAACTAAAGAATGTTTCATGTTCAAAAAATTACCTTAAACGTGGTACAGAAGAGACTGAGAATGTCTAAAACTATCAGGCCAACTTCTGTGGAGATGTTGGCTTCTTGTAAGGCTCGAATCATTGCATCACCATCTGATGCAGTGGGAGCTGTCATAAGATGTCAAAAAAATTAGTTTTTTTTAATGATACATTAATGATAATTAGTTTTTTTAATGATAAATTAATGCTAATTAGTTTTTTAATGATAAATTAATGATAATTAGTTTTTTAATGATAAATAGTATTTTTTGTATTGCTGTAGGTAGACAAAAGTGACAGTTAGTAGATCGTTAGTTATCAAGTTTGGTTTCCTGCATGAAATAGTCCATGTAATAAAAATGTTTCACAAATAAAAATAGTATATAAAATTCTAATATATAAAAGCCCATGTGTGCACTTCTCTCTGTCTGCATGTCCCAAGCCTAAGAGATCAGTAACTTCAACAATATTTGGAGAACTTAAAGATACTGACTTTTATTGAAAATAATATGTTGTATGTTTTAAATGTATTTAAAAAAATAAAATAAAAATAAAGCAATATTCGAATGTAGAAACATTTTTAATTATGCAACCGGAAAAGTGTATATGGTTGTGACAAGAACGCAATAAACAATGACGTCACATGCCATATGTTTAAACTACGGAAAGAACACAAAACTAATGGCGAAATCTTCCAATTTTAGAATATGAAGAAATGAACTGTTTCATTCAAATTTGAATTAGATCTAGATTTTATAATGCTTTGAAATGTTTATAATTTTCTCTGTCAAACTAACACAAATTACTTTAAAAAACAACATAAAGACTATTGAACAGCAGGGTTTTTAATGCAATCATTTAAGGTTCTTAATTTGGTTTTAATTTGCTTTTGTAATTGCGTTAGTATTTGCGTTTTTGTTTGTGTTTACGTTTGTGTTTGTATTTTGTTTTAGTTCTGCCTGCACCCTGGCAGGGTGCGATCAGGCACCCCGGGCTATATTATGAGCACTATGCATTTATGTTTACAATTAATGTTGTGTTTATGTTCACGTTTAATTTTGCATTATTTTCTGAGTTATTGTTTAGGTTTAGATTTGCATTTCTATTTGTGTTTATGTTTGCATTAGTGTTTGGGTTTTATTTGTGTTTGTGTTTGCTTTTGAGTTTGTGTTTTGGTTGGTTGTGGATAGTGTTAAGATTAAAGTTAGGTTTAGGGTTATGTGTTCTTTTGTCAAATGTCCATGCCGGTATAAGCTGCTTAATAAACACACAAGTCATGGTCCTTTACAGATTGGTTTTTCACAGAGGCCAGTGCAAGGCCTACTCGGGACGGCTAGTAATAAAATAAATTTCAAGACCATAAGGCAATCAATTGGACTGTCCAAGGTAGCAAAACTTTATCTTGATACAGTAAATCTATTAAATGGGAATCAATTGTATGGTGGGGGGAATTGGTTTCTCTTCTTATTATTTTATTACTTTCCTTCTGATAAACGAACATATATTTACTACTGTGACGAGGACAAGAATACTCTCAATTCCGTGCTTTAAATAAGACAACTCGAAGGTCAATTTGATTCACAACATTTAATTATTACACATCCGATGCTTGAATATACTAGACTTAACACAATATATACTTCTTTTCTACACCTACTGTTCAATGTTTCCTACACTATTGTCACTACACTTCCCTAACTCTACACTTGTACACGTCCTCTCACTACAAATTCTCAACCCCGACTGCCTAGATTCAACTGTCTCCTAAACCTCATCGTCCTCACTTCTTTGTCTTGTCCATCCGGTCTAACCTAATTTGCATGTCGCCACAGTTCTGGAGTACCTGATTAAAATGTCAGACCCTGCTAATAAACTACCCCCATTACGGTCACCCAGGCCAACTAGATACGTGTCTGCTACACCTACCCCCCCACAATGATGTCGCCCGTAATTATAATCTAATTCTAACCCGTGCTTTGTCGATCGTCTCCGTCATGTACATTGTCTATCCTACACCTGCATCTACGCCACCACAAATAGGACAGTTCATGATAGAAAACTTTTTCCTGATACAGTAAATCTACTAAAAGGAAATAAAATTAATAGCCCTCCGTAATGAAACTTACTATGAAATGCTTCAGGTATCAAATCTCCGTACTGACTAGGTGTTCTCTGTGAGGAAAGACTAATTGGCCGCCCACGCTGATTTTGTAACGGTGTTGGCATTGTGGAAGACTTTTGACCACCAATCATACTATGGAGCAGAAAAAATGTGTCATCTCAATAAATCTATAGAGTAGTACTTACATAATACTTTTAAAGTACCTGTAGGAACAATTCTTCAAAAACAAGAACATCAAACATGGGACTACAAGGAATACCTGCATATCTTTAGTTAGTATGCAGATGTGGCAGTATACTTTACCTTAGAGTGACTATCTTCTTTCGCCCCTGGTACTGGAAATGCTTCAGACTTAGCCTGAAAGACACAAAAATTTTGTTTTAATTCTTCAAGTTTTAATTTTCTTTTAAAAAATAAAGACTAGTAATATGAATTTTTTTTTAAAATTCAGTAAATGTGGCCCTTAAACATTGGCACAGTAATATTTATTAGTTTGAAAATAAAACAACTCACTCCATGATAGCAAAGAAATCAATTATATCAATCTCTGATGAATTATTGAACCAGCCAAGTAGAATGTCTGGTAAAAGAAAAGAAAATCAGCTGCATTAACCCAATGGCATACAACGTAGCAATACTGGCATACAACGTAGCAATACTAAATTAAGTTGGAGGAAAAATAATTATGTTGGAATCTTTTTTTTTATCCTCTCCAATATTACAAGAGGGAAGAATTTAAAAAAAAAAAAAAACATTAACTACAGTGGTAAGCTAAATGAACAACAAAGAATCATTTAACAGAGAAATTGAGATTATATGAGAGTCACAATGAGGTTCTTCTTGACATAAAGGTAACCAGACACCCACCTTCTGGGAGATGTTATAAAGGTAAGCACCCACCTTCTGGGAGGTGTTATAAAGCTAAGCACCCACCTTCTGGGAGGTGTTTGAGCACGTGCAGGAAACACACCAGCAGGTCCCTGATCTCTGTAGTGTCCAGCTTCTCCCTGCTCACATATGTGGCTGCTGATGGAGTCTTGGACACAGTGGACGACATTCTGTAATGGTCATTGTGCATTTTTATTGACAATCTGTAATGGTCATTGTGCATTTTTATTGACATTCTGTAATGGTCATTGTGCATTTTTATTGACATTTTGTATTGGTTAATGTGAATTTTTATAGAGCTTCTGTATTGGTCAATGTGCTTTTTAATGCAATTCAACTTTTATCCATATTGTGTAATGGTCAATGTGCATTTTTTTGGAAAATCTTCAATAGTTGCACATTTTTATTACAATTTTTATTGAAAATCTTTAATGGTTGCAAATTTTTATTACAATTTTTTTTTTATAGATGTTCTGTCATAGAGACACTTATGCTAAATGAAATATAAAAACAAACCTTGTGACAATCTTGCCATCTTTCTTGTTTCCACTTTCTTTCTCTCCAGAAGAGTCACTGGCCAGTGATGAGTTACTTCCCTTATGTCCTGAGGCAGCTGCTACTGTTAACTCGTTAGGGTGGTGTGGGACAGCAACTAGGGTCAATTAGATGATTAATTAGAGGTTTAATTAGATGTTTAATAAGATGTGTAGGGTAGCAACTAGGACAATTAAATGTTTAATTAGATGTTTGGGACAGCAACTGTGGTTACAGGACAATTAGATGTTTAAAGGGGCTACCTGCCCCAGAAAAAAAAGATTCTTAATGCTAAGATGTTTAAGAACTTTTCCCTTATAACAATTACAGCTACAACTGATCTAGTAAATAAATATATTTACAATTATTGTGAAAAAGATTCAAAACAATTGTTAATTTTTTTTATCAATTTTAGTTACTGTTAATAATTGTACACTGAAAGTGTTTGCTAAATTATAAATACATTATTGGTAGTCTAACTTAATTAAAATACCATGCTTAAAATTAAAACTAAGATTTATGTGCTAATAATAACTTAGTTTAGATGTAAAGAAACATTGTAAAAGGTTTTGAACAATTAACATTGGGGCTAGACTTAGTGAATTTTTAAAAATTAGTGAACAATAATAGTAACAGAAAAAGGTTTTTATAAATTATAAGATACATTTTTAATTTCTAAAATAGGCATGAGTGATAAAAAAAACAATTATGCAGTTTAAACGTAGATAATCAAAACTTGTAAATCAAGAATGGAGTTTTTAAAATCAGTTTAAAATCACAAAGAGATTGTTTGAAGGTAAAGTTAAAAATTCTAAACAATAACATTCAGGCCTGTAACTTTTCCAACATGAATAAATTGGACTGCAAGTTTCTATGAATAAACTGGACTGAAAGTAGTTTCTATGAATAAACGACAAAGTTTCTATGAATAAACTGGACTGAAATTTTTTAAGAATAAACTGGAGTGAAAGTTTCTATGAATAAACTTGACTGAAAGTTTCTATGAATAAACTTGACTGAAAGTTTTTAGCTTAGGAGAAAGTATACATGAATATTTGTTCCATCATCATGCAGTTTTTATTCAAATTCTTACATCTACCAAATCATCTTAACAAGAATTGTGATCAATAAAATTTTTAATCAACACTAAAATCCATGCTTTAAATATCAACAAATCAAACTGAAAGATGTAAAATGGGAATCACATTGTTGAGAAAATAAGACCAAGCATACATCACTTACTTAACTGGCTTACAAAGTTCACTGAAAAAAATGGTATCAAGTTTTGAACTGGGTGGGGTCTATGTGGCATCTGGACTCATTAATCTCCGTCTCTACACTAGCCATGCTAATTAAGTCATGCAGATAGCTCGAAGACCATGCTTCGCTGGAGAAATGAAGAAGAATTGACAATTCTGTGTCAATCAATGTCCACAGGATGCAGCATGTTATAGGTACATTGGACCAACAAATGTCCATCAATAAATGTCCATAATTTGTCTATAGGATGCGGCTAGTTATAGGTACATTGGACCAACAATGTCCAATAAATGTCCACAATTTGTCTATAGGATGCGGCTAGTTATAGGTACATTGGACCAACAATGTCCAATAAATGTCCACAATTTGTCTATAGGATGCGGCTAGTTATAGGTACATTGGACCACCAACAAATGTCCATCAATAAATGTCCACAATTTGTCTATAGGATGCAGCCTGTTATAGGTACATTGGACCAACAAATGTCCATCAATAAATGTCCACAATTTGTCTATAGGATGCAGCATGTTATAGGTACATTGGACCAACAATGTCCATCAATAAATGTCCACAATTTGTCTATAGGATGCAGCATGTTATAGGTACATTGGACCAACAATGTCCATCAATAAATGTCCACAATTTGTCTATAGGATGCAACTGGTTATAGGTACATTGGACCAACAATGTCCATCAATAAATGTCCACAATTTGTCTATAGGATGCAACTGGTTATAGGTACAATGGACCAACAATGACCATCAATAAATGTCCACAATTTGTCTATAGGATGCAGCATGTTATAGGTACATTGGACCAACAATGTCCATCAATAAATGTCCACAATTTGTCTATAGGATGCAGCATGTTATAGGTACATTGGACCAACAATGACCATCAATAAATGTCCACAATTTGTCTATAGGATGCAGCTGGTTATAGGTACATTGGACCAACAATGACCATCAATAAATGTCCACAATTTGTCTATAAGATGCAGCTGGTTATAGGTACATTGGACCAACAATGTCCATCAATCAATGTCCACAATTTGTCTATAAGATGCAGCATGTTATAGGTACATTGGACCAACAATGTCCAATAAATGTCCACAATTTGTCTATAGGATGCAGCTGGTTGTAGGTACATTGGACCAACAATGTCCCTCAATATATGTCCACAATTTGTCTATAGGATGCAGCATGTTATCCTCTGCTCATAAAGTAGCTGTAATAAGGGGTCCTAGCATGCTAGCTTGAAATGTTCTAATCAAACAGCTGACCAGAAGATACACTGGACCATTCAATGACCACTAACCTACATGAAGCAGCATGCCATTAGGTGGGCATACACAGCCCAGCATGCCACCTGAAAAGCTCAAATCAAACAGCTCACCAGGACACTCACCCGTCCCTGAGATCATCTCAAACACAGCCGAGTCTTTCTTTTTGGGTTCCGGTGTGCTAGGGAGAGCAGGTGAACTTTGACCTTTGGCTAGACTCATTTGAGACTTGCTGACATCTGACCTGTGGGGGGGGAGAGAATAAATTTGTGTTTTATTTTTTCAGTGGGGAGATGATAAATTTGTGTCTATTTTTGCTAATAATTAAAATAAATGATGCAAAACCCACTTTTCCAATAAGTGCTGTGATACCTTCTAATTCTGACATGTTCTATAGTACTTTATTATTCCAACGAGTGCTATGGTAGCCATTTATTCCGACAAGTGCCAAAAAGTGCTATGATACCCTCTTTTTCCAACTAATGCTATGGTACCTTCTTATTCCAACAAGTGCTATGGTACCCTATTGTTCAAACATGTGCCAAGGTACCCACTTTTTCTAAAAAGTGCTATAGTACCCACTTTTTCTAAAAAGTGCTATGGTACCCACTTTTTGCAACAAGTGCCATAAAGTGCTATGGTACCCTATTGTTCAAACATGTTTCATGGTACCCACTTTTTCTAAAAAGTGCTATGGTACCCACTTTTTCTAAAAAGTGCTATGGTACCCACTTTTTGCAACAAGTGCATTAAAGTGCTACAGTACCAGCTTTATACAGCTAGTGCAATGGTACCCACTTTTTGCAACAAGTACCATAAAGTGCTATGGTACCCACTTTTTCCAGCTAGTGCTGCGGTACCTACTTGGAGCTAATGTCCCCATTCTGTAGTGGAACAGGAGCTGGAGCAGATTTGAGAGGAATTTGTAGGAGTAGATGTTTGCTGTCCAGCAGCACTCCAATCAGTGGCAGGTACAGGGCTGCTATCCTCCCCTGCTGGGACTGGAACATCAAGGTACATGGTGAAATAAAATCTTCAGCTGGTCTCTTAAGAAAGGGAGAGTTGGGACTTATAGGGAACATCAAGGTACATGGTGAGATTAGCTGGTCTCTTCAGTCAAAGATACAAAGAGTTGGGACTTTCAGTTAAAGATGCAGACAATTATTGGACAAAAAACCTAAACTGAGGTTTATATAAGGAAATACTAACGATGATGAATATCTGTCATCAAACGAATGTTTACTAACCCCCGAGGCATATCTGTCAAATGAATGATTACTAACCCCTGAGGCATATCTGTCATCAAACAAATGTTTACTAACCCCTGAGGCGTATCTGTCATCAAACGAATGTTTACTAACCCCCGAGGCATATCTGTCATCAAACAAATGTTTACTAACCCCCGAGGCATATCTGTCATCAAATGAATGTTTACTAACCCCCGAGGCATATCTGTCATCAAACGAATGTTTGGCCAGCTGGTTCCTGAGAACAGTGATGGCTGACCGGCGGATCAAGCGCTGCTCTGTCATGGCCATGCGCAGCTCAAACAGCAGTAGACCAACAAGGTAGTGGTGCTGTCTGTACTCATCTGACAGGCAGTAGTCGTGTTTCAGATCTGGACAGGTAGAAAATAGAATCAGACAGGCAGTAGTCGTGTTTCAGATCTGGACACAGGCAGAAAATAGAATCAGACTCATAATAGCCATGTTTTAGATCTGAACAGATAGAAAACAGATCCTAGACCCTTTGGGAAGGGGTATAAAAAATATAAAACTTATAGACAATTATTAAAGCAGATATCAGACTTTATAAATAGGATTATTCAAATAGATACTAGACTTTGTAGACAATATTTTAAATAATCGTGTCTATAAAGTCTAATGTCTTTTTTGTACCTGTTCATAAAGTCTAGTATCAACCTAGATCTATGGACAGGTGTATAGAACAGAAACAAGACTTGGATTACTAAAACAGATATTGGACTTAAAAGAACAGAATTATAAACAAAGTTGCTAAACTTTCTGAGCAAGAGCATTTAAAGAAATACAAGACTTTCCAAGCTTAAACGCAGTTTTAGCTGTGTTTTAAACTTGGTAATATTTTTTATGAGCTTCAAAATAAGAGAGCTTCACTTAAATTAATATTTAGATATTATAAATAAAATTCAACTAACAAGCGATTAAGCAAATAAATATATTATGTAATGTGGAAAACATTACTTAAAAAAATATTTCAGCACACAGGGGAATGTGTAGTTAGATTAAATAATTCTAGGCTGAAAACATATTTGAAATCGTAGGAATTATTACTTAAGAGTTTATTAATATTTTTAAGTGGATGCACTGAATTTGTAAAATCAAACCAACTCTAATAAATATTGTACAACCAAGATTATGATATAATAAAAGCAAGATAGCAAATGAGATAATAAATAAATGTGTATAATATAGAAACATACATAAACAAAATGAAGCACATCTATTACGGTGTGTTTATCTGATATTGAAACCAACTACCAAAGATAAAATTACGATCCTAGATTTCCAAATGATACTAATCCATTGCTTGCTCAGTTAGGATTATAGAGTTAAATATTGGATATGTTCAGATTGTAGGTTGTAATAAAAACTGGCAACAGATTGTAGCTTTTAATACTAGTTACTTTCTGATTGGAGCTTTTAATACTGGGTACGTTCTCTAGGATTTAAATACAAGCTACGTTAATGATTGTATGTTTTTAATACTGGCTCACAACAGAGACAGCTGTCAGTTGAATGCACATTGTTTAAAACACACAAACATAAAGATTAATGTGTTAACTAATTTAATAATATATATGTCAAGACTATGTTATGAAAATATATGAATGACTTCATGCATAGTGTCACAAGTTTTAGCAACAGTAAAAAAAAGTTTAACCACAAACTCTATCTAGTTAAAATAAAAAAGTTTGAAGTGCTCTGTAAAAAGTGCTAGATTTTAACACACTAGTGGCCAAAAATGTAAAAAATAAAAATAGTATCAAACAGATTTTCTTATGAGTGAATTAAGGGAAGTGCCCAACAGAAAAAGTGGGAATTCTATTTTTTTCAACTGTAGAATAATTTTAAAAGCATTTTATTAGACCCTATGAACCTTTTGAAATAGTTCTTATCATTATATATTATGGTTTAACTCTACTAAATAAGATTAAATTGCCCAAAGCATATTGGTATCTGTTTCTTTTTCAATTTTACTTGTTTTCTAAATTTTGGTAGGTAAAATGTTTATAGTTTTTTACATTTTGGTAGGTAAAATGTTAATTGTTTTTTATGTTTTGGTAGGTAAAATGTTTACAGTTTTTTACATTTTGGTAGATAAATGTTTATAGTTTTCTGCATTTTGGTAGGTAAAATGTTTATAGTTAACATTTTGGTGGGTAAAATGTTAATTGTTTTTTACATTTTGGTAGGTAAAATGTTTATAGTTTTTTACATTTTGGTAGGTAAAATGTTTATAGTTTTCTACATTTTGGTAGGTAATATGTTTATAGTTAACAACATTTTGGTAAGTAAAATGTTCATAGTTTTCTAAATTTTGGTAGGTAAAATGTTTATAGTTTTCTACATTTTGGTAGGTAAAATGTTTAGTTTTCTAAATTTTGGTTGGTAAAATGTTTATAGTTTTCTACATTCTGGTAGGTAAAATGTTTATAGTTTTTTACTTTCTCGTATATACGAAGTATAGAGAAAGTCTTGTAATCGTGCAAAAAAAAAAAATCGAGATTGCAATCTTGTCCGTATGTCTGTGTGTCTGTGTGTGTGTGTGTGTGTGTGTCCGTGTGTAAACACGATAACTTGAGTACCGTTACAGCTAGGTTGATGAAATTTCATATACAAGTATTTTATCAAAATCGTAGATCCGTATCAACTTTTGAGCGATTTCGGATAACCGGAAGTGGTACTTTTTCTACTTTGAATTTTTCAAAAGCCTATAACTTGAGTACTATTTTAGATAGATAAATGAAATTTGATATGTAAGTAAAAGATCTAATTCTCTACCTTCTGTCAAATTTTGAGAATTTTTCGTTGACCGGAAGTACTTACTTACGCTACTTCCGATTTCTCAAAAAACTAATGTAAATTTTAAAAGTACTAATAATATTGCGCACTATTATGCGCTTTTTTATTCGCGTTCACTTGGTGTGCAATTAATTTGTCTACGAGATTTTATTCTATTTTTAAAACTTTAAGTATTTAAAATGGATTAAAAATCATGTCTAGAAGTCTATAACCCGAGTTCCCATCCCCTGTTATTTTATATAAGAATATTCGAGAAAGTTTAGGGGAGATCACTCCCGGTTTATTTAAATTTATGGAAGTAACCAACCTAAACCTATATTCCTTCATAATTTAAATTTTGTCAACATCACTTCATGATTATTTAACACTTTAAATGAAAATATATTATTCAATATTATACATTTAAATTTTTTTTTCAGGTTTCTACAATAACTGTAACAATTTTCCTAATATTTCATTGTATATAGTAGTTTCTTAAAGAAGATAACAGATTTTTAAAAAAAGAAAAGAAGAAGTTATCTAAAAAAGTAGAACAGAGGTGAGCACATCCCCTTGTGAAAATAAAATTGTAATGCATTGAAAAGCTGGAGTGAGTAAATGTGTTAAGCGCATATTAATGAGTGAATGAGTAGACAAATACACATGTGGGCAAACCAAGCAGTTATAGGTTTTAAGTCAAGTGATTAAAACAAAAATGTTCACTTTTTTTCACAAGAAATTAAATAACCAATCATAAAAAAATTAAAAAACAAAAGCTTTGTGCTGACTACTAAGAAGCTACTTAAAAAAATATAATTTATTCTTATAAATTTCTGAAAGAAAAATTGACCCAGTTTTGTATTACCTTCCAATTTGATCTCTGAAAAAATGTTTATTTAATCAAGATTTAATATTGGGCAAGGTGCTTTATTGTATACATAGTTTACATATAACTATCATATCCATATGGTTATATCTGCAAACATACAAGAGAGGATTTGTGAAATAATGAAGTTTTACAAAGGACTTACAAAGCCCAAACATTCCATCATCCATTTTTTTACTTAATATATAACTGAACATTCTATAAATTATAAAGCAAGATTCATTTAAAGAACTAAAGGATTTATGGAAAAGTAAACTAATTTCCGATGCCTGCTGAAACTAGAGGATTTGTGGTAAAATAAACTAATTTCTGTTGATGGCTGAGACATTAACTATATTTTAGATAACAGATGAGATATGTATGAGACATAAAGTTATATTCAATACAGATACTTTAAACAAATGTTGTGGTTGTATTATTGTATTTCATCTTGAAAAACCAAGGAAAGAGTTAAATCGTGGGAGACACTTGCTCGGCATGGTTCTCAAACAGGTTGAGATCAGGAAGACTCGCTTCAATATATATATATATATAATTTTGGATACTTAGAAAAAGTATTTTAAAAAGGTATTGGCATTAAATTATTTTGATGTGTTATAGCCTTTGACCATTACCCAGAAATTAAGCAGTGTTGTTAAATAAGTTAATAGGTAGTATGTTTCCATGTTAATTATATTTTTTATGTATAGGTATGAAGAGTTTATGGAGGAATAAGCCTTACTATAATCCATTGGTATGCTATAACTGCTGACTGAATATATTGGAGGCAGAGGGGGGGGGGGGGGCCATTGCATGAGGTTATGAGAACAAAGTTCAAAGGTCAACTTACACTCCATTGTGTGGACAGAGTCTTCATGAAAATAAGATTTGTTGTGATAAATATTTGTGTAACTATGTCAAAAATCTTTTTAGGTAGTTTTTTTATTTACAGTTTGGGTAATCAGCTGAGGGATTCAGTAGGTTTCTTTTGAAATTTTAAAACTCCATTCACATAAATCTGTATTTTAAGTTTTAATACTGTCAACAAATAAAGGCCCTAAACTCCAACTAAAGATTTTTAACAAGAGTGATGTACCTTTAAAGTTTTTAACCATCCCTCTCCTCATCAATGGCAGGGACAAGGGAATGAAGTGCTCATGGCTACAAACTATACGAAGAAATTCAAACTTGATATCTTGCAGATACTGAAAAGTTTCAAAAAGCGGATTAATAAAGGTATGAAACAATCATGGTTTTTTTTAAAGTTTCTAAGTTAAACAAGTTTTAAATAAAAAATAAAATAATTTTTTTTTTGGTTAATTATTAATTACGAGCCGACCCGCGGCCTATCATACGCTGCTATTTAGTTGTTTTATTTTCTACTTTTCAGTAATTCATAATTTGTGAATTCGACAGTACCAATGCTGCCACTGAAAATATTTGCTTTAAAACACTCCCCCCCCCCCCTTTACCCCAACCCCTACACCCCCCCCCCCCGTGAAAGCAGCCTCCTCTTAGTTACCTCCTGTAAGTTTAAAATCATTTCAAACTAAATTATCTGCCCCTAAACCCGGCTCTACGATATGTAAACATTTAGAGTGAACCACAGCTCACCAGATCATGTGGGGGTGGGGTGGGGGTGGTAGTGATAGTGATAGAGAGGAAGAGAGGTGACTGCAAAGGCGCGCTTGCAGCTTGATATCTAACGGCTCCCAGAAGAGAATTATATATATAGATTTTAATAAAAAGTAATTAAGGCCTGATTAACTACTATAACTGTTCAACTTGGAGGGCCGGGGGAAACATTTCTCACCTTGCTATCACCTGGGTTAAAATTTTCTATATATTTAGCCACTAGCTTGAACACATAGCCCCGGTCCATCAGGGTAAAACAATTCTGAAAAATATTATATAAAAGACAACTTAAAATCAGTTTTAAAAAGTGTACATTGTTTCACTGGGTCATCAAACATAACAAAGCAAGTAAATGAGAGAGCGGCTAACCTTGACAAAGTTGGCCAAACTCTGGTTGGCACTTTTGGTCTCCTCCCTGTGGTCTGAACACTTCTGTATGATGTGTAGGGTCACCACGTGCAGAAGGTTCTGGAGCCTGAACTGGCACTCTGCTGTAAACCTCTCATTACGAGGCATCTGAGACATCAATTTTAATTGAGTTTAATTAACTGAGACATCAATTTTAATTGAGTTTAATTATCTGAGACATTAATTTTAATTGAGTTTAATTAACTGAGACATCAATTTTAATTGAGTTTAATTATCTGAGACATTAATTTTAATTGAGTTTAATTAACTGAGACATCAATTTTAATTGAGTTTAATTATCTTAGACAATTTTAATTGAGTTTAATTAACTGAGACATCAATTTTAATTGAGTTTAATTAACGGAGACATCAATTTTAATTGATTTTAATTATCTTAGACAATTTTAATTGAGTTTAATTAACTGAGACATCAATTTTAATTGAGTTTAATTATCTGAGACATCAATTTTAATTGGTTTTAATTATCTTAGACATCAATTTTAATTGATTTTAATTATCTTAGACATTAATTTTAATTGAGTTTAATTAACTGAGACATCAATTTTAATTGAGTTTAATTATCTTAGACAATTTTAATTGAGTTTAATTAACTGAGACATCAATTTTAATTGAGTTTAATTATCTTAGACAATTTTAATTGAGTTTAAATAACTGAGACATCAATTTTAATTGATTTTAATTATCTTAGACAATTTTAATTGAGTTTAATTAACTGAGACATCAATTTTAATTGAGTTTAATTATCTGAGACATCAATTTTAATTGGTTTTAATTATCTTAGACATCAATTTTAATTGGTTTTAATTATCTTAGACATCAATTTTAATTGGTTTTTATTATCTGAGACATCAATTTTAATTGAATTTAATTATCTGAGACATCAATTTTAATTGGTTTTAATTATCTTAGACATCAATTTTAATTGGTTTTAATTATCTGAGACATCAATTTTAATTGATTTTAATTATCTTAGACAATTTTAATTGAGTTTAATTATCTGAGACATCAATTTTAATTGGTTTTAATTATCTGAGACATCAATTTTAATTGAGTTTAATTATCTGAGACATCAATTTTAATTGAGTTTAATTATCTGAGACATCAATTTTAATTGGTTTTAATTATCTGAGACATCAATTTTAATTGGTTTTAATTATCTGAGACATCAATTTTAATTGAGTTTAATTATCTGAGACATCAATTTTAATTGGTTTAATTATCTGAGACATCAATTTTAATTGAGTTTAATTATCTGAGACATCAATTTTAATTGGTTTTAATTATCTGAGACATCAATTTTAATTGATTTTAATTATCTTAGACAATTTTAATTGAGTTTAATTATCTGAGACATCAATTTTAATTGGTTTTAATTATCTGAGACATCAATTTTAATTGAGTTTAATTATCTGAGACATCAATTTTAATTGAGTTTAATTATCTGAGACATCAATTTTAATTGGTTTTAATTATCTGAGACATCAATTTTAATTGGTTTTAATTATCTGAGACATCAATTTTAATTGAGTTTAATTATCTGAGACATCAATTTTAATTGGTTTAATTATCTGAGACATCAATTTTAATTGAGTTTAATTATCTGAGACATCAATTTTAATTGGTTTTAATTAACTGAGACATCAATTTTAATTGAGTTTAATTATCTGAGACATCAATTTTAATTGGTTTTAATTAACTGAGACATCAATTTTAATTGGTTTTAATTATCTTAGACATCAATTTTAATTGGTTTTAATTATCTGAGACATCAATTGATTTAAATTACTGGTACATAACATTTTTAGCAATTTAAAACTTTGAAAATTTATATACGAGGCATCTAAGACATCAATTTTGCAATTAATTTTAATTATCTGAGTTATCAATTTTAATTGATCTAAATTACTTGTACTTAACATTTATTAACAATTTTAAACTATTTTAAATTAAAATTTACAAAACAACACAGCAATACCAAAGTGATAGCTAATTAACTGCTACTTGAACAAGCCAGAACACTAGCCTGATGTACTCACCTTTATCCTGTCTGTGTCTATCAAATAAAGGGTCATACTCTTCAGGATGACCTCGAAAAAGAAGCCGGCGTGTTTTAAAAATCTGACCACCACAAGAGGGTCAGTGTTTGCAGGTCGCAGAATGGAGGACAAATGTTTGGCCAGTTCCTCATGGACAGTTCTTTGGTTCTTGTTGGCTTTTGATGCTGGCTCTGGACGAAACAAGTACTGGGGACAAATGTTACACAAAATTTAACACAGCTGGTTCTGGGTGAAACAAGTACTAGGGACAAATGTTATGCAACATTTAACAAAGCTGGCTGTGGTTGAAATAAGTACCGGGGACAAATGTTATGCTACATTTTAAAATTACATATGTGATAAAATAAAATATGACCCATTACATAACCTTTAACAGAACAGACAAAATACAACCAGACATAACAAAAAAAAAATAGGTAAGTATTTAAACAAACATTAGAAATAGCTAAAAAATTTATCTTAAGAGTAAATTAACTAATTCAACTGAATTTTTCAATTAACAAATAAATTAAAATATTTAGCTATGAGATAATTGCATGTATGAGAAACTATGTTGTCAGCTAACCTTGACATATTTCTCCAGAGATTCATGTTTTAGTGCATCATAAACACCTGACACAACATGGATTAGAACCCTGGTGGGAAACAAAGTAACATTTCAATCGACATGACATTGGGTATGACATGATATGGCACGACACCAGCATGAGATGACATGGCATGACAATCTCAGAGTGCTTTATATTCATCAAACATTACTTTCAATAAATACAAAGGCGGCAAACATTTATTATTATGAGATTAATCTTCTAGCCTACACAGACTTGTGTATGTTACCTGACTGAATTCACTGCTATATCTTCACTTGCAGTTTTTGACAGGAGCTGAAACAGCTGGTTAAGTAGTGTGGGCAGGAACTGAACATAAGTCGAGACCTCCACAGCTAGTAGAGACTGAAAAAAACATTTTTTAAAACATTTTTTATTACAAATCTAAATAATTCTAATTCTAATCCAAATATAATAAATAATTTTTTATCTATTTAACACTATGCTTTAGAGTATATACATAAGCAAAATGATTAATGATGGTCAGAAAAATATACATATTATTATTAATGAGAAAATATATTCTCAATGTTTTATATTTGTATCAAAACATGTTATGTCTTTTAAAAGTAATTAACATTCAAAATAAAAATTTAATTATGAAACTACGTGTTTGCAACAAAAATAAATTATTTTAAACCTATATGATAAACTAAAAAAAGCACATCCCAATGTTTTTCTTTTTAAAATGTCTAATAGATAAATGGGAATAAATATTACCAGCATTTATTTAGAAAAAAATAATTATAAAAATTGTTTTATAGGTAATCTTATATCAAAAAGTTTTAATAACTTGTGTGTAAAAACATAAGTTTGTGGAATACATTTAGCTTTTCTTTTTGACTACATTTCTGAGCCAAATGGAGCCAGTCTTTCATCTAAGGAATGTAATTAGGATTTCCTAACCTTATATTAAAAAAATCAGAACATTTTCGATTTAATTTAATTTAAAACTTTTACAAAACACTCATATAGAATGTTTTCACTACTGACTATAAATATTACACTAGGTGTGTCAAATAAAGATGATCAGCTGTAGTGATGAATAAGCTGAGTTGATTTATTGATGTCTTAAAGCTATATCAACATCATCAATTCAATAAGAGCAGTAGGTGTGCTAGTAATGTATTGTCACATTTGTAAATGATCACTTCATATTCAGATGTAAATTATTCGTACAACAAAACTGTCAGGTTTTTAAAACATGGAACATTTACGAGAAAATCCAATTTACTGTTTATCATTAGACCCCCCTCCCCCCAACACAGCACTAAAAGGGTACACTTAAGACAAAGCTTATATTTATATGCACTGAGATTCAAACAAATGCAAACATAAGCAACTTTTATTAGAAGCTACAAGACAAAGAAGTTATGTGTCATTGTGAATTCTTCTAAAATAATAAGCAAATCAATGTAGGACAAAGTTGAAATAAATAAATGCAAATGTGACGCTTTGACAAACAATACAAAACTAGTACAAATTAATAAAGAAAATGTTAGTAAGTTTATGTTAATGTTGATTTTAAAAGTGAATGGATGCAAGGTTAATATTGGTGATGAAAACAAATTGCATTTTCAATGAAACCACACAAAATTGGAATACTTCAAGAAGTTTTTAAATTAAAATATAAAGAATTACTGCATCACATAAAATAATACCACAATCCTTAGCCCATATCAACCCCCCCCCCCCCCCTGCTGCATTTACAATATCTTTTTTTTTTAGATTTTTAATGTTAGCGGTTGTGTTAATTTTTTTGTTGCAATTTTTATCAGCTCAAGAAGAAAAAAATAAAAAGCAGACAAAAACTCATACAAATAAAAGCCAATAACCTTGGGCAAGACACTGATTATAATGGGAGCTTGTGCTTCATATAAATACTTTACAAAATAAATAAAAAAGGGTCAAGTATAATTTTGGGATAAAGATTCACATGAAGACACTGCAAATAAGGGAGTGCAAACTGATAGATAAATTTCACTGCATGCTGAGTTAGTTACCTTGACCCCATTGGACAGGGCCTGTAACTCTGAAGGTGCAACATAATTTATGTCTTGAGGGGACCCACAGTCACCATTTTCCAGCTACAAGCAATCAATTGGGATTGGGTGTAATTTTTTTTTTGTTAAATTGTAAAACAAAATTTAAAAAAAGATAATAGAAAGAATATTTTTTTAAAGAAAAGTAAGAGATGCCCAGCATTATGAATAGTTAAAAACTTCAAACATAAGATATTGGAAACAATATAATTATATTAATATTTCCATGGTATTTATGAATACGCCCTAAAGATAAAAAATAAAAATCATAAAGGGCAAGGAAAAGGTGATTAATTGTGAATGTTAGAAATGTGCAAGGAATGGCCAGGGACAAAATCTTTATTTGTTTAGAGTATTTACATTATTTTTCTTGGCAGTTAAAAAAACTAATAGTGCATGAATACCTAAATATGGGCGATGGTTTTAGAAAATGTTAATAGTAACAAATTGATATAGAACAACATTAAATGTAACCTGTTCATGCCAATCTTAAACACTTAAATTAAAATTTAAATGCTCATAACCAAATAGAGATCTATATCTCTTGTTTAAGAAAGACAAAAAGCCTAAGTTTAATTATAAAATCAAAACTTTACAAGTCATGTTTTTAATATAAGAATTGTTGTTTTTAAAATATCAAGTCAAAATATACACAGAATCATTAATGAATAATAATTTTTACAAAGATATAGTTATGGATATATTATAATTTTCTGATGGTTCTGGACTAAATGCAAGGTTAGATTTGATAAAAGAAATAAATACTATGGTTTATTAAGATTTTTATCAGTTTAAACACTGTATTTTACCTTAATTTTGTTAACGTTGTTAGTCTCTAGCCCCGGTGCTCCACCATATTCCACTTTTTGACAGTGCAGGAAAAAATTGTGAAGATGCTGATCCTGAAAAAATATAGTCCCAAAATAGTTACTAGGAGATAATTTTAGAAGGGATAAGTTCCAAAATATTTTATTGTTAGACTAATTTGAGTATAAGTAGACACCAAGTTAGGTTCAGTTTAAAAATAGATGTTAGGATTAGGGTTCCAAATATTTTATTGTTAGACTAACCTGTGTATAGACTGTAGACACCAAGTGTAGGTTCAGTTTGAACAGAGGTTTTCCTCCATCAACCCACTTCACATCTGAGCTAGTCAACTGGAAAATTATAAAGCATAAAAATTTCTCTACATCAGGAAAACTACTTTAAAAGTTCAATACATTAAATTCTGAATCAAAGAAGAAAAAAATTAATACTACCAAAGTATGAATTATAACAATATGGTTGATCAGTTATTAAAAGCAACTTACTTTTCCTTGTGAGAGAGTGTCATGACTGAGGTAGTTGAAGGGTACATGCATTGAAACTGGGATGGATTTTTCCCCTGTCACAACTCTAAATAAGTAAAAATAAATTTTACATCAGGAACTATACAATAAATTTTAAATAAATATGTTCAAAATAAATATGCACAAGGATTATGTAAAAAGTAAAATGTTTGAAAAGTATAGTTTGTCAAAGCAGGGTCTAGAAAAGATGTACATTAGATTACAAGAGCATTAGGATTTCAGTTTTAACTGAAACATGCTGGGATAAGAATGATAGAGACATTAGATCACTTGAGCTGTATGTTCTTGTGTTTGTATGGAAGCATGTTGGGATAAGAATGACATTTACATTGGATCCCTTGAGCTGTATGGTCTTGTGTTTGTATGGAAGCATGTTGGTATTAGAATGACATTTACATTGGATCACTTGAGCGGTATGGTCTTGTGTTTGTATGGAAGCATGTTGGGATAAGAATGACATTTACATTGGATCACTTAAGTTGTAAGTTGTTGTGTTCTAACTGCAGCATTCTTGGACTACCCACCTTCCTTCATGCAGCAACGGCAGCCAGGCACAACCCACAGGAATCTCTATCAGACTTTTCTTCCCTGATGTTGGCTTCCCTCCCCCTGTCTTTGACCCTTCACAACTCACATGATAGAAGCGGAAAAACAAATGGTGTTTTTCCTTTAGCTGAACTGGCAGGTTAATCTTCACCTGAGGAGATAAACAAATGGTGTTTTTCCTTTAGCTGAACTGGCAGGTTAATCTTCACCTGAGGAGATAAACAAATGGTGTTTTTCCTTTAGCTGAACTGGCAGGTTAATCTTCACCTGAGGAGATTATTCAAGGTCTTGCACATTCTCTTGATCTCTTTTTAGTTATCCTTTAAGCTCATATAAGCTTTAAAAAATCTAATAAAAAGCATGTTTTTGTTTTTACAAATTAAAAAACATAATTGGAAAAGCATATCTATGTTAAGTGTCAATAGATTATTCTTATCAGCAGTGTATTTGCTTCTTTTAAAAAAAGTTTTGTTTGTTTACTACTCACCTCCTCCATAAAATCAGGAGTCTGGGCATGATGTAGTACTGTAGTGCTAGCAGTCGTAGTAAACACTGAAACGCCTGGTCTGCCATAAATTCTCTGTTCAATTTAAAAATAAACGACTTCAATTAATTTGATGGATGAATAAAATAATATTAGAAATATCATTTAATATTTGATTACAAATCTATTAAAAAATGTCTTTAACTGAATGGGCCTAGGCAAATCTAGAAATGTAAAGCAACACTGTTTTATTGATCAAATGCTGGCATAAAGAGTCTAGCATTGGTTATGGTCTAAGAGTTTATTCAGCTCAAAAGGGTTCCTTACAATCATTAGAATTAAAAGGCTATTCGTTGTACCACTGTGTGAATGTATAACTTGTGACCTCAAACATATTGCAACAGATGACTTATTATTTCACAGAAAAAAAGAGTAGAAATAGATTAGTGAGAGATGATAGTAGTGATAAATCCAACCCAGCTAACAATGAAAATGTAATGAAAAGCAACAGACCTTCAAGGGAACAGCTCCTTCCTCATCCGACTCCTTCAGCTCTATACAACAGGCAATGTTCCTGGCCTGTTGGGACACAAGAGGTACATAATGAATAGAATATAACAACAGGTACATAATGAATAGAATATAACAACAGTTTCAAAGCGATACATTCTTTTGTTAAATAATATAATAAAACATTTTTTTTTAAACTGGTTGAATGCATAGAAGAAAACATAATTCTGTTATCTTCCCCTTTGTTGAACACTGTAATGTTTTTATTATTTTTAATAAATAATTTAACATCTAATTAGATTGCATTGTCATCAGAAACATGATTGCATTAGAAGTGGGTCAAAGTTAAGTTACAAGATTTTTTTCCAAATATAGACCGGCAGACATTGTGAATTAAATAGATCTAATATAAAGAGATTATGATGTAACTTGGTAGATACATCTTTAGAAGCTCTAGATGACCACGATTCAAACATATCAAGCACCTCCATAACAATAGTTTTTTTTTACTCTGAGTAATAATAGGGTTTTCCTACTAGACTCTTACGTAATACTTAAGGCAATTACAAAAGATACAGCTGTTTACATATTTATGCATTTGGTAGTATGTTTCAAAATTATCTGAGTCTTTAATTACCTCTGTTTAACAAGACAAGCTTAACTGACTCGGGTAACGCTCAAAACTTCAGAAAACAGATATGCTACTGTTAAGCTGTCAATGAATCTTTAATAAAAGAATACAATGTAGAAATGAAAAAAAAAAATTTACCTTAGCAAAAGCTTTCTGGCCATCAAATTTGAGAGACATGGGCCTAACATAAAGGTTATTAATGTAAGAATCAAATGAACTACAAAGGGAGGCAACATCAGGCACGAACTCTTCTATCTCAATGGTTGGAATACTGTTGGGTGTAGGCTCTGTGAAGGGCTTCACTGGTACAAGTGATGGGGTTAGAGTAACTGGAAGGAGTAAAATGATGGTAATAGGAATAAATTAAATGATGGTAATAGGAATAAATAAAATGATGGTAATAGGAATAAATAAAATGATGGTAATATGAATGAATAAAATGATGGTAATAGGAATAAATAAAATGATGGTAACAGGAATAAATAAAATGATGGTAATAGGAATAAATAAAATGATGGCAATAGGAATAAATAAAATGATGGTGATTGGAATGAATAAAATGATGGTGATTGGAATGAATAAAATGATGGTGATTGGAATGAATAAAATGATGGTAATTGGAATGAGTAAAATGATATGAAAACAGAAAAAATCTATTGCAGTAACTGTAGGAAATAAATTGATGGTAACTAAAAAATAAGATGATAGTAACTAAGAAATAAATGTATGGTCTCTGTAAGAAAATAATTGATGGTAATGAAACAAAAACAGATGGTTACTGTAAGAAAGCAAATGATTGTGAATTTCACTGGATTATTGATGAGTTGGTACTTTTAAAGTTATAACGGAATTGTCAACAACAGAAAAGCGTATGTATGCAACATGTGATTACTTTATCCATACTAAATGCTCACTTACATTCTATATGCTTCTCTGGATCAAGCTGATCAATGAATACTTTAAAATCACCAGGAATTTCTTGCAGCTTTGATTTTTTCTCAGGTCTAGTTTTCCAGGAGAGAGAAATTTGTTGTTAGTGGAGGGAGAACTTTAAAAAAAACAAAAGCTGGCATTTTTTCATAACTGTTATCTTTTCTAAACATTTTTTGTGGAATTTTTTGTTTTTTAAAAAAATATATAGATAAAAGTGGTTGATTTTTTTTCAACAGAAGTCAGGAAAGGAAGGGCAATTGTGAGATTTAGACAACAAAGTAATGTGTCAAACAAGGTAAACTAAGAAGAGTGCTCAACTTCCACAAGGATATGCAGGGATGGGGTCATGGTGGGAGATGGATAAAAACTTTTTCAGAGCATAAAAACTATTTTTATGACATTCAAAATTTTGAAATTGTAAACATGAAGCAGCACAATCATGCAGATGCCAAAGCTGTCATTTAATGTTAGATCACTTTGGATTTTTGGGTTCATTCCCTTGCCTAAACCAGTGTTACCCAAATGGACAACTAAACTAACTGAATTAAAGATATAGAAGTAATTACATGATTAACTATTCCACATTAAATCATTTTAAAAATTCTCAACCAGCAGAAATGATTATCGATTGAAAATCTATAACTCTAATAATGCAAGTACCAAAGCCAATCAGACAAGCATGCCCCACCTTCTCAAGTCTTGCAACTGTTTCATCAGTTCTTCCTCGGAGAACTTGGAAGTTTCCTGTCTGTACAGTGGCAGCCTGGTTAAACCATGAGGCATCCCACCATCTGGTGACAGAGCTCTGAAATCAGCACAGATAGTTATAAAACAATGACAGATCAATATAAGTAAGATGTTAGAGCAAAGATAAAATTAATAGAAAGTTAGTAAAAAAGGGGGAGGGGATATTTTTGCATCATTTTTAAAAATAAGAACCAAATGAAGTTTTTAAATAACTCCCTCACAATTTATCAAAACTAATACATCCATTAACTTCTACAATTACTTCAGCAGTCCAGTTATAAATTGATCAGAGGCTAATATAGGCAGAGTACTGTGATAGCTCATCCATTTGTCCATTATAGGTGAACTTTACTTCACTTGCCCCAGGGAACGTTAGGTTCAAAAAGGAAACTTTACTTAGGTTATTTTGTGGTGGGTATAATAATATTTCACATCTTTTTCATGGTATTTTATTAATAAGACACTAATGTATTTCAAGTAGAATTAACATATACAGAATGCAAATATAAAAATGTGAACATTCACACTGAGATTCCGAATCAGGCCGCACTTCCTATTTGAATCAACTGAACTGATGAAGTAAAAAAATCAAAGAAAACTTACACAGCAGACCAGGCAAAGGGCATGCGGTAGTGACCAATATTGGAACAGAACTGCTTCATCTGGCGATAGACTTTCACAGCCATTTTGGGGTCATTGCCCTTTAGATATGGCTCTATACACTGGTTGATTGGCCCTTGTAGGACTTTCTCTATCCGAGCTACCAGGTAAATGTCTTGATGGCGCTGAACTATTGAAAAAATACCCTGGAACAAAGTAACATGAGATAAATGCTTGTTTACAAACACATTGAAAATATTTATTTTGGAGGAGTTCCTTTGTAGGTCCTCTGTTACTGACTGAAGTGTTTTTCTATGTCTACTGGATGTGAGAACAGTATAATGCCCTTACACTACGACTGGTTAGTCTAACTTTTCCCACGACCAACCACAGGTAATCCTTAAAGAGCTTGGGAAAATTATTTACAGTTTTTTTCTGATAATGATCTTTAATGAATCACTAGTTATTCCAGTCTAGTTAAGATACTTTTCTATAGGATTGTGCTGAAATTACCTATCTGTGGGATTGTGCTAAAGTTACCTGTCTGTGGGACTGTGCCAGCCATTCAACCTTCATCCCCCTGACATCAGGTGACGTAGGATCTTTCCCATTGATGGAGTGCAACCGGTCAGTTGCAAGCAGAAGCTCTGGGGGTATCATGGCACGGATCTCAGGGTCATTCGGGTCAATGTGGAAATCTTCGGAGATTTTCTTCCCTTGTTTGGCATCGTACATGGCAAAGGTGAGAAAAAATGGCTCAGGCTGTGGAAAAAATACAATTCAAATTTCTTACGCTTGCAAAATTTGGAATTTATTTAAATACTTTTTTTATTTTTTTTTTCAACAAATATTTCATTCTAACGAATAACTAAAGTAAAAAACAATTTATTAAGGTGCACTTGTTTCTTAAAAGATTACGAACCATCCTGGATAGTGATAAAATAAATGAATGGTAGAAACGAATAAAATGAATTTTTTTAAAAAACAAAATAGTGATCCTAAATGTAATTTCAAGACTTTTATTGCAACAAGCTAGTAGTTAAAGATTTTTTTATTTACACATGTTGGGGAACAACCATAGTAGACCAAATTTGTAAGCTTTAGCATTGTGACCAAAATAGTCTGACTCTCACCCAATGTAATACATTTATATTTAAACAATGATTTACTTAGTAAATTTAAGCCCTCATTTTTATTTGGATTTTTATGTGAATCTAATTAAAAGCAATTATATTTATAATTGATAAAGCAAGCACTAATAAAACTTTAGCTCCCTGATGTGTTTTAGACAAATTCTCTTACATTGCACTTTTTTGTTCCCTTTAGCTCTTCATAGAGCTGCAGACTAAACCTCAGCTCCACAAAACGCAGCAAGAACTTCTCAGCATACTGACGCGGGAAAACATCAATTTCTCCTTCCTCTTCATCATCAATTTCTTCATCAAAGTTCACATTTCTCTGAAATTAAAATACCTCACATGATTTCTCCACCGTTTAGTAAAACTTTTTTTCAGCTCTTTAAACATTTTTAAAATTAATGAACCATAAAAGTGAAGTAAATTACCCTCATGTCGGGATAAATGGCAAACAGATTCTGTCTGGCTTCCTGTCTGGCCTTGGCTAAGGAGGAATCTGTTTCTCTGCAATACTGAAAGATGTGGAAAAAAAAGTTGATTTTCAAAGAAATATGGCAATACACTACAGAAACCATATGATTTTATAAAAATAAATACCCAAACTACTTAGCAGTATCATTTTAACAGTAACAAAATAATTTATCCCTATTAACAAAACAAATGTGCATTTCTTTATTTAATCATTAGTTTTAAAGTTTTTAAACAATTATACCCTCTTTCACAAATTAAAACTACAATATTTACAGTACAATATATAAAATAAACTGTTTTCTTAATTTGCTGTGATTATTTCATGTATTATGTTATCAACATGTAAAAAATATCACAACAATGTTTTCATCCTGCTACTGATGTCAAATTCTACAGCTGTTAAACATTACAAAGATCCATGCAACATGCAGCAAAGAGTTTTCCACAGGGGACCAATTGTACAAGCTGGATGAGAAACTCTGGATCAATGCAAACTGTGAGGCTCAGAACTGTTTCTTGAAATCACACATAAGTATCAGCCACACACAACACAGGCTTATGGTACATCACTACACAATTGTTTACATTTAAAACAACAAATTTTAAACTGCTGAAACACCGACTATTCTTCCTTGTTAGAATGGAATCCACAGATTAAGGAATTAATGTAGTTAAATAATAACTTAACCGTGTACAGTTCATTTTTGGGAGGATAAAAAAAACACTGAGAAATTTGCAACAGACAAAATATTTTTAAAATTCATGCTTGGTGTTACAAAAGTTAAACAATCTGCTTCATAAATGAAACAATTATATAGCTAACTTGTTATGCACAGAACTTCTATAAATTACTTAAACAAAAATAAAGTTAAGTTTAATTAAAATCTAACATATGTATTTGTGTATTGATTAAGGAACTCTTCAAATAAAAAAAAATAAAAATATTTATTTACAGGAAGTTAAGCCAAAAGTTAGAGTGATGCTTTTAGTAGATGACGCAGCACCAGGTGGAGCTAACTGTTAAAATGAATAAGAGTAAAGACAACACTGATGGTGATGATACTAAAGAAATGAAGGGGTCAATACAAAGCTTCATTCTCCACACGCGTCTACTGTTGTGTTACCCCCTTCTTCTTCCTTCTTATCACTTTAGGGACTTCATTTGGCTCTTTGAATTCACTAGGCACTTCAGTTGTTGTGCTGTCTTCAACAGCGGTTACTTCAATGGTTGGGGATGAGGTTGTTGTGGGTGGTACGACAAATGATGAAACAGATGAGAATGGAGGAACAGAGGGTGGGGGAGGGGGAGGCGGCCTTCGAGGTTGTAGTGGCTGTTCACAATGAACATCAGATAATGATTCAAAGGAATCAGTACTTAGATCCATACAAAGTTCCTGAAAATTGGCGTAGCAGTAAGTTTGTTTTACACTTGTAAATTTTTATAATCTAAATAAGTTTTTACAAAATTCTAGAACTAAAACAGGTTTTTAAAAACGTTATATTCATATTCTATAACCAGTACACTATATACTAACATACAGACTTTAAAAGTATTCTAATGAATACAAAATGGAACAAATGGAACCCTTTGAATTCTGTTTACAGCTGCCATGATCCCAACCTTTTTTTTTATTACAAACTACTCAGATAATGCTTTCTAGGCCAAATGTACCATAGTTGTTCCATTAATACATAGTACTAAAACTCTTAAGCTATACAGGACTCAAAGGGTTAATACATTTATAAACATTGATCTCAGCAATACAGCTTTGGTGTGACAAGTCAACTTACAAATACATGCATCAACATTAATAATACACCAATCCAATGGCTATTCTTGTAGACAATACAATTGTGGTTGAATAATAAGGGGGTTTATAAAGAGCCAAAACCATAATAAATGCAAACAGTGAAAACATATGAAAACCTGCAGAAATCAAAATTTAATGTGTTGTCAGCTTATAGTTTAAAAAAGCAGCTAAGGATAATTTTGGAGATAGAATGTGTGGGGACATGTCAGGAAGACACCAAAGCGATAAATATTTTTTATCACAAAAAGAAAAATAATTCAGATTTGAAGAAACATTTTTATACCATACGGTCAAAATTCTTGAAGCATTTGAAAAGTAGTTTGAGAGATTAAGAGAAAATATTTCTAGAATATGGGACAATTTTGACCCCTGATATACAGGATTTAAGACTAAGAGAATGATAAATTTGTATTTAAAAAAATAGTGAATTGGAATGATTTAATTGAAAGGTAATTAATTAACACTAATAAGTTACAATGATACAACAGAAAAATGGCAGATGACATTAACAAAAGACAAAGTTTAATGATTCTTTTACAACACACAAATATAAATGTATAGATACACATTTATAAATATAAATTTGTAGATAAATACTTATATGGAGAAAAAACTATTTGTCAGTTTTTGAGAAATTTTCCTTTCTATTTCATAAAATTAAAAAAAATTAAAATTAAGGATGAGCACTTAGCTATTAGATCATTCTGACTAAATACATGAGATTGCGATGAGAAAGATTAGTTTAATACAAAAAGTATTCTAGTCCAATAATAATTTTTACAAGTTGATTTTGATTTTCAAATTAAAATGCAACACCCCAGTTTTAAACATAAGTTTCAATGTGTAAGATGTTTCAATAAAGCCACATGTTGAGAAAAAGCTGATTACCTTCACTACTGGATGATTGATGCTACTCTCTTTGTAGTTCTCCTGGGTTCCAGATGTGGGGTTATCTTCTGTCAAACAGATAAAACATTATTTATGACTTATGACAAAAAATTTAACACAAACAACTATCTAATATTCCATTACAGTATGATAATTAAATTAAAAAGTGAGGCTCACATCTCTATATAAATAATTTCACTAAATATTTCATATAAAAAGCATTTTTAAAATTATAAAGCATATTATAAAAACATAATTATAATTAAAAATGTAATAAATGATAAACCAATATCAGCTTTTATGTAAGTTACCTTTGATGCTCTCCCTTGAAGCTTGTGATGAGGTTTCAGCAGAATTAATAACTTTATTTAATGTAATTATCCAATCAGCAGCGTCAGCTTCATTGTCTGCAGCCAGGAAACAAGATGGACGGTTTGACATTTTTATCTCAAAGCAAAATTTGCCCTTTTTAGGATTCTGAGAAAGTAAAAATATGGACAATGAGTGTATAGAAATAAAGATTTATGCCAAATTTTTAAAAAGTTTTTTTTTTAAGTGTTTAGTACATACATTAAAGACGACACACTGACTGACCTTCACAGCTTCAAGAGCTAGATCTAAGAAAATGGCACCTTTGGCATCAGATTTTTTGTCATCTTTGTATATTTCAAGAATGTAAGTATAGTCAGACTGCTGCTTCAACTGGAAGAACCTACGCTTAAATTGCTGTTTAAACAAAACAATAACGCTGTTTAAAGGAAATGTTATTACAAAATATGTTATCATTAATATCTACATGCAAAGCATAAACCCTCTAATTCTAATTCATATTATCATATTACCCAGGTCTGATTTTCAATCATTTTTTTTTAAATATTTATAACTAAAAAGATTAATTTTTCAGCAAAAATGCCAGTTAAGAAAACCCAATTTATTAAAATGGTGAGGTTACTATATAAATTGAATTGAATTAAAACCCAAAACCAAAATTAAAAACCTATGATATGGTAAGATTAACATAACAAGGTAAAATGACTTTAAAATTACAATCCAGTCATGGTAAATAAATATTAAAAATTCACCCTCAACTTATCCTTGTCATTCTATACACAACTTTGATTCCCACATCAAAATAGATTTTAAAAATATGAAAACTAAAAAGTTCAAAGTTTTTAAAATCTTACCTTCGTAAAACTGATCACATTGTCTTTCCCTCCATCTGGTCCTTTCATCAACCAACCTTTCTTGACTATATTTGAAATAAATCCATGGCTTATGGTGTCCTGAAAATAGTTTTTAGGCATTGAAAGAACATTCTTTTAAAAAAATCCATGTTAACACATTTAAAGTTTTATGTAGTTAGATAAGATAAATTCATACATCATCCTTTTCCTCAGCATCTGCATCTATCTCAAACACCTGTTCCTGTAGTGGTTCTTTCTTTGTGATGCTGAAAGGATTTTTTAAAGAATAATGGCTTGATAAGTATGCCATGGGAAAATAGCAGCTAAAATAGTTATTTAATCAGCTGATGAATAACAAAAACAAAAGACCAAATTAATGTTGACATATACATAGCTATTTTAACTTTGATACAAGTGTTCGGAAAAAGAAAAAGCTAGTTATATAACAGCACAAGCATCTGACTTGTCAAAAAAAAACAAAAAAAAAACAAGCTACATGGAAAGCTGCCAATCTTAAACAGAAAATAAAAACTTTGTTCTATGACATTCTGCATGCAATGTGCTTAGTAACTAATTTTTTTTTTAAATTGACCGTAAAGTAGATTCGACAAGAAGTTTATTGTCATTTTTGTATTAAACAAGGTTATTTTTGTATTAACTTACGCCCACAGCTATATAGTATGTGGCGTGTGAAAATGAAAACAACTTGGGTAACATATGTAAACTCTCTCCATTTTCTGCGGCTACCAAAACATGCAAGATATCTTAATGCACAAGAACAACATACTTGGGTAACTGTTGGTAACTGCCTGAGTAGACCTGGTATTTGAATTTGATCATCTGTAGGTCACTTGTGTATGTTTTCAAGCACTCTTTCACCATTAAGCTGTTTACTTCTTGCGCAGCATTCGCTGGAACTGTGGACACTGCTGTTGTCATCTTCCGCAAAGGAGCCGGTGGCTGTTTGAATATTTTAAATTGATTTTTTTAGTACAAATAAATATAGCTTGTTTACAAAAATTAATTTTGTTTTTTAATAACCCATTTTAGCCTTCCTAATTAAACACACTAAACTTTAGAAAACATTATTTTTTTTTGTGAACCGTCTCTTATATTTTAAAATGTTGACACATTTTTTTTTCTTTAGTTCTTAATATATCATAAATACTATACTATATAAATACTATTTTTTTAATCAAAAGAGGAAGAATTTATTGAATAAACTCTGTTTTAAAGATGAGTAAATTGTCCAAGTTGTTGAGTTAGATACATACTGGTACTTCAACGTCATCGTGTGGGAAGTTAAGCATATCCCTCTGAGGGTCATTGTGCAGCAAAACTTTATTCTTGACCACGTAAGTTTCATAATCCACTGGCTCCACAAGTTTGGGCCTTGACTAAAGAGGAAAGGAAAGAAAAGATGGTAAATAGATAAAAGTAATGTTTTACTTTATTAAGATTAGCTGTGAAATCAACGTGGTAATTGACTAAAAAAACAAGAGAGATGCTGTAATTAATTGAAATCAACATGTGGATAAAGGAAAAATTTATTTTAGCAAAAAATACAAACTGTTTTATCTTTCAAATCAGCTTAAATCTACAACACTTTTTGCGTAATTTGAGTAAATTTATGTTTTTAAATAGCCATCACTACAAATGCAAGTGGTTTTTTTTCTTGCATTCATTAAAACACAAGTGAATGCCAGATGATAACATAATGTAAACATTCTAAAATTATACTCCATGTAATTAACTCACACTGCTGATGTTTTGTAGGCAAAGTAGGTTAACTGGGGTGAGTGTTTTAGCTCGAGGTTCCAGTGTGTGGTGCTGAATCATCTCTGACGTTATGTGTGGGGGGAGGGATTTATTCCTTTGGACTGGCATTTTTTTTAGTGTTGTCATATTTTAGTTTAAAGACAGTTGATAATCAGATTGTAATATTACAAGACAGTTTTTACACCAAGTTGTGGATAGCCAATAGTCAGGCAACATCATGTTTTTTTTAACTTTTACTTTTTTTTCCTAAAAATTAAAATAATAATCACAATTCTATGATATTGAGCTCAATGAACAAATTTGTGTTTTTACTATAAATTGATTTTTATTTTATCATTTTACAATAGCCTACAAACAAAAATTAAAGCTATTTGTGCGAAACAAAGTGTATTCGTTATATTTCCCTTATAGGCCTACAATCTAAGTTTTGCTAAATTTCCTTTCCTAATATTCATTCAGAAAAAGCCCCTGAAAGCATTATAGCATTCATCCACACAAACTCTATTACTTTCCTGCATGCCCTAATTGGTGATTCACATTATCACATCACATCTAAGCCTCAGGTAAATCAATTACTTTAAAGTAACACTACTGGCTTCATAAATGCATAATAAGCCTGACATTTACTGGTGACTTCATAAATACATAACAAGCCTCATATTTTGTTAAGCACATCTAATCCTATAGATTACATACATATTCAGCTACTCCTACACAATTTGATACAGAATCTAACCACTAAGCCAGTCTCTTTGCATTTTTTTCCAATCATTGTAAACATCATTTGTTTGGATAAAGGCCAATGTTTAAGAAAAAAACTCAATAGGGAGATCTTGAGCCAAATTTTTTTTTTATTAAATCCAAATAACCATGAGCCAATTTTTAAAGGCTGAATTAGAAATCACATCTTCTCATAATTCATCACTTCTTTAAAGCAGGAGTAATCCATGAACAGCAAACATGTGTATCACTTCAACAGATAAGAAGGTGTCTTACAGTTTAAAATGTTTATATCCACACTTATGATAACACTATACCCGTACAATGTAAAAACTTAGAGGAAGATTCAGACTCTAATCTGCAACCTTGAGCCACATAACTTGAATATTAAATAGAAACTTTATCACTTCCTTGTAGATGAAACTGTTTGCACATTCCCTATAAGCTAAGTTTCTTTAGATCAAGTCATCTGATAGAGCTGGCAGGATTCACTGAAGCATTTACTCATCGGCTTCTTCCATTCAACTCCCCCAAACGTACTCCACTTAATCAACACCAGACAGACTTTTACATTATTAATACAGGTACAAGAGTTAACTCCCTTATTTTTTGACCACTTGTTTCTGCCCCAAAGCAACATTATTGACAAGTGATCAATCAATAGCCAATGATGAGAAGGAAGGGGTTAAGAAATAGTAGAATTCATGACAGTCACATCACTACTAGTACAAACCCACCTGCTTATTTTTTTTGGGCTAAAATATTTTTTTAATTAATGACAGATGGATTGACTATATAGAAAGAAGAAGCCCTAAGTAGTAAACATATAGTGGATGGTGTAGGTTAATATTGACATAAAAGTGGGTGGATTAGAAGATTTATCATGCTATGTTAGCCAGATTCATAAAGTATAAGTATCATTTTAAATACATTTGTTAGAGCGTTTTAAATGTTAAACACATAAAAAGGGTTAAATAATTGTTTTAGAACAATGTTCTAAAACAAAACACCCTAAACAATTTTTTTTTAAAGGCAGATTTTCCAATCCACAAATCTGTTTAAAATTGATATATGCTTTTGGGCTTTAGTGTGTTAATATTATGAACCAACATTCAGATTTTTAAAATTTTTAAGGTTATCAAAGTGTTAAATAGTGAATGTTGCTGTTTATTCTATTACAATTTCTCTCCAGAAAGGAAAAGGGAATTATATACACATATTTCTCCCGTTCTCTAAAAAAAATAACTTTGTTATCAAATTGTTTTCTTAAAGGGGCTAAAGTAAGGCTATAGTACATCTGAAGTGTATACTGTGTATACAGAAATATTTCCTGGTGTTCTAGACAGAGTTGTTGCCAGGTCCTTGTCAATTATTGATAACCAAATATTTTTACTTGGCATTTACACTGTTGTGTAGTAATGTCAGCTGTAGCATAGCTGGGTGGCCAGACAGATGACAACACAGTTAAGCTTAGGATTAGATAAGCTCTGGTTACACAGAAATTTACTTCATGATCCGGTTCATGTTCCCAAGACTTTAATCTATTTTGTTTGATTCAGGCAACATTTCTCATTGAAAAACGTTCAAATTGTTTATAGCTCTCCTTTTAAAATGACTTTATTAAAACTTACACATACTCTTTGTTCATTCAGTTTCAGATTTATTGTAATAAAACATTCCTGGTTAAAAAAAAAAACATCTTTAAACATAGCTCAACCAAGATAATAGTCTATCTACATTTAGTACTAGTTATGTTAATTACAACATTGGATCTAATTTCAGTGAAAGTTCAGTCGTTTTTTTAAAAATGTATTTAGATAGAAGGCCCCAGTCCCACTACAAATAAGCAGTTTTATTCATCCTTTATATAATCTGTATTTTAATGGTCCATCCCAACCTCATGCAAAAAATTTTTTTACAACAAAATACAAATTTCTACACAGGGCATTGCAATTTTACAGACAAAAACTGTTTAAAACATTCACTAATGGTAGAAACAAAAAATGTTCAGCAGCTTGATGAAGCAGGTACACCAAGCACTGAAAAAACATATTGCTTATACGCAAGGCCAGGTAATATCTAATTTCATCAGCAGTTCAGTTTTCCTACAGGTAAAAGGAAGGTTGGGCTGACATTCAAATAATAGAAAGATAAAAAAAAAACCTGCATTGGATCAGGTAAAAAGAAACAACAGGTGGGGAGGTAATAACACTATTTCCCTGCACTTCAGATACTTGGTGGATTCCATTGCCTTGTTAGCTTTCTTATGAAAAATACCATTTATAATTGATTTTTATTTGTTTCCAAACTTTGTATAGCATTTTCTAATTTATCTTTTTTTTTTCTCGCTCAGGTGAGAAAGGTATAAGGTGAAAACTTGTTAAACACATTTTTTTTAATGAACCAGTATATAATAATAAAAGTTAACGAGAGCTTACTTGCTATTCATCTTCATAAACAAAGGAAAGTGTACTAATACAAAGCTAATATAACATTTGACACTGCATTTGTGGTATGAATCTGGGTATAAAAAAATGTTAGCAATGGTTTTCTCTTGGTATGCCAAATGGCAGGAATGTTTATAGATGGGTGGGGCTGTTTGTGTTGCTAGCCACCTCCGGGTGGTGTGTTTTGGCCCATATTTTTGGCCCATATGGCCAAGGGAAGGGAGTTCACTCAAGCTTAAGGATGAGCAATTTTAAAAAGGGAGGCTAACAGTTGGTTTTCATTACTTTATTTGACAACATTTTATTAAATGATAGGATTTTTGTAATCAATTAAAATTATTCAAATAGAAAAATTTGCTTTAATAAATTAATTACCGATTTGAATTTTATTTCATAATGGGGCAATAGCAGATGTTCAACTCTTATAAGTTATATATTTGCCAGATTGTGGTTTCCTCCTTACAAAATGATTTCTCATACAAATGTTAAAATATGAAAGGTGAAATGTCTAATCTAAACAAACTAAACTTTAAAATTAAGAATAATTAAAAAATAATAAATATCTAATGACAAAAGGCCGCTTTTTCTTCTTATTTTTAATCTTCTTTTAGAATGAGAATGAACTTAAAAATTACTCAAAATCTTTAAAATAATGTAAAACACAGCAATGCAAAAGTCTACTTTTGCTAACAAATTATTAAAGCAAAAAACAAATAATTAAAAGTGAATCTATGTTTTAGCAGATGTTTTAAGTTTAAGTCAGTAGACACAAGGTAGACAAGCTGAGTGCACTTTTCTGTCTCCACCCAGTTACTTACAGTTGAGTGTTTTCTTTTGAGTACATGTTTTAATTGACCAATTAAGTGTGTATCATATCGTTAGAGCTTTAATTAACCTGAGTACAACTTCCTTACACAAATCCGGGTTAAGCTGTAAGCAACAGAATCTAATAAAGAGTAAGGACTATTTTAATTGGATAATTGTAAAACCACAACTGTTTTCTCAAAAAAAAAAAAAAAAAAACAAAAAAAAAAAAAAAAAAAAAAACTTTTTCATATAGATCTACAAACCCTAAAGAATGTCAAATAAAAATTAACTTAAACTTTATAAACAGCATTTCATACATTTATTTAGCTGAGCAAGAAACAACTCCAATCTTAGTATGTGCAATATAAAAATAACAAAATAGCTCTTCTTTTTTATATTGAAACCTAAAATGTTATTATTACAGAGAATTTAAGGTTAAACAGATGCCATTAGAAACCAAATCAGTTAGCATCACAAAAATTGTTACTGTAACAGACATTAAAGAAAATAAAACTATCTATATATATAATTCTCTTCTGGGAGCCGTTAGAAAACAAGCTGCAAGCGCTCCTTACAGTCCCCTCTCTTCCTCTCTATCGCTACCACCCCCCACCCCCTCACATGGTCTGGTGAGCTGTGGTTCACTCTGTTTACGTTTTACAATCATAGAGACCGGTTTGGTGACGGCTATTAGGGGCAGATAATTTAGTTTGAAACGATTTTAAACTTAGAGGAGGTAACTAAGAGGAGGCTGCTTTCACGTGGGGGGGGGGGGAGGGGGGGTTTAGTGTTTTTAAGCAAATATTTTCAGTGGCAGCATTGGTACTGTCGAATTCACAAATTATAAATTACTGAAAAGTAGAGAAAAAAACAACTAAATAGCGGCGTATGATACGCAGCGGGTCGGCTCGTATAATTATAATTTACAAAAACAAAATCTATATTCACCGCTTCACGTTCACCTCCGGTTGAGCGAGCGTATTTTATTATAAACACAACCAAGACACACAAAAATGTTAGGAAATCACTAGGATTAGAATCATTAGAGGATAGATATAGCCTAGATCTAGGTCTACTTATTTTTTTATGAATGTGTTTTAATTAGAAAAGATAAAAAATATTATAAATAAGCATTACAGTACAGTTTCAATTAAATAGTGTGTGATCGTCGGTGTGAGACAAATCCCTACATGGTCAAAGATTGACCGTGAGTTCACATTGACTTTAATTATCAGCATACGTCATAGCAAAGGGTCATTGTGAGTTCATGTAAGTTAATTTATAGTATGATGCCTTGCAATTATGTGTTTCTACTTTACCCATGGGATGAAAATCTTAACTGACACAAACATATTTTTTTAAAGAAAAAAAAAGTTTAATCTAAATCAAAATAACTAGATCTAGTATACTGTATAGATCTAGTACACATTCAAAAAATTTGGTAATCTATCGCTTTAGGTACGTAAAAACGGCCGCGTCTAGTAATGTACGAAAAAGTTGCCTCATTGTCAAGGCTTTAATAGAAGTATATTGTGAAATATTTGTGTCAAAAATTCTAGATAACTGAATAATAAACCAAAATCTATGGCTAAATATATCAATGTAGGCCAGAAATTAACTTTAAACAGCAGTGTTTGAGAGCAAGATTTGCTTTATAAAAAGCAGCCATTTGTAGAGTGGCTTCCCCTGAATCTTCCGCTATAATTTTAACAAAATAAACCTTGAACAAGATGGCTGCTATAGTAAATGAGCATGATTGCATCTGATGAAAACGTCGCTAGTCTTCATTTATTACTAAAAAGATTTAATTCAATTTTTTAAAAACATGTAGGGGGTCATCCATAAATGACGTCACACTCGTAGGGGGGAGGGGGGTCCGTAATTTTGTGACGATGTGTGATGAGGAGAGGGGGGGGGGTCAGATGTTGCGACGTCACATTTTTGCATTATAAAAAAGCAATGTTAGAAAACGAATTTTAGACGTTATTTCGCGTTTTAGATGACTGTTTTAATAAATTGTAATGTTTAGACAAGATTTTGAACAAATATCGATGTTTTAAAAAAAATTCAACTGCAATTTTGAGGGGGGTTGTAGGTTGAGGTGTGACGTCATTTTAGGGGGGGGGGGGGGGTCTGGCTTTTTGTGACGACGTGTGACGGAGGGGAGGGGGGGGAGGTAAAAATCGTCCAAAAAAGCGTGACGTCATTTATGGATGACCCCTAGGCCCTACATAAATGAAATAAGGAAACATTTTTGTATTTTTCAAAACATAAATCCTCCTCAAAATGTGAAATAATTATTAAAATTTTAAGGGTCACTTGTTTTTCACATTACTAGTCGCGGGCGATTTTACGTACCTAAAACGATAGATTAGGCCTACCAAAAATTCAATATTCAATATTCCAAATTTTGGATTTTTCTCAAGTTTTGAAAAAAATAATTTAAAAAACTAAACCAAAAATTCATAAAGAAATAGGCAGAGTATTTTCCTAACGTTCGTGTGTGTTTCGGTTGTGTTTATAATAGGTGAATGTGAAGTGGGGAATAAAATAAATACGCCAATACGCTAAAATGGAGTTTACCTTCTAGACTATTTATATATTAATATATAATAAAATAATATTAGGCCTATATTTATTTAGGCCGGTAATCTATCGTTTTGGGTACGTAAAATCGCCCGCGGCTATTTATGTACGAAAACATTACCTCATTGTCAAGGCTTTAATAGAAGTATATTGTCATACTTTTGTGTCAAATATTATAGATACATGAATAATAAACCTAAATCAATTGCTAAATATACCGATATAGGCCAGAAATTAACTTTAAACAGCAATGTCTGAGAGCAAGATTTGCTATATAAACAGCAGCCATTTGTAAAATAGAGTGGCTTCCCCCTGAATCTGGCGCTAAAAGCTTATAAAAATAAAACTTAGACAAGATGGCTGCTATAGTAAATGAGCATGGTTGCATCTGTTGGAAACATCGCTAGTCTTCATTTATTACGGAAAAGTTTTAATTCAATTGTTTAAAAACAGGTACATAAATGAATCAAGGAAACATTTTTGAATTTTTTAAAACATAAATTCTCTTCAAAATGTGAAATAATTATTAAAATTTAAGAAGTCACCTGTTTTTCACATTACAAATCGCGGGCGATTTTACGTACCCAAAACGATAGATTACCTAGGCCTACTATTTAGTAGTATTTAGGCCTAGATCCTCTCTAGATCTAGATTCTAAATATTTTTATTTTCATCATTTTCAAATAGATCTAAGTAATCTAAGTGAAACTGTTATCTAGTGTTAACTCCTGGAACATTTATAAATTTATATTTTCTTTTTTTCAGTCATTCACATTTTGATTTTTATGAGTTTTTTTTTTACCTGAATAGCACTTTCTCTAAGAACATGAGATACTGTTTCCCTTATCTTGGCAGCATTCCCTTTTCTTTGTAAACCTACAACAAATTTTCTTTCAGCCATAGCCATCCCAGTGAATTATTGTGTATAAAAGATCAGATATAGACAAACTAATGTCAGCTCTCAAATAGCGGAAGTGTTTTGAGATGTGAAGTAGCCATTTTGTAAAAATCTTCCAAGGGGAATCAACAATGTTATTACATTTTTAAAGAGAGAAACAATAGGAAGTAGCTTAATAGGGGAGAGAATAAGGAAATTGTTTTGTGCTACCTTACTATAAAAAGTTACGTCCTTGTCTAAAAGTAAAGTAAATTAAATCAGATGCTTGTTTGGATATATCAAATTATTGTGGAATTTACGACGCTAAACTAAGATTTTACCAAATTATTTTTAGTTCTGAGTGATGTTTTCTTGATTATCATAAATAATTTGAGGTCCAGGGAACTCATAACTTTCGTTTTGACAGACTTATTTGTTGATCGGCCCCAGTGTTTCCTTCCAGACTTTTTTTTCTCCGGGGGGGGGGGGGGCACTTGAAATTTCCGGGGAGGGGGGAGGGCGGGCGGTAGACTCTCTTCGGGGGGGGGGGGGGGGGCGGACACTGTTACAAGTATATATTTTCTATATAAATTTTATTTCGTTCGGGGGGGGGGGGGGGTAGACTTTCTTGAAGAGATGCCTGGAAGAAACTCTAATCGGCCCTGTTCTTATTGACCTATCGTTGGCCGCAAAAAACACAGCTAAAAATCATTGTAGTCTATATACAGTGTCTAGTGCTAGGCAGTGGCGTAGCGAGGGTCGGGTGGACACCCGGTGCGGCACTTAATGGTGTCACCCCCCCCCCCCCCCCCCAGAGGCATAGAGACCCTTACCAGGGACAAACTTTCAAAATTTTCGATTTGCACCCCCCCTCAAACTTTCGATTTGCACCCCCCCCCCCCCCCCCCTCAAGTTTTCGATTTGCACCCCCCCCCCCTCAAACTTTCGATTTGCACCCCCCCCTCGAGTTTTTCTCTATATATTTTGCTATTTTTTGCCTTGGTGTCACCCCCCTAAATGGTGTCACCCGGTGCGGTCCGCACCCCCCCGCCCCCCCCCCCCCCCTCGCTACGACCCCCTGGTGCTAGGGCAACGCCATGCTATCCTCCCGGTCCCCTGCCAATTTATAGGGCCCTACACCACACTTGTGATGAGGATCCGAGGTATGTGGCAGATGAGACTCATTGAAATTGATCTATAATCTACCACCAGTGTTTCTTTAAGACTTTTTTCTCGGGGTGCGGACTAAATTTACCTGGGGGGGGGGGGGGGGGGGGGGGGAACGACGACACTGGTAAAAGTATATATTTTTCTAAATAAATTAATTTCGTTCGGTGGGGGGGGGGGGGGGGGGGGGGGGGTTAGACGTACTTCGATGAGATGCCTGAAAGAAACTCTGGTCTACCACCGATGATGGACTGACCACAATATAGTCGAAAACTGCACATTTAAAGTCTGCATTGCTATTAAAGACTAAATCTACAAATCAATACAACTAAAAACCGAAATCAATAGGCCTACTATTACTTGTAAAAAAGAAAATCTGTCGAATTTTCTTAACTGCGTTTTATGACGGACAAACTTAAAGCCGATTTCGTGCCGCCAAAGCCTAATCAGAGATGAAGAGACACTCGCCTTAAAAGTCGTCTATGGGGTCATCCATAAATGACGTCACGCTTTTTTGACGTTTTTTACCTCCCCTCCGTCACACATCGTCAGAAAAAAGCAGACCCCCCCCTCTAAAATGACGTCACACCTCAGTCTACAAACCCCCTTCAAAATTGCAGTTTGAATTATTTCTTCTTCTTCTTCGTCGTCGTTCTTAATTATTAGTGTTGAAGGGGATCGAGATTTATCTGCCAGTGGGTTTGAACTCGAGACTGTTCGAATGTATCAACCATGAGCTTTTTGCCGACTCGACCACGCCTCCAACACAATTAAGCGGTACGTGTCAACTGGTTTTTGCGCCATTGAGGCCATTGACTCCGATTTCAGCCTGCTTTTTCTTTTTGGATTTGCTTCCATAGCCTTTGTCCAACCAAGAACAAAACTACAAAGGCAGCAGTTGTTTAATTTTGGAGTTGTCTCTCCTAGAAGAGTGGCTGTCCCAGCTAACGAGCGAATATTTCTTAAAACATCGATATTTTTTTTAAAAATCTTGTCTGAACTCTGTCAACATAGAGTATTTTAATCAATTCCTGTTACAATTTATTAAAACATTTTTCTAAAACGCGAAATAACGGCTAACACTCGTTTAAATCTTATATTGCTTTTTTATAATGCAAAATTTGTGACGTCACACCATCTGAATCTCCCCCTCCCCCCCCCCCCCCAGAGTTTCTTCCAGGTATCTCTTGGCCACCCCCCCCCCCCCGAAGAAAGTCTAACACCCCCCCCCCCCCCCCCCCCCCGAACGAAATGGAATTTATATTTAAAACATATTATACTTTTACCAGTGACTGCCCCCTTGGCAAAGTATTTCACAAGACAGGGGTGCTGACAGAACCATGTGACACCATTCAAGAGGGTGATACGCCTTGTTTGGTGAGAGGATGACACTCTGCCTGGGTTACTTTACCGGGTGTCACACGATGTTGCTTTGTGTTAGCCATAGCACAAGCTGAGATCCTTTTTAAACTAAACCCTTTTCCTGGAAAAGAAGTTGCAATCTAAGGCCAGTAACTCATATTCTTTTTTCAACTAAATCTACATTTACAACAAGTAAAGATTAGTTAGTATAGATCTAGTTAAATAGTATAGTTAGTCTTAGATTTAATATTCTAGATTTTAGATCTAGATTCTAGATCTAGATCTAGATCTATACTAGATCTAGATCTATATTGAAACTATATTCAAATATTCGCTATACCGTCCTGGGTCTAGAATCTAGATTTTTTATTTTAGATCTAACATCGTTTGAGGTAGGGAGGCATATTAATTAATAATTATGATTAATATATTATTAGGCCCTATAATATATTATACTATAATTTTAATTAATTTATAGGCCTATTTAATAAAATTTATTTATTATGAATTATAGATCTAGATCTAGAGATCTAGATCTAGGCCTAGATCTAGATCTAGATATTATTATTATTATTATGAACGAGCCGACCCGCGGCGTATCATTACTAGACTAGAAGTCTAGTTAATAAGTTAATATTAATTTAATACTAGATCTAGATCTATATCATTATCTAGTACTAAGTACTAGTACATACGCCCATACACCGCTATTTAACTAGATCTAGATCTAGGCCTATCTATTTTAGTTATTTAGTAAATTAGTTGTTTTATTTTCTACATTTCAGTAATTCATAATTTGTGAATTCGACAGTAACCAATGCTGCCACTGAATATAGATCTAAATCTAGTCTAGATCTAGATCTATTTGCTTTGAAACACTATCAGTAGCTCGTTAAGGACGATTTCTGGCCTATATAATATATATTGATATATTTAGCTATTGATTTTGGATTATTATTCAGTTATCTATAATATTTGACACAAAGATATCCCAATATACTTCTATTAATTAAAGCCTTAACAATGAGGTGACTTTTTCGCACATTACTAGCCTCAGCCGATTTTACGCACCTAAAACAATAGATTACCAAAACTGGCAAAAAGTAAAATGCCCTAAATGATAAATGAAATGCCCTACTCAATGTTGACCAAGATGAATTAATATTTTGGAAAGAAATGCAATTTCTAGCGGGTTGTTATTATTATTAGAATATTAGGTTGAAGTATTTAGCTAGGAATCTGGCTTTTTGTGACAATGTGTAACATAGGGGAGGTAAAAAAAATCAAAATGTTTTGCTCAAATATTAGATTATTAGGCCCTCAATTTAAATTAATCATTAGACCTAAATTTCTGTTTTAATTTTTTAAAAGTCTTCACCTAAAATATCATTAACCGGTGGACACTTTTTTTCCTAGATAACCACAATGAGCCTGAAAATATACTTTGCTGGAAGTATAAGAGGGGGGTCGCCAGGATGTGGAGCTCTACCATAGTATTATTGCAATGCTAAAACCTTTTGGGAAGATTTTGACTGAGTTTGTTGGAGACAAAGAGATCAGTTTTGAATATAGTAATTTTTTGCTTTCATTAATTTACTTAAATAGTTCTTGTCAGGGTTTCAGTTCTGTAGCTTTTAAATTTTTGAAATATTTATTTTAAGCTAATATTTAAAATGAATTATCAGTCACAATAGCAATTTTATATAAATGGTATTCATGATAACAGTAGTTTTATTGTAAATCTAGGGGCTATGGCTTTTGTTAAATTTGGAGTTGGGTGCTGGTATTGTTGATAATAAATTATTATATTGATTAAAACAGAATAAGTTATAGATAAAAATCTTACTAATAAATTGTAAGGGTGTAAAGCTCTTTGATTTAATCTGGCACATTATTATTTATAATCATAAACTGCTTTTTTTCTAATTTATAGATGGTGTTTCTGTGGACAAAAGCATACATGATCATGATATGGAAATGCTGAAGGAATGCCACTGTTAGTAGTTTCTAAATTTAAATTTAACTTTTTTTTCTTACCAAAATTTTAGCTATGAATTCAACATTTTAAATGTTTATTGCTATACATATAATAATTGTAAGAAAGCCTCTTCATTTTAAGTTTTTAAAATATTTAATTAAAAAAAAAAATTAATAATATAAAATTGATTTTTAAATAAAAATAAATTTTAAAATGTCTTCTTTTCGTCAGGTGTTATTGCAGAAACTACGCAACCATCCCTAGGTGTGGGATATGAGCTTGGCAGGGCTGTAGCAATGAACAAACCTATTCTCTGTCTCTTCAGGCCAAAGAGTGACAAAGGTCAGGTTTTTACTAATGTTTCATGAAAACTTTAAAGTATTGTTACCACAACAATACCCATCTGGCTTTACAACAGTACTTAGGTAGACTTTACTTTCTTTGACTGCCATCCTTGTCAAGAGCCACTATTATAACTAATCCTGAAAGTAGAATTGTGTGCTGTCTTAAGAATAAGGCCTGATTTTGCTTGTGTTTGCGCTTGAAATTCCTAAGATAAATTATTTTTTTATCTACAGTTAAAATTGATGTTCTTTTATTTAGCTTGTAATATAATAGCTTACGTTCTTGACTTTTTCATTGTTATAAGGCTGAAATAATGAGTATTATTAGAAGCCCATGGATGGTTTTTAAAAATACTTATATTAATGAGGGGACAGCATGGCCTAGCAGAAGTGAGCTAGACTGCTAACCCAAAAGTCTCGAGTTAAAATCTAGGTTCAAGTCGGTAGAACCTCCCTAAATCCACCCATCTCTGATGGGTACATAACTGGATATAGTGCTGACCACACTATCCTTTCAAATGCAGAGGTCACAGAAACAGGTGAACTCTACTTCATTTGTCCCATAGACTATGATAGACAGTCAGGCTTGAAAGGGATCTTTACATTAATGATAATATGTAACATGTGCTTTGTATGTTTTATTTGTTACAGTTTTGTCTGCCATGATAAGAGGGGCCCACAATGGATCTTCTTTTATTGTTATCGACTATGAAAAAATATCAGAGGTAAAGGATAACATTAACACATTTTTAGAAAATGTCCAACAACAAGTATCTAAGACATGAGGCAAGGTAGATAACTCATGATGTCGTCCAGGGATACTAGATAACTCATGATGTCGTCCAGGGATACATGCAGATGACTGTCAAGGGCTAGACAACCCTGGTGTAAACAGGGTGAGCTGGGCATTGACTCAGTAGACAAAACGTAATGACTAGAATTTCTTGTTAATCTTATTTATTCTTAGAGGCAGTAAAAAAGTATGTTGTTTATTCTTGTGTAACAGTTAACAAACCTACATTCCGTTTGGTTGAGTATGTATAGTGTTGCTGCTAAATGTTTCATTAGTTTGTTTTTATTTGTAAAAGGTTGATTCATCATATGAGATCTGCTGAAAATTATTCTTTGTATTGATGTTGACCATAAATTCCAAGCTCAATAGATAATAAACCTTAAGTCCGTCCAGATAGATGTGATAACATTTTGTTTTTCAATTTTCTAAAATCTAACAGAAGACAAATGACTCCCCTTAATTAAAATTTTTTCTTTTCTTTTTAATCTGATTATGTAATTCTAAAAAGAAAAAAAAAACACTAAGAAAAAAAACTATTTGTTGTTTGAAAATATAGGCCTATCTGGTTATATGCTAGAACGTCCCTGACGGATAGGTACCTGACACATTTTAGGAAAAGTAAGGTAGCTGGGCATAATCATCTGTCAATGTTAAGAAACAAGAACTCTACTTCTGCTGCCCTATGAATTGTTAGGTCTGAAAGGGGAACCTTACTTTTATGCTACATCAATGTCACCAGAAACATTGTATGGGTTGAGAGTGTAAGTTGCGTGGTTAATTTAACGGATAGCCAGCTTTCCATGTTTTTATTAGAATATCAGCCTATTTGACATTTAGTTCACAAGAATATCAGTCCTTTTTGTATAAGGACATCTATATCTTTTAGACTGTTGGATGTACCCTTTTTTCTTTCGTTTAATTTAAAATGTAATGAACTTTTTCTTATTTTTTTTTTCATTTGTCACAAGTTTATTTCCAACAATGTAACAATGTGCCTATTATTATGAGTAGAATGTTAGCATTTATAAATGGACTTATTATACAGTGATAAAAATATTAAATTGACTACGTGTTACTTTATGTTAAATACGGACTTGGCCATCTTCTTGCTTGTTTTGTTGCTGTAACACTTTGAAATAAAATGTAAAATATAATGAAAGTAAAGAAATAAAATAGATAGGGTCCTGTACAGTTTCAATTCATTTTTGTGTGAAATGAAAATTAGACCTTTACCTTTTTCTTATGCATGTTATTAGTTAATAGATTCATTGGGCTTAGTATAAAAGAAAAAAGCAACTTATAATGTACCTTTAAATTAAATGTTTCAAAATTTTACTTAGAAGAATCTTTCACTACTTAAATTAATTTTAGGGTGGTGTTTTTATTTGACTAAGATAACTTACTCTTGAAAATTTAGACAAAGGAACACAAAATGTAACAGGTTACCTCCCTTGACAATACCAACCATCTATGTTTGCAACATTTAGTTTTGAAAATAAAAAATATTTTGGAACTTTTTTTATACCCACAATTAAATGTCTCAAAAAAACTGTTGAAGAATCTTGCAGCCTATCTCATTCCTCATTACAAAGTAGTATGCTATACATTATTATTACCCCCCCCCCCCCTTCCATCCACCCCAAGCAGACCAGGACATCTTTACTATAAAAAGTGGCTTTAAAATTAATTATGGGAATCACCCGTCAATGTAGATAGAATCATGTGTCTGAACATTCATCCAGCCTTGTGTCATAATGGCCTAAAAAAACAACAACAAAGGCTACCAACAACAAAATGAGAAAGCACTCACCGAGCTATTTGAACCGTATTTGACAAGGCAGGTGGCAGCAGTGTGTTTCTACCAGAGGGGGGGGGGGGGGGGACGGGACACAGGTAAAAAGTATGTTTTCTATATATATTCAATTTCTTTCGGGGGGGGGGGGGGTTCTTTTAGACTTTCCGTGGAGGTGGGGGGGGGGGTGAAGAGATGTCTGGAAAATAGTGACAGCCCTTTACAAAGTGTTCTTTTCATCACCCACACTAATATAAACGTCAATTCTAACCAGCCCTCTATACGAAATACACTAAGTCTATCAACAAAACAAACATTAACGTATGTGCCAATAAACACGCCTAACACAGTACTAACACTCATACTAACAGAATAAATTAAACTTGAAAAATATGAAGTATATTAGCAGTATAAGATACACTTGGATTATAGTATAGGCTAGTAAAAAAAAAATTAGATTGTAGGGCTGCACTTTATCACGGCGGATGTCTACCCGGCTAGGTCAAACAATAACAATTTAAAATCAAGCGATAATCTCATCTAATCAAAGCACTTTTTCCCATCCTCAATCTAATCGTACGACCGTCTGGTCAGAGAGTCACATGATGTTTGTGTTTCAGTCAGACGGTTGTAGTGGTAGGCCCTACGTGTGAATGTTATGTTGTCGTTGAATTGAGGTCACTGGGGTGGAATGGCTGGTTTGATTTCGTTGAGTTCGGTCAAGTTAGAGTTAGATCTAGGTGTATATTTTCAAATTTGGATTGAGGGCAAAGTGCATTTTCAAACATGGTACTGATGCTACTGATATTATAGTTATAGCTTGGTATGAGACAGTGGCGTAGCGAGGTCGGGTGTCACCCGGTGCGGCACTTAATGGTGTCAACACCCCCCCCCCCCCCAGAGTGCGTAGCGACCCTTCCAGGGGACAAATTTTCGATTTGCACCCCCCTCCAAACTTTGGATTTGCACCTCCCCCCCCCCCCCCCGCCCTCAAACTTTCCATTTGCACCTCTTAAAATACTATTTAACACTCGAATTAATCACTTAATTAAGTGGAATTATCATTTTTTCTCTATATATATTTTGCTATTTTTTGCCTTGGTGTCACCCCCTAAATGGTGTCACCCGGTGCGGTCCGCACCCCCCCCCCCCCCTCGCTACGCCTCTTGTATGAGGAACTAGTTGAAAATGTACGTGACAGTATTTATTTTGTCTGGGGTTCAGGAAACTTGTTTGGCGGCCAGGGCTCAGCATAGTGATGTAGCGGCAAGTACTCATAGTAGAGCGTGTTTCTTCATGTTTGATTAGTGTGTGTGTGGGGGGGGGGGGGTGCATATGTATAATAAAATATATCTGTGATGTTATGTCTCTACCTACCAAGAACCTACCTTGATGCTGTGTAAGAGAGTAATGGCATCTAGGTCAGGTTGGTAGGCCTGCATGTGTGGTTGTATGGTATCTGAGTGGGACTAGAAAACAATCGGACCAAAAAACTATCGCCCAACGTGGGGCTCGAACCCACGACCCTGAGATTAAGAGTCTCATGCTCTACCGACTGAGCTAGCCGGGCATTTAGAAATGAAAGATAACTCCGCAAACATAAAGTTGATGTTTGAGGTGTGAGAGATGTATAACAGATGGGAAAATTACATAATGAAATCCAACACATACAGAAAAGAAAACACATGTAATGGTGGAATTTGAAAAGAAATTAAACTTATTAGGAAGACTTGGAATGAAATGTGGGCAAAATAGCAAGCGAAGGGAAAGTATGGCTATTGGGAGTTCGAAAAAGGCGAAGAAGCTTTTAAGTTTGAGGCCTGTTCGACTAACTTCGGTGCTTGTTAATACAACTTGTTTATAAACTAGAAAACATCGGGACCCAATACCTAGTTACCAACTAAAACATAAAGACGATGTATGATATGTGGAAATAATCGAATAAAAGAAAAATGCGTCATGAAAAAGAAATTAAGTGAATTGGAAAAAGGTGGGGAAAAACGGCGAAAAACAGCAAAAGACATAAAAAATCCAAATGGACCCAAAAATATCGCCCAACGTGGGGCTCGAACCCACGACCCTGAGATTAAGAGTCTCATGCTCTACCGACTGAGCTAGCCAGGCATGAATTAACATGACAATATAAGTCTCAAATTTACCAACATTAAGTCCTAACACATTTGGCAGTAAAGTAGTCTTAATACCCAAAGTCAATGAACAATTTACGGTAGATGTGTATTGGGTGGCGGAGGAGGAGGGCATAAGTATAAATACCTAGATCTACAACAGAGGCGTATCCAGGTTTTCGGTGTAGGGGGAGCGGAAATAGCAAAAAAAGGCGCCGAATTTGTAATATCTTCTATATAAGTATATATATATATATATATATATATATATATATATATATATATATTAGGTGTATGTTATTTCTTCGATATGATGTAAAAGAAATTTAAATTAACACTCTGAAGAAATAAAAAAAACACACAATGTAGGCCGACGAAACAAAAAATGGTTTCACTCTAAACAAATATATATATATATATATATATATATATATATACTATATATACACTACAACCAGAGGCGTATCCAGGTTTTCGTTGTAGGGGGAGCGAAAAGAGCAAAAAAGGCGCCGAATTTTTAACACGCTCTATATACGTGTAGTATATATATATATATATATATACATATATATAATTACTAGATGTATGTCATTACTTCGCTATGATGTAAAATAAGTAGCACTCTGAAGAAATAAGAAAAAACACAATGTAGGCTGACAAAACAAAAATTGTATCAATAAAAAATATACACACACTACAACCAAAAACAATGAACGTAACACAATCTGTTTTGTAGTTCTTGTAAAAAAAAATTCTTACATAATAATTCCTGGGAAATTATTTAAGACAAGTGAAATAGGGGAAATAATCACTCTCTTAATATAAATATTTATATATCTACAAATTCGATTATAAATGTCTAAACAAATAAATAATTACTTTAGAATATAATGAAATTGTTTAACACTATTTGTGTTTACAAAATGTTTTTGTGTATAATCAGAATTTAATATATCGTCATCATAAATGCTAAAGTAATACAGCATAATGAAAGTTTTTAAAATCAGAGTTGGTATAAAAGCTCGTTGTTATATATAAATGAACCACATTCGGAATAACAGCCTACATATAACTAAATATAGGTCTTTTAGTTCAGATCATATAT